GCACTGGGGGGGACTGGGGGGCACTGGGGGGGGACTGGGGGGGACTGGGAGGGAACTGGGAGGGACTGGGGGGAACTGGGAGGGAAAAGCCCCCTGGGTTTTGGGTGAAATCCCTGCGTTTTGGGTGAAAAGCAGCGCTGGGAGAGAGAAAATTGGTACTGGGAGGGACTGGGGGGCACTGGGAGGGGATTGGGGGGGACTGGGAGGGACTGGGGGGGCACTGGGAGGGAACTGGGGGGCACTGGGAGGGACTGGGAGCGACTGGGAGGGACCGGAGGAATTTGGGGCCTGACCCCCGGTTTTGGGGTGAATCCCGCGGGTTTTGGGGGTTTATCCCAAGTTTTGGGGTGGATCCCGGGTATTTTGGGCCTGACCCCCGGTTTTGGGGTGGATCCTGCGGGTTTTGGGGTGAATCCTGTGGGTTTTGGGGTGCATCCCGGGTATTTTGGGGTGAATCCCGGGTATTTCGGGGTGCATCCCGGGTATTTTGGGGTGAATCCCGGGTGTTTTGGGGTGCATCCCGGGTATTTGGGGGTTTATCCCAAGTTTTGGGGTGCATCCCGGGTTCAGGGCCGTGCCCGGAGCTGGAGCGGGACCTGGAGCGCTGTGATGAGGCTCTGGGGGTGCTGGACGAGGTCATCATGTCCACGTTCCAGCAGAGCGTCTACTACCTGACCAAGGTGACCCCAAAACCCACCTGGGAACCCCAAAATTTACCTGGGGAACCCCAAAATTTACCTGGGGAACCCCGAAATCCACCTGGGGAGCCCCAAAACCCACCTGGGGGTCCTGATCCTGCCTGGGGAACCCTGAAACTCACCTGGGGAGCCCTGAAATTTACCTGGAGAACCCTGAAATTCATGTTGGGAACCCAAATCTCACCTGGGGGGTTCCAAAACTCACCTGGGGAACCCAAATCTCACCTGGGGGTCCTAACCCTACCTGGGGAGCCCCGAAACCCACCTGGGGAACCCCGGAATTCATGTTGGGAACCCAAATCTCCCCTGGAGGTCCCAAAATTCACCTGGGGAACCCCGAAACTCACCCGGGGAGCCCCGAAATTTACCTGGGGGTCCCAAAACTCACCGGGGGAACCCCAAATCTCACCTGCGGAACCCCGAATTTCACCCGGACGCACCCCCCAAACACCCCCAAATCCCCCCAAATCCCCTCTAAACCCCCCAAACCCCCCGTTTAACCCTTTCCTCCCCTCCCCAGACGCTGTACTCGGCGCTGCCCGCCCTGCTGGACACGAACCCGTTCGTGGGCGCGGGGGAGCCGCGGGCCGGGCCGGACCTGGGGGGGGTCCCCGAGGGGCTGCGGCCCCCCCTGGCCGTGTTCGGGGCCGTGCTGGCGCTGAGCCGCCGCTGCCGCCTCCACCCCGAGCTGACCTCGCAGACCTTCGGCTACCTGTTCTTCTTCTCCAACGCCTCGCTCTTCAACACCCTCATGGAGAAAGGTGGGGGGCAAGGGGGGTTTGGGGGGATTTGGGGGGGTTTGGGGGGGATTTGGGAAATTTAGGGGGGATTTAGAGGGGATTTGGGAGGAAAAAATCTGAAAAAAAAATCCATAGAAAATCTATAAAAATTTTGACAAAAAGATAAGAAAAAATCTGAAAACAAACCACAAAAAAAAACAGCCATTAAAAAATCTGGAAAAGATCCAAAAAAAAAAAAGAAAAACCCTGAAAAAACATTTTTTAAAAACCCAAAATAAAACCCAGAGTAAAAATTTTTAAAATCCAGAAAAATCTTAAAGTAACCCTAACAAAAATCTGTAAAAAAACTGTAAAAAAAAATTAAAAAAAAACCCTGAAAACATTTTTTTAAAAAATCTGAATAAATCCAAAAATAATCCTAACAAAAATCTGTAAAAAAAAAAAACAAGAAAAAAATTCCGTAAAAAAATCCATAAAAAATCTGGAAAAAATCGGAAAAAATCTGAAAAAAATCGGAAAAAAATCTGGAAAAAATCTGAAAAAAATCTGGAAAAAAATCTGGAAAAAATCTGTTAAAAAATCTGTAAAAAAATCTGTAAAAAAATCTGTAAAAAAATCTGAAAAAATATGAACAAATATGAAAAAAATATGAAAAAAATCTGGAAAAAATCTGGAAAAATTCTGGAAAAAATCTGAAAAAATTCTGAAAAAAATTTGAAAAAATCTGTAAAAAATCCATAATAAACCCGATTTTTTTTATTTAAAAATGCCAATGAAATGCTAACAAAGCCGTGCCCCCGCAGGCAGCGCGGGGCCGTTCTTCCAGTGGTGGGTGGGCGTGCGGCTGCGCACCAACCTGGACCTGCTGCTGGACGGGCTCAGCGCCCTCGGCCTCGGAGACATCGCCGGAGATTTCTTCCGCAAACTCTCGGCCACCGCCAACCTGCTGAGCACGCCCCGCGGCTGCCTGGAGCAGGTGAGCGCACCTGGGGACACCTGGGGACACACCTGGGGACAGTGGGGACACACCTGGGGACACCTGGGCACACCTGGGGACATTGGGGACATGGGGGACACACCTGGGGACACATCCGCCAACCTGCTGAGCACGCCCCGCGGCTGCCTGGAGCAGGTGAGCGCACCTGGGGACATTGGGGACACACCTGGGGACAGCTGGGCACACCTGGGACACACCCGGGCACACCTGGGCAGGGCAGGTGCCAGCGTGTCCCCCGTGTCCCCCGTGTCCCCCCGTGCCCCCCGTGTCCCCAAGGCCACCTGGGCGCGGCTGCGGGCCGAGTTCCCGGCGCTGTCCCCGGCGCAGCTGCACCACGTCCTGCGGCACTACCGGCTGGGCCGCGGCCGCGCCGCGCCGCCCGCGTGGAGCCCCGGGCCCGAGGAGAGCGCCGCGGCTGCCACAGGTGAGGTACCTGTGTCCTGTGTCACCTGTGTCACCTCCTGTGTCACCTCCTGTGTCACCCCCCGTGTCACCTCTGTCACCTCCTGTGTCACCCCCTGTGTCAATACCGACTGGGCCGCGCCGCCCGCGTGGAGCCCCGGGCCCGAGGAGAGCGCCGCGGCTGCCACAGGTGAGTTACCTGTGTCCTGTGTCACCTCCTGTGTCACCTGTGTCACCTGTGTTACCTCCTGTGTCACCCCCTGTGTCACCTGTGTTACCCCTGTGTACCCTGTGTCACCCCCTGTGTCACCCCCTGTGTTACCTCCTTGGCACACCTGTGTTACCTGTGTCACCCCCCTGGGTCACCTGTGTTACCTGTGTCACCGGTGTCAGCTGTGTCACCCCCCGTGTCACCTGTGTCACCGCCTTGTCACACCTGTGTCACCTTCCCGTGTCACCTGTGTCACCTCCCCATGTTACCTGTGTCACCTCCCCGTGTCACCCCCGTGTCACCTGTGTTGCCTGTGTTACCTGTATCATCTGTGTCACCTGTGTCATCTGTGTCACTGTCTTGTCACACCTGTGTCACCTGGGTTATCTGTGTCACCTGTGCTACCTGTGTCACCTCCTTGTCACCCCCCGTGTCACACCTGTGTTACCCCCCGTGTCACACCTGTGTCACACCTGTGTCACACCTGTCTCACCCCCATTGTGTCACCCGCAGGTGACATCTTCGAGAGCTTCTCGGAGCACCCCCCTCTGCTGCTGCCCACCCGCGGCTTCCGCCTGGGCCGGGGGGTCCCGGGGGGGCTCCTGCGCCCCCTCCTCCAAATCCGCCAGCGCCTCTGGGAGCTCGAGGGGGGCGGCGCGGACCCCTGACCCCCGGGACCCCCAAAATCCCCCCAGAATCCCCCCAAAATCCCCGAAAACCACCCAAAAATCCCCCAAAATCCGCCAGCGCCTCTGGGAGCTCGAGGGGGGCGGCGCCGACCCCTGAGACCCCAAAATCACCCAAAAACCCCCCAAAATCCCCCAAAACCCCCCCAAAATCACCCCAAAACCCCCCAAAATCACCCCAAAAATCCCCCAAAATCCGCCAGCGCCTCTGGGAGCTCGAGGGGGGCGGCGCCGACCCCTGAGACCCCAAAAACCCCCAAAATCCCCCAAAAACCCCCCAAAACCGCCCAAAACCCCCCAAAATCCCCCCAAAATCCCTCAAAATCCGCCAGCGCCTCTGGGAGCTCGAGGGGGGCGGCGCCGACCCCTGAGACCCCCAAAACTCCCCAAAATCCCCCCCAAAGACCCCCAAAACCCCCCCAAAATCACCCCAAAACCACCCAAAAATCCCCCCAAAACCCCCCAAAATCCGCCACTGCCTCTGGGAGCTCGAGGGGGGCGGCGCCGACCCCTGACCCCCCAAAGACCCCCGGGACCCCCCAAAATCCCCCCAAAGACCCCCCAAAGTCCGTCCAAAACTCACCCAAAATCCCCCAAACCCCCCCCCAAAATCCCCCAAAATCCCCCAAAACCCCCCAAAATATCCCCCAAAATCCCCCAAATCCCCCCAAAGACCCCCAAAATCCCCCCAAATCCCCCCAAAATTCCCCCAAAACCCCCCAAACCGCCCCAAAATTCCCCCCAAAATCCCCCCAAACTGCCCCAGAGTCTCTGGGACCCTCCCCCGGGGGTGAGGGGGGTCCCCGGGGGTGGGGAGGGGTCTCGGTGTGCGACCCCCCCCCCCCAAAATAAAAGATGTGATGGTGACGTCGGTGTCCTGGGGGGTCCTGGGGGAATTTTGGGGACGTTTGGGGGGGTCCTAAGGGGTTTTGGGGGGTTCTGGTGGATTTTTGGGGGTCTTTGGGGGGATTTTGGGGGTCTTTGGGGGATTTTGGGGGTTCCTGGGGAGGTTTTGGGGGGTCCCGGGGGGATTTTGGGGGGTGCTGGGTGGATTTGGGGGAGGTTTAGGGGGTCCCGCGGCTCCGTTATTGGGGGGGGGTCGCGGCTCATTTATTGGGGGGGGGTCGCGGCTCCGTTATTGGGGGGGGGTCGCGGCTCCGTTATTGGGGGATCGCGGCTCCGTTATTGGGGGGGGGTCGCGGGTCCGTTATTGGGGGATCGCGGCTCCTTTATTGGGGGGGGGTCGCGGCCCCGTTATTGGGGGGTCCCGCGGGTCCTTTATTGGGGGGGGGTCGCGGGTCCGTTATTGGGGGGGGGTCGCGGCCCCGCGCGCCGGAAGCAGAACCTGTGGGCGGGGCCAGAGGGGGCGGGGCTTAGCCCTACTTGCCACGCCCCAATGGGTGTGGTCACGCGAGTGGGCGTGGCTTCTTCCAAACGCCCCAAAATCGCCCCGAAACCCCCCAAAAAATACACCCGGGACCCCCAAAAACACCCCTGGGATTCACAAAACTCCCCTGGGACGCCCCAAAAAAAAACCCCGGGAGTCCTAAAATCCTCCAGGACCCCCCAAATCCCTCCAAACTCCCCCAAAATCCCCTCGAGACCCCCAAAAAACCCCCCTGGGATTCCCAAAATCCCCCCGGGACCGCCCAAAATCCCCCAGAGACCCCCAGAAAACCCCCTGGGATTCCCAAAATCTCCCCCGGACCCCCCAAAATCCCCCCAAAAATCCCCCAAAATTCCCGCGGGACCCCCCAAATCCCTCTAAATCTCCCCCAAAATCCCCTCGAGACCTCCAAAAAAACCCCTGGGATTCATAAAATTCCCCCGGGACCCCCCAAAATGCCCCCAAAAATCCCCCAAAATTCCCGCGGGACCTCCCAAAATCCTTCCAGAACTCCCCCAAAATCCCCTCGAGACCCCCAAAAACCCCCTGGGATTCCCAAAATTCCCCCGGGACCCCCCAAAATTCCCCCGGGACCCCCCAAAATCCCCCAGAGACCCCCCAAAATCCCCCCCGCCCCCCCGCCTCACCAGGCGATGCCCGCGGCCACCAGCGCTGTCGCGATAGTCGTGACGGCGATAGCGGCGACAGCGGCCGGGGGGAGCCCCCCGGGGGGGGCGGCGGGGGGGGGCGGGGCCGCGCCGGGGACCCTCGGCCGGGGCAGAACTGCGGGGGGGGGGGGCGTCATTTTGGGGGTTTTGGGGGTCCCGGGGGGATTTTGGGGGGCTCGGGGGGGGGGTTTGGGGGAGCCCTGGGGGGGTTTTGGGGGGTCCCGGGGGGGTTTTGGGGGTCCCAGGGGGGTTTTGGGGGTCCCGGGGGGGGTTTGGGGGTCCTGGGGGGGGTTTAGGGGTCCCGGGGGCGGATTCTGGGGGTATTTTTGGGGATTTTGGGGGGATTTTTGAGGGTCACGGGGGGATTTTTGGGGCCATTTTGGGGCTATTTTGAGGGTTATTAGGGGATATTTTGGGCATTTGGGGGAATTTTTAGGGGATATTTTGGGGAGAATTTTGGGAGGAATTTTGGGGATATTTTGGGGATCTTTTGGGAGTATTTTGGGGATTATTAGGGGATATTTTGGGCATTTGGGGCAATTTTTAGGGGATATTTTAGGGAGAATTTTGGGAAGAATTTTGGGGATCTTTTGGGGATCTTTTGGAGTATTTTGGGGATGTTTTGGGGGTGTTTGTGGGGTTTCTCGGGGATATTTTGAGGACATTTTGGGCACTTTTCGGGGATATTTTGAGGATATTTTGGGGACATTTTGGGGATATTTCGGGGGCATTTCGGGCACATTACAGGGCACATTTCGGGCACATTTCGGGGACATTTCGGGGATATTTCGGGCACATTTCGGGGATATTTCGGGGATATTTAGGGAATATTTCAGGGATATTTAGGGCACATTTCGGGAATATTTCAGGGACATTTCGGGGACATTTCAGGGCACATTTCGGGCACATTTCGGGCACATTTCGGGGATATTTCGGGCACATTTCGGGCACATTTCGGGCACGTTTCGGGCGCGTCCCGGGGCTCACCGCTGACGTTGAAGCGCAGCTCCGAGCCCGCCCGCCCGCCGGGGCCCCGCATCAGGCACCGGTACCGGCCCGCCGCCGCCGCCGCCGCCGCTCTCCGCACCAGCACCGGGTCGGGGCCGCTCCGCAGCAGCCGCTCGGCGGGCGGGGGGCGCGGGGGCTCCGCGGCCGCCCCCCGACTCTGGGGAGGGGGCTCGGGGGGCTCCGCGGCCGCCCCCCGCCTTTGGGGAGGGGGCTCGGGGGGCTCCGGGCCCGCCCCGGCCGCGGCCAGGCCCTGGGAGGGAGGAAAAGTGGGGTCGCTTTGCGGTTTTTTGGGGTTTTTGGGGTTTTTGGGGTCGGGGAGGGTCCCGGCGGAATTTGGGGAGGGGTCGCTCACCCGGTAGAAGCTGTAGGTTTTGGCACCGTGCGAGGCCCCGTGCCAGGGCAGGGCGCAGTCCAGCACCAGGTCCTGCCCCTCCTCCACCCACAGCTGCCGCTCTGGGGGGGGGGGGGGAAGGGGCTGAGACCCCTCCCCAAATTACCCCCACCCCGGTTAACCCCCGGCAGCCCCCTCCCCAATTCAGGAGCTCCGGGACGCACAAAAATTGCCCTTCTGGGATCTCTCGGTGAGCTGAAATAGCCCCAAAAAATCCCCCCGAGACCCCCAAAAATCTCCCCGAAACCCCCCACCAAAATCCTCTGGAGACCCCCTTAAAAATCCCCCCGAGCCCCCTCAAAAATCCTCTCAAGACTCCCCCAAAAATCCCCCCGAAACCCCTCAAAAATGCCCTCGAGACCCCCCCAAAATCCTCCCGAAACCCACCCCAAAATCCTCTGGAGACCCCCCAAAAAATCCCCCCGAGACCCCCCGAAAAATCCCCCCAAAACCCCTCAAAAATCCTCTCGAGACTCCCCCAAAATCCCCTCGAGCCCCCCCCAAACTCCTCCCGACCCCCCAAAGCCCCCCAGGATCCCTTCAAATCCCCCCCAAATCCCCCCGGGACCCCCCAAATCCCCCCCAGGACCCCCCAAATCCCCCCCAAAGCCCCCCAAAGCCCCCCAGGATCCCTTCAAATTCCCCCTAAATCCCCCCCAAATCCCCCCCAAATTCCCCCAAAGCCCCCCAAATCCCCCCCAAATCCCCCCAAATCCCCCCCAAATCCCCCCAGGACCCCCCAAATCCCCCCAAATCCCCCCGAAGCCCCCTACCCCCGCAGTCCAGGCCCCTGTTGCAGGCGAAGTGGGTGAGGTTGCAGAAGATGCACTCGATCCACACCACCTCCATCCGCCCTGGGGGGCGATTTTGGGGGTTTTTGGGGTCACCCGGGAGGCTCCGGACCCCCAAAATCCCCCCTAAACCCCCCAAAACCCCCCCGACCCCGCTTACCGCATTTATTGGGGCAATAAACTGAAAAAAAAAAGGGAAAAATGGGGTTAAAAATGAGGATTTTGGGGGGTGGGATTGGATTTTGGGGGGTCCCGGATGAGTTTGGGGGGTCCCAGAGGGGTTTTGGGGGCTCTGAGTGGGTTTGGGGGTCCCAGAAGAGTTTTAGGGGGGATTTGTGAGGATTCCCGGGGGGATTTTGGGGGGATTTTGGGGAGATTTGGGTCGGGGTTCCAAGGGTGAATTTCGGGAGGGATTTTGGGGGTCCCGGGGGGGATTTTGGGGGTCCCGGGGGGGATTTTGGGGGTCCCGCAGCCCACCCTGGCTCTGGAACCGCCTCATCAGCCGCTCGAAGTCCTCTTTGATCTCCCGCATGGCCCAGAGCAGCTCCTGGTAGATCTGTTCGTCTGCGGGGGGATTTTGGGGCATTTTGGGGCATTTTGGGGCGTTTTGGGGAGTGGAGGAGGGTCCCCCCGAGGCGAACCCCCCCACTGGGATCAGCAATTAACGCCCCAATTAATGGCACTGGGCTCTGGGGTTAATGAGACCCAAAAAAATCCCGAAAAATGAGATTTACACCAAAAAAAACCAAAAAAAACCCATAAAAATTAACCCCAAAAATCCCAAATTTGGGGTCGCTGTTAGAGGGCTTTGAGTGACCCAATTAAGCCGCAATTAAGCTCATTAAGCTCCAGAATTAACCACCCAATAAACCCCAATAGAAAAAAACAAATTAAGCCCAAATAAAGCCCCAAAAATGACCCAAATTAAAGCCCAGTAAATGACACAATTAAAACCCAATAAAAATCCAATTAAACCCCAATAAATCCCCAAGAATCACCCAAATTAAAGCCCAATAAAAACTCAATTGTACCCCATAAAAACCCAATTAAACCCCAATAAAAAACCCAAATAAACCCCAATAAAAAGCCAAATTAAACCCCAATAAAAAACCCAAATAAACCCCAATAAATCTCCCCAAAATGCCCCAAATTTTGGGGTCACCTTTGATGTCCTGGGCCATGACCCGGGCCAGGGTCCGGCGGAAATGGATCGAGGCCTCGTCCAGGGTGGCCTGGTCTGGGGGGGCGGGGGGCTCAGAGGGGACCGAGACCCCCCAGAGCCCCCAAATTCCTGCCCCAAATCCCCCAAATTCCCCAAATCCCCCAAATTCCCCAAATTCCTGCCCCAAATCCCCTCCCTCCCCAGCCCCCCCACTTTTTAGGGTGAATTTTGGGGGTCCCAGGGGGGTCTGTGGGTTTTTGGGGGGTTCGGGAGGGGATCTGGGGGGGGGATTTTGGGAGGATTTGGGGAGATTTGGGGTCCCGGGAGCACAGGATGGATCTGGGGTCCCAGGAAGGATTTGGGGCTCCCAGAGCGGATCTGTCCCAATTAGGGGAGGGGTCTGCACTGACCGATGACCCCCATGAAGCTGCGGGGGTCCCGGGCAGGATTTGGGGAGGTTTTAGGGGTCCCGGGGAAGTTTTGGGCAGGATTTGGGGAGGTTTTTGGGTCCCAGGGAGGATTTTGGGTCCCGTTATGGATCTGGGACTCCAGGTCAGCTCTATCGGAATTAGAGGAGGGGTCTCACGCACCGATGACCCCCATGAAGCTGCGCGGGTCCCGGGCAGGATTTGGGGAGGATTTGGGGAGGATTTGGGGCCCCAGGAGGACAGGACGGATTGGGGGCTCCCAGATCAGCTCTATCGGAATTAGGGGAGGGGTCTCACGCACCGATGACCCCCATGAAGCTGGCGGGGTCCCGCGGCAGGATTTGGGGAGGTTTTAGGGGTCCCAGAGAGGTTTTTGGGGAGGATTTGGGGCCCCAGGAGGACAGGACGGATCTGTGACTCCCGGGTCAGCTCTATCCCAATTAGAGGAGGGGTCTCACGCACCGATGACCCCCATGAAGCTGGCGGGGTCCCGCGGCAGGATTTGGGAAGGTTTTAGGGTCCCGTTATGGATTGGGGGTTCCCAGAGCGGATCTATCGGAATTAGGGGAGGGGTCTCACGCACCGATGACCCCCATGAAGCTGCGCGGGGTCCCGGGGAAGTTTCGGGAGAGGATTTGGGGAGGTTTTAGGGTCCCGTTATGGATCTGGCACTCCCAGGTCAGATCTATCGGAATTAGGGGAGGGGTCTCACTGACCGATGACCCCCATGAAGCTGCGGGGGTCCCGGGGAGGATTTCGGGTCCCGGGGAGGTTTTAGGGTCCCGGAATGGATTTGGGCTCCCAGATCAGCTCTATCCCAATTAGAGGAGGGGTCTCACGCACCGATGACCCCCATGAAGCTGTCCGGGTCCCGGGCAGGATTTGGGGAGGATTTGGGGGTCCCAGGGATGTTTTAGGGAGGATTTGGGCTCCCAGGAGGACAGGACGGACTGGGGACTCTCAGAGCGGATCTATCCCAATTAGGGGAGGGGTCTCACGCACCGATGACCCCCATGAAGCTGGCGGGGTCCCGGGCAGGATCTGGGGAGGATTTGGGGAGGTTTTTGGGTCCCGGGAAGGTTTTAGGGTCCCGTTATGGATTGGGGGCTCCCAGAGCGGATCTATCGGAATTAGGGGAGGGGTCTCACGCACCGATGACCCCCATGAAGCTGTCCGGGTCCCGCGGCAGCCGCGCCAGCCCCAGCACGCCCCGCAGCACCAGGGAGCCGAGGCGGCCGCGGCCCGCGGGCTGTGCGGGCAGGGCCCGGCGCAGGAACGGCCCGAGCAGCTCCGCCAGCGCCGCCGCCGCCGCGGGGTCGCACAGCACACAGCCGCCGACCCCCGGCGGGCCCGGGCCCGGGACAGCCCCGAGCCACAGCGGCCCGAGCAGCCACAGCAGCAGCGCCCCGAGCATCGCGCACCGGGCACCGAGCCGGGAACGGAACGGGAACGGGAACGGGGCCGGTAACAGAGGGGAACGGGCGGGGAGCGGCCGGTAACGGGCCGGTAACGGCCGGTAACGGCGGGGGAACCGGGACCGGGGGGGTTCGGGGGAGGTTTGGGGGCGTTTGGGGGGGATCCTGATGATGTTTGGGGGAGGTTTGAGGGGTCCTGAGGCGGTTTTGGGGCGGTTTGAGGGGTCCTGAGGGGGTTTGGGGTGATTGGGGGCTCCTGAGGGGGTTTTGGGGCGGTTTTGGGGGTTCTGAGGGGGTTTTGGGGCGGTTTTGGGGGTTCTGAGGGGGTTTGGGGTGATTTTGGGGATATTTGGGGGGTCCTCGGGAGGGTTTGGGGGAGGTTTGGGGTGGTTTAGGGGGTCCTGAGGGGGTTTGGGGTGATTTGGGGGGAATTTGAGGGGTCCTCGGGGGGGTTTGGGGGAGGTTTGAGGGGTCCTGAGGGGGTTTGAGGGGTCCTGAGGCGGTTTTGGGCGGTTTGAGGGGTCCTGAGGGGGTTTGGGGTGATTTGGGGGGAATTTGGGGGGTCCTCGGGAGGGTTCGGGGGAGGTTTGAGGGGTCCTGAGGGGGTTTTGGGCGGTTTGGGGGGTTCTCAGGGGGTTCTGGGGCGGTTTGGGGGGTCATGAGGCGGTTTCGGGGAGGTTTGGGGGGTCCTGAGGGGGTTTGCGGTGATTTTAGGGGTCCTGACAGGGTTTTGGGGGGTTTGGGGTGATTTGGGGGAGGTTTGAGAGGTCCTCGGGGGGGTTTGGGAGAGGTTTGAGGGGTCCTGAGGGGGTTTGAGGGGTCCTGAGGCGGTTTTGGGCGGTTTGAGGGGTCCTGAGGGGGTTTTGGGGCGGTTTGGGGGGTTCTGAGGGGGTTTTGGGGCGGTTTGGGGGGTTCTGAGGAGGTTTGGGGTGATCTGGGGGGAATTTGGGGGGTCCTCGAGGGGTTTTGGGGCGGTTCGGTGGGTCCTGAGGGGGTTTCGGGGCGGTTTGAGGGGTCCTGAGGGGTTTGGGGGAGGTTTGGGGGGTCCTGAGGGGGTTTGGGGTGATCTGGGGGGAATTTGGGGGATCGTGAGGGAGTTTTGGGGTGGCCTCGGGGGTTTGGGGGCGGTTTGGGGGGTCCTGAGGGGGTTTTGTGGCGGTTTGGGGGGTTCTGAGGGGGTTTTGTGGCGGTTTGGGGGGTTCTGAGGAGGTTTGGGGACATTTTGGGCGACCCTGAGGGGGTTTGGGGAGGTTTGGGGGGTCCTGAGGGGGTTTGGGGTGATCTGGGGGGAATTTGGGGGATCCTGATGATGTTTGGAGAGGTTTGGGGGGTCCTGAGGGGGTTTGGGGTGATCTGAGGGGAATTTGGGGGATCCTGATGATGTTTGGAGAGGTTTGGGGGGTCCTGAGGGGGTTGTGGGGGGAATGGAGGGGTTTGAGGGGGTTTTTGGGTCGGGACAACGCCGGTGAGAGCGAATTTGGGGCGAAAATCGGAGATTTTAGGGCTCCGGGAGGGGTTCGGGGTCCGTATCGGCCGGACGCTTACGTCAGCGGAGATTTTGGGGAGCAGAGGCGGGTTTGGGGTTTTGGGTGGGTTTGGGGCGGGTTTGGGCGAATTTTGGGCGAATTTTGGGCGAATTTCGGCAATTTTCCACCTCGATCCCGGAGTCCCCTCACGCCAAGCCCCGCCCCCTTTAGCCTGTGATTGGCCGAAGCTCAGCGGCGGCGCCTTCCGATTGGCCGAGAGCGGGGGCGGCGGGAGGCGCTGATTGGCTGCGGCGGAGGGCGGTAAACGGAGAGAGGACGGTGATTGGCTGCTTTGCGGGCTGTGGGCGGGGAGAGGGCGGGTCGGCTGTCACGTGCAGCGTGTGTCACGTGGATCGCGCGCGGAGCGGCCTCAGGTGGGTGCGGGGGGCGGGGGGGGGGGGGGGCTGAGGGTCACGTGACCCCGGCCAGGTGTGCCCAGGTGTGCCCAGGTGACCCCCGTGACCTTCCCAAAGTCCCACCGATGTGGCACAGGCGGGCACAGGTGATCCCCGTGTGTGCCAGGGGTGTGCCGTGACCCCCGGTCACCTCCCCCCGGTGTCACGGGTCACTCAGGTGTCCCTCACGTCCCCCCAGGTGTGCCCAGGTGTGTCCCAGCTGTGCCAGGGATGTGCCATGACCCCTGCTGATCTCTCCTAGGTGCCACCAGGTGTGTCCCAGCTGTGCCCAGCTGTGCCCAGGTGTGTCCCAGGTGCCCCCAGGTCTGTCCCAGGTGCCCCCAGGTGTGTCCCAGGTGTGCCCAGGTGTGCCAGGGATGTGCCAGGGATGTGCCGTGACCCCTGCTGTTCTCTCCTAGGTGCCCCCCAGGTGCCCCCAGGTGTGCCCAGGTGCCCCCAGGTGTGTCCCAGCTGTGCCCAGGTGCGCCATGGCCGCCCGCCCGGGCTGGCCCCTGCCCGGCTCCTCGGCCCTGCTCGTCTGTGACCTCCAGGAGCGATTCCGCGGCTCCGTCGCCGCCTTCCCGCAGATCGTGGCCGTGGCCGCGCGCCTGCTGCAGGTGGGGACCCCAAAATACCCAAAAACGCCCCAAAAAAAACCCCAAAACCCCCCAAAATATGCCCAAAACAACACCAAAAACCATCCCAAAACCAGCCTAAAATACCCCCAAAACCCCCCAAAATACTACCAAAGACATCCCCAAAAACCACCCCAAAAACCGCCCCAAAACCAGCCTAAAATACCCTAAAAACAGCCCCAAAATATCCCAAAAACCACCCCAAAAACCACCCCAAAACCAGCTTAAAATACCCCAAAAACACCCCAAATAAACCTCAAAAAACACCTGAAAACCAACCCCAAAACCACCCCAAAATATCCCAAAAACAACGCCAAAAACAACTCCAAAATATCCCAAAACACAACCCCAAAATACCCCCAAATACCCCAAAACCAACCCCAAAAACAACTCCAAAACCACCCCCAAAATACCCCAAAAACACCTCCAAAAGTACCTCAAAAACCACCCCCAAAAACCACTCCCAAAATCACCCCAAAATACCTCAAAACCCATCCCAAAAAAAACTTCCAAAACACCTCAAAATACCCCAAAAACACCCCAAAAATCACAAGAAATCACCCAAAATCACAAAAAAATCACAAAAAATCCCCCAAAATCCCAAAAATCCCAAAAACTCCCCAAACCCCCCCAAAACCTGCCCCTTTCAGGGCTGCCGCATCCTGGGGGTGCCGGCGCTGGTGGCGGAGCAGCGCCCGGAGGTTTTGGGGCGCACGGTGCCGGAATTGGGGGCGCAGGACCTGCCCCGGGTCCCCAAAAGCGCCTTCAGCATGGCGGGGGCGGCCGCGCCCCTCCTGGGGGACCCCAAAATCCGCGCGGTGCTGCTCTGCGGCATCGAGGCGCACGCCTGCGTGCTGGTGAGCGCCCCGAAATATCGGGGTGGGGTGGGGGGACCCCGAAATATCGGGGGTGGAGTGGGGGAAACCCCAAAATCGGAGAGTTTGGGGGTGGTTTGGGGAGGGAAACCCCAAAAATCCGGAGGTTTTGGGGAGGGAAACCCAAAATCGGGGCGTTCTGGGGGTCCTAGAATGGGTTTTGGGGAGGGAACCCCAAAACTGGGGAGTTTTAGGGGTCCTAGAAGGGGTTTTGGGGAGAGAAACCGAAAATCGGGGAGTTTGGGGTTCATCTGGGGAGGGAACCCCAAAATCGGGGAGTTTTAGGGGTCCTAGAAGGGGTTTTGGGGAGGGAAACCCAAAATCGGGGAGTTTGGGGGTGGTTTGGAGAGGGAAATCCAAAAATCCGGGGGTTTTGGGGAGGGAAACCCAAAATCGGGGAGTTTTAGGGATCCTAGAAGGGGTTTTGGGGAGGGAACCCCAAAATCGGGGAGTTTGGGGTTCATTTGGGGAGGGAACCCCAAAATCGGGGAGGTTGGGGGTCCTAGAAGGGGTTTTGGGGAGGGAAACTCAAAATCGGGGAGTTTGGGGGTGGTTTGGGGAAGGAAACCCAAAATCGGGGAGTTCTGGGGGTCCTAGAAGGGGTTGTGGGGAGGGAACCCCAAAATCGGGGAGTTTAGGGGTGGTTCGGGGAGGGAACCCCAAAAATCCGGGGGTTTTGGGGAGGGAAACCCAAAATCAGGGAGTTTGGGGGTGGTTTAGGGAGGGAACACCAAAATCGGGGAGTTTTGGGGAGGGAACCCCAAAATCGGTGAGTTTGGGGCATTCCAGATGGGATTTTGGGGTTATTTCGGGAGGATTTGGGGACTCCCAGTGGAGTTTTGGGTACGAATCCCCCAAATTTCCAACCCACGATTTTTCAGGGGCCCCCCAAATTCCCCAAAACCCCCCCGGTGCCCCAAATTCCCCCCAAAATTTGGATTTTTGGCAGCAAACGGCGCTGGAGCTGCTGGCGGAGGGGCTGGAGGTGCACGTGGCCGCCGACGCCGTCTCCTCGCGCAGGTTTGGGGCCAATTCCGCCGATTTTGGGGTTTTTGGGAGCCCCGGGGCCCTCGGGGGGGCTGGGGGGGTTTTGGGGGGATTTTGGGGAGGATTTTGGGGGGGATTTTGGGGCGTCTCGGGGGTATTTGGGGGGGTCCCAGGGGTGATTTGGGGAGGGGTCCCAGCCAGGTGGGGCGGGGTTTGGGGTCTCAGGTGTAATTTGGGGAGGGGTCCCAGGTGTAATTTGGGGAGGGGTCCCAGCCAGGTGGGGCGGGGTTTGGGGGTCCCAGGTGTAATTTGGGGAGGGGTCCCAGGTGTAATTTGGGGAGGGGTCCCAGCCAGGTGGGGCGGGGTTTGGGGGCGGGGTTTGGGGCGGGGTTTGGGGTCCCAGGTGTAATTTGGGGAGGGGTCCCAGGTGAATTTGGGGAGGGGTCCCAGCCAGGTGGGGCGGGGTTTGGGGGCGGGGTTTGGGGGCGGGGTTTGGGGGTCTCAGGTGTAATTTGAGGAGGGGTCTCAGGTGTAATTTGGGGAGGGGTCCCAGCCAGGTGGATCGCGCCCTCGCCCTCGCCCGCATGCGCCAGGCCGGCGCGTACCTGAGCACCTGCGAGTCCCTCCTGCTGCTGCTGCTGCGAGACTCCGCCCACCCCAAATTCCCGCAGGTGAGCGGCCACGCCCACCTGGACACGCCCACCGGGCCACGCCCACCCAGGCCACACCCACCCAGGCCACGCCCACCCAGGCCACGCCCGCCTGGACACGCCCACCCAGGCCACACCCCCCTGTGAAACCCCGCCCACAAAACCGTTAATTATGCGCTGGTTAATGGGTTAATTATGGGGTAATTATCATTTATTAAACAGGTTTATTAGCGGTTAATTAGCGGATGGGCAGTTGGTTCGTTTGGGTTGATTAGAGGCTGGTTAATTACTGTTAATGCGTTAATTAGTGGTTAATAAAGGGGCGGTTATGTGGTTTCTTACGGTTAATTAGAGGTTGGCTAGTTAGGGTAATTAGGGCCCAGTTAATCCGTTAATTAGGGGTTAATAAAGGGGTGGTTATGTGGTTTCTTAGGGTTAATTAGAGGTTGGCTAGTTAGGGTTAATTAGGGCCCAGTTAATCCGTTAATTACGGGTTAATAAAGGGATGGTTATTAAACTAATGAGGTTTAAGAGGGGTTAATTATTTGTTAGGGTGAATTATAGTCCCAAGGGTTTAATGAGGGTTAATTAGCACTAATTAGCCCTAATTACCCCTCCAGATCCTGCCCCTGATCAAGGAGCCACCGCCGGACACGGGGCTGATCCTGGGGGGGGCCCTGGGGGCGCTGGGGGAGCCCTGAGACCCCAAAATCCCCCAAAATCAGCCCAAAAAAAACCCCCAAATCAGCCCAAAAATCTGCCCAGAAATCCCCCAAAATCAGCCCAAAAAAAACCCCAAAATCAGCCCAAAAATCTGCCCAGAAATCCCCCAAAATCAGCCCAAAAATCCCCCAAATTCTGCACAAAAATCCTCCTCAGTCTGGGGAGCGTCTGAGCCCCCAAATCCCCCCAAAATCAGCCCAAAAATCCCCAAAATCCCCCAAATTCAGCCCAAAATTCCTCCTCAGTCTGGGGAGTGTCTGAGCCCCCAAATCCCCCCCAAAATCAGCCCAAAATTCCCCAAAATCCCCCAAATTGGGGTCAATAAACACTGCCCCTTCCCCAAAATTCAGAGTTTGGGGGTTTTTTTGGGTTTTTTTTGGGGGGGGGTCCCCAAAGTGGGCGTGGCCTGTCCTGGCTTAGCTCCGCCCCCTTTGGGCGTGGCCGAACAAGCCCCGCCCCTTCCCGTTGACTGACATTCGCCTCCGCGGCCACGCCCCCGCGTTTGATTGACAGTTCGGCCCCGCCCCTTTCCCCCTTTTCTTAATGAACCCGCCGCGCGAGTGGGCGCTGGCCACGCCCCCCACGCCCCCATTGGCTGCGCTCAGCCAATCAGCGCCCGCCTCTCGCCCCCCGCCCCCCCCCCTCAGCCGCTCCGTCCTGCGGGGGCTTCGCGCCGGCACCGCGACCCCCAAAACCCCCCAAAATCCCCCAAAATCCCCCCAAAATCCCCCCAGAACCCCCCAAAATCCCCCCACCACCCCTCAAATCCCCCCCGGGACCCCCCAGATCCCCCAAAGCCCCCCAGAATCCCCCCAAATCCCCCCAAAATCCCCCCTGGGGACCCCCCAAAACCACCCGGGACCCCCAAAACCCCCCCGGGACCTCCCAAATCCCCCCAAAATCCCCCCAAATCCCCCCCAAACCCCCCAAATTCACCCAAAACCTCCCCAGATTCCCCCCGCGTCCCCCCAAGTCCACCCCGGGACCCCCCAGATCCCATCCGGGACCTCCCCAACCCCCAAAAATCCCCCCAAAACAGCCCAAAACTCCCCCAAAATCCCCCCCAGCCCCCGGGATCCCCCCAAAACCCCCCCGGGATCCTCCCAAAATCCCCCCAAATTGCCCCAAAATCCCCCAAATCGCCCCCGGGACCCCCCGGGACCCCCCCGGGACCCCCCGGGACCCCCGGACCGGGCACAGCCCCCCCCGATCGCCCCGGTGAGTGACAACGGCGGCAACGGGGGCGCGGTCGCCATGGCAACGGGGATGGGGATGGGGGGACAGGGGGGTGGCACCGGTGGGGGGCAGGGGGACACTGAGTGTGACACTGAGTGTGACAGCGAGTGTGACCCCAGGAGTGTGACAGGAGTGTGACAATGAGGGTGGCAGCGATGGCCGGGGGTGACAGTGAGTGTGACATGGGGAGTGTGACACTGGGAGTGTGACAGCGGGAGTGTGGCAATGATGGCAGGGGGGTGACAGTGAGTGTGTGACACTGTGACAGCGAGTGTGACACCAGGAGTGTGACAATGAGGGTGACAGTGGGAGTGTGACAGTGATGGCAGGGGGGTGACAGCGAGTGTGACACTGAGTGTGACAGGGAGTGTGACACCAAGAGAGTGGCAGTGATGGCAGGGGTGACAGTGAGTGTGTGACACCACAAGTGTGACAGGGAGTGTGACAGTGATGGCTGAGGGTGGCAGGGAGTGTGACACCGGGAGTGTGACAATGAGGGTGACAGTGGGAGTGTGGCAATGATGGCCGGGGGGTGACAGCGAGTGTGTGACACTGAGTGTGACACCAGGAGTGTGACAGTGACACTGTGACACTGAGTGTGTGACACTGAGTGTGGCACCGCGAACGTGGCAGCGATGGCACGAGGGTGACAGTGAGTGTGACACCAGGAGTGTGACAATAAGGGTGACAGCAGGAGTGTGACAGTGATGGCTGAGGGTGGCAGGGAGTGTGACGTGTGACACTGGGAGTGTGACAATGAGGGTGACAGCGGGAGTGTGACACTGAGTGTGACAGTGAGTGTGACACTGGGAGTGTGACAGCGGGGGGATGGCAGCGATGGCAGGAGGGTGACAGCGAGTGTGACACCGGGAGTGTGACACTGTGTGACAGTGACACTGAGTGTGACACTGAGTGTGACACCACAAGTGTGGCAGCGATGGCACGAGGGTGACACCGAGTGTGACACTGAGTGTGACAGGAAGTGTGTGACAACGTGGGCGACACCGGGAGTGTGACAGGGACATGGAGGGTGGCAGCGATGGCAGGGGGTGACAGTGAGTGTGACAGCGGGAGTGTGACAGTGACAGGGAGTGTGACACTGGCAGGGAGTGTGACACCAGGGGGATGGCAGTGTGACACCAAGTGTGACACTGGGAGTGTGACAGTGACAGGGAGTGTGACAGTGACAGGGAGTGTGACAGGAGTGTGTGACACCGGGTGTGACACCGGGTGTGACAGCGATGGCAGCGCGGTGACGGGGACAGGGAGGTGACAGGGCCAGCAGGGGTGACACCGAAGGCCTGGCAGTGACATCGGGGGGTGACACAGGGACAGTAGCACTGACACTGTGACGGTGACACTGACGGTGACACTGATGGTGACACTGACAGTGACATCGGGATTTGGGGCTCCCGGCTGTTCTCAGGCCGAGTTTGGGGGTTTTGGGGAGGATTCCGGGGATTTGGGGGCTGGCTGGGATCTGGGGCTTTGGGGCCGATTTGGGTCGGGTTTGGGGCATTTTTGGTCGGTTTTGGGGCCTTTTTTGTCGGTTTTGGGTGTCTTTGGGGTTGGTTTGGTGTGTTTGGGTTTGGGGCTGGTTTTGGGCCGATTTTGGTCGGTTTTGGGTCAGTTTTGGGACACTTTGTCGGTTTTGGGTGGGTTTGGGGTTGGTTTGGTGGGTTTGGGTGGGTTTAGGGTTGGTTTTGGTTGATTTTGATCATTTTTGGGCTGTTTTCAGTGGGTTTGGGGCTGGTTTTGGTGGGTTTGGTTTTGGGTTGGTTTTGGGTTGGTTTTGGTTGGCTTTGAGTTTATTTTGGTCGGTTTTGGTTGATTTCTGTTGGTTTTGGTTGGTTTGGGGCTTTTTTGGTTGATTTTGGCGTTTTTGGGCTGTTCTCGGTGGGTTTTGGGTTGATTTTGGTGGGTTTTGGGTTGGTTTTGGGTTCGTTTTGTTTGGCTTTGAGTTTATTTTGGTCAGTTTCGGTTGATTTCTGTTGATTTTGGTTGGTTTGGGGCTGGTTTTGGTCATTTTTGGGCCGTTTTCGGGGCGGTTTTGGCTTTTTGGGCTCTTTCCAGCAGCATCGGCGATATTTTTGTGGTTTTGGGGCGATTTTGGTGTTTTTGGGGCGATTTTGGTGTTTTTGGGGGCGTTTTGGGGGGCTGTTTTGGGGTGGGGGAGGGGCGCGGTTGCCGGGCACGGTTTCCATGGCAACGGGGGATGCTGCCTTGGAAACGGGGAGGGGGAGGGGAGGGGGGGGAGGGGCGCGCGCGGAGCACGACGGGAAACGGGGAGACCCCTCCCCCATCGTCCCCTCCCCCCCACAGGAGCGACGGGACCCCCCCCGGGACCCCTCCCCCCACCGGGGTCCCCCTCCCCTAATTACCCCCTGTAATTAACCCCCCTAATTAATCTCCCCCTCCCCCACCATGCCCCCGCCCCTCCCCCCCCTCCTCCTCCTCACCCTCCTCCCCCTCCCCTCCCCCTCCTCGCCCCTCCCCCCTCCCTCCGCCCCCTCCCCCCCCCGCCGCACCCACCTACGTCACTCCGGGGGGGCGGGGCTTCCCCGGGATTCCCCCCCGCCCGCTGACGTCACAGCCGGGGGGATTCCCCCGGGGCCGCCGAGGGAGTTCCCGGGACCGACGGAATTCCCGGGACAGAAGGAGTTCCCGGGACCGAAGGAATTCCCGGGACAGAAGGAATTGCCGGGACCGGAGGAATTCCCGGGACCGAAGGAATTCCCGGGACCGAGGGAATTACCGGGACACCGGAATCCTCCGGGACACCGGGATCCTCCGGGACCGAAGGAATTCCCGGGACCGAAGGAGTTCCTGGGACTGCCGAGGGAATTCCCGGGACTGAGCGATCCTCGGGGGCCGCGGGACTCGCCGGATCTCGGGGACTCACCGGAGCCCCGGGACTCGCCGGTACCGCGGGATCCTCTCGGGCTGCGGGAGTCCCCGAAGCCCCGGGACCCTCCGGGACCCCGGGACTCGCTGGAGCTGCGGGACTGGCCGGGACCGAAGGAATTCCCGGTGCTGCGGGACTCACCGGAGCTGCGACACTCGCTGGATCTCCAGGACTCACCGGGGCCTCGGGATCCTCTCGGGCTGTGGGACTCCCCGAGGCCCCGGGACTCACCGGATCTCCAGGACTGGCAGGGACTGAAGGAATTCCCGGTGCCACGGGACTCACCGAAGCCCCGGGACCCTCCGGGACCCCGGGACCCTCCGGAGCCCCGGGACTCGCCAGCACCCCGGGACTCGCCGGATCTCCAGGACTCACCAGAGCCCCGGGACTCCCCGGTGCCGCGGGATCCTCTCGGGCTGCGGGACCCTCCGGAGCCCCGGGACCCCCCGAAGCCCCAGGACTCACCGGAGCTCCAGGACTCAGCGGAGCCCCGGGACCCGTCGGTACTGCGGGATCCTCTCGGGCTGCGGGGCTTCCGGATGCCCCGAGACTCACCGGAGCCCCGGGACCCGCCAGCACCCCGGGACTCTGCAGAGCTGCGGGACTCACCGGAGCCTCGGGACCCGCCAGCACCCCGGGATCCCCCGGAGCCCCGGGACCACCCGAAGCCCCGGGACTCCCGGAAGCCCCGAGACTCACCGGAGCCCCGGGACCCACCAGCACCCCGGGATCCCCCGGAGCCCCGGGACCCGCCGAAGCCCCGCGACCCTCCGGTGGCCCGTGACCCTCCTCCGGTGTCCCGGGACTCCCCGGAGCTGTGCCACGGCTACTACGACGTGATGGGGCACTACGACGCGGCGTTCAACTGCTCGACGGGCGCGTTCCGGTTCTGCTGCGGCACGTGCAGTTACCGGTTCTGCTGCGAGCACCGGGCGCGGCGCCTCGAGCAGCGGCGCTGCGGGAACGCGCGGAGCCCGCCCTGGGCGCGCACCGCCGCCCCCGCGCCCTCCGCCGGGGCTGGTACCGGCACCGGCACCGGGGCCGGCACCGGGGGGCTCCGCGGGGCCGCGCTGGCGGCGGGAGCACCGGGCGGGGTCCCGTACGTGGTGTGCGGAGTGGTCAGCGCGGCGCTGGCGGCGGCCGTGGGGGCCCGCGCGGCGTGGGGGAGAGCGCAGCGCGGGGACCGAGCGGCGGCGGCACAAAGGGAGCGCGGCAGGTGAGCGGGGACAGGTGGGGACAGGGGACAGGTGAGGGGGGATAGGGGACAGGTGGGGACAGGTGAGGGGATGGGGGGGACAGGGGACAGGTGAGGGACAGGGGACAGGTGAGGGGATGGGGGAGAGCGCAGCGCGGGGACCGAGCGGCGGGAGCGCAGAGAGAGCGCGGCAGGTGAGGGGGGACAGGTGGGGACAGGTGAGGGACAGGTGAGGGGACAGGGGAGGGGACAGGGGACAGGGGACAGGTGAGGGACAGGTGAGGGATGGGGGACAGGTGAGGGGGGACAGGTGAGGGATGGGGGAGAGCGCAGCGCGGGGACCGAGCGGCGGGACAAAGGGAGCGCGGCAGGTGAGGGGGGACAGGGGACAGGTGAGGGGATGGGGACAGGTGAGGGACAGGTGAGGGGATGGGGGAGAGCGCAGCGCGGGGACCGAGCGGCGGGAGCGCAGAGGGAGCGCGGCAGGTGAGGGACAGGTGGGGACAGGTGACAGGTGGGGACAGGGGACAGGTGAGGGGATGGGTGAGAGCGCAGCGCGGGGACCGAGCGGCGGCGGCGCACAGGGAGCGCGGCAGTTGAGGGGGGACAGGTGGAGACAGGTGAGGGGGGGACAGGGGAGGTGGGACAGGTGACGGGACAGGTGAGAGGGGACAGGGGAGGGGGAGGGGATGGGACAGGTGAGGGGAGGTGGGGGATAGGTGAGGGGGGACGGGGAGGGGACAGGGGAGGGGATGGAGACAGGTGAGGGGACAGGTGAGGGGGGTGGGGACAGGTGAAGGGGGACAGGTGAAGGGGGAGGGGACAGGTGAGGGAGGACAGGCGAGGGGACAGGAGAGGGGACGGGACAGGTGAGAGGGGACAGGGGAGGGACAGGGGATGGGACAGGTGAGAGGGGAGGGGACAGGTGAGAGGGGACAGGGGGACAGGTCAGGGGTGTGGGACAGGTGAGAGGGGACAGGTGAGGGGATAGGGGGGACAGGTGAGGGGGACAGGGGCACAGGGGAATGAGGAGGGGGACACGGGGATGGTGACACGGCCCAGGGGTGACACCAGCGGCGGGGCCCGATCCTGCCCGTGTCCCCAAAATGTCCCCAAAATGCCCCAAAATATCCCCAAAATGTCCCAAAAATATCCCCAAAATGTCCCCAAATGTCCCCAGGGCGCTCGTGGACGTGCTGCGGCACCAGGCGGGGTCGGGGCCGGGGGCGCGGCCCGAGCGCCGCAGCAGCTGTGGGGTCCTGCCGCCCCCTCCCCCCGACGCGGGACCCCCCCGGCCCCCCAAAAACCTCTACGGGCCCGGCAAGTGGGGAGGGGGCGCGGGGCGGGGGTCCCGGGGGGGTTTGGGGGGGTTTTGGGGGGTCCCAGGGGGGTTTGGGCGGGTCCCAGAGGGGTTTGGGGGGATTTTGGGGAGGATTTGGGGGGTCCCGGGGGGGTTTGGGGGTCCCGGGGGGGGTTGGGGGTTCCCGGGGGGATTTTGGGGGGTCCCAGAGGGGTTTAGGGGGATTTCGGGGGGTCCCAGGGGGATTTGGGGGGATTTTGGGGAGGATTTGGAGGGTCCTGGGGGATTTGGGGAAGGATTTTGGGGGTCCCGGGGGGTTTGGGGGGATTTGAGGGGATTTCGGGGGGATTTTGGGGGGTCCTTGGGGGATCCCGGGGGGGTTTGGGGGGTCCCAGGGGGGTTTGGGGGGATTTTTGGGGGTCCTGGGGGATTTTGGGAGGGGGCCCAGGGAGATTTGGGGGTCCCGGGGGGATTTTGGGGAGGATTTGGGGGGTCCTTGGGGGGATTTTGGGGGGTCCTGAGGGATTTTGGGGGGTCCCGGGGGGATTTGAGGCGGGGGGTTTGGGGGGGGGGGCTGTCCGAAGAATTTGGGGCGGGGTCTCCTGGTGGGGTTTATGCAAATGAGGCGCTAATGAGCCCCGCCCCCCGCAGAGAGCGGCTACGCCCATCGGGGCTTCGGGACCCCCGAACACCGCGGGGGGGGCCTGGGTGAGCGGGGGGGGGGTTTGGGGGGATTTGGGGGAATTTTGGGGGGATTTGGGGGGTTTGGGGGGATTTGGGGGGATTTTGGGGGGATTTGGGGGATTTTGGGGGGTTTGGGGGGGATTTGGGGAGATTTGGGGGGATTTGGGGGGATTTGGGGGGGATTTGGGGTTTTTGTGGGGAGTTTTGGGGGGATTTGGGGGGAATTTGGGGGATTTTGGGGGGATTTGGGGGAATTTGGGGGATTTTGAGGATTTTGGGGGGATTTGGGGGTTTTTGGGAAGAATCTTTGGGGGGTTTTTTTATTTTTATTTTTTAATTTTTTTGGGTGGTCTCGAGGGGTTTTTTGGGGGGGGGTCTCTGACTGGATTTTTTTTGGCGGGGTCCCGGAGGGTTTTTTTGGGGGGGTCCCGGAGGGTTTTTTTTTGGGGGGGTCCCGGAGGGTTTTTTTGGGGGGTCCCGGAGGGTTTTTTTGGGGGGGTCCCGGAGGGTTTTTTTGGGGGGGTCCCGGAGGGTTTTTTTTTGGGGGGGGTCCCTGAGGGGATTTTTTTGGGGGGTCCCGGAGGGGATTTTTTTGGGGGGGGTCTCTGAGGGGATTTTTTGGGGGGGGGGTCTCTGAGTGGATTTTTTTGGGGGGGTCCCGGAGGGGATTTTTTTGGGGGGGGTCTCGGGGGGGTTTTTTTTTGGGGGGGGTCTCTGAGGGGATTTTTTTGGGGGGGTCCCGGAGGGGTTTTTTTTGGGGGGGGTCTCTGAGGGTTTTTTTTGGGGGGGGTCCCGGAGGGGGTTTTTTTTGGGGGGGGGGTATTTCCCCCCCCGACCCCCCGTTTCCTCCACTCCCCCCAGACTGGCGGGTGCCCCCCCCCGCCCCCCTGAGCTGCTCCCGCTCCTTCCACAACCTCTCGCACCCCCCCCCGCCCTACGAGAGCCCCCCCCGGGCCGACGGCGCCCGTTGGGCCTCGCTGCGGCGCCTGGGTGAGACCCCCGACCCAAATTCCCCAACACCCCCAAAACACCCCCAAAATACCCCCAAAACACCCCCAAAATACCCCCAAAATACCCCAAAATCCACCCCAAAAACCCCAAAATCCACCCCAAAAACCCCAACCCCCCCCCGTTGGGCCTCGCTACGGCGCCTGGGTGAGACCCCCGACCCAAATTCCCAAACCTCCCCTAAACACCCCCAAAACACCCCCAAAATACCCCAAAAACCCCCAAAATCCACCCCAAAAACCCCAACCCCCCCCGGCTGGGCCTCGCTGCGGCGCCTGGGTGAGACCCCCGACCCAAATTCCCAAACTTCCCCAAAACACCCCCAAAATACCCCTAAAATACCCCAAAGTACCGATAAGATACCCCAAAAACCCCAAAATCCACCCCAAAAACCTCAAAATCCACCCCAAAATACCCCCGCCCCCCCGAAATACCCCATAATACCCAAATCCCCCCTAAAAGACCCAAAATCCCCCCAAAAATACCCCAAAAAACCCCAAAAATACCCCCAAACCCCCCCAAATACCCAAAATATCCCAAAAACTTCCATAAAATACCCCAAACCCCCAAAATCCACCCCAAAATATCCCCAAATCCCCCCAACTCCCCAAAACTCCCCCAAAATTTCCCAAACTGTCCAAAAAGCCCCAAATTCCCTTCAAATCCCCCGAAACTCCCCCAAAATTCCCCCAAATTCCCAAATCCCCCCAAATTCCCCCAAATCCCCCCAAAATTGCCCCAAATTCCCCCCAATCCCCCCAAACCCTCCCAAATTTCCCCAGATCCCCCCAAAATCGCCCCAAACCCCCCCAAATCCCCCCAAAATCGCCCGGAAATCCCCAAATCTCCCCCAAACCCCCTCCCCAAATTCCCCCCCATTACCATTAACCCTTTCCTCCCCCTCCCCCGCAGCCGACCGGGACCTGGAGGATTTCGGGGGTCCCTGGGGCCCCCCCTGGGGCGCGCCCCACCCCCCCCGGGGGACGCTGCCCCTCCCCCCGCCGCGGGGCCGCCGGGTCCTGTCCCAGGAATTTTTGGGGGGTGGGTTTGGGGGGGGGACCCTCCCCCGGAACCGGCCCCGGCGCCCCCCCCTGTCCCACGCGGCGTCCCAGAGCAGCCTCGGGCCGGGGGGAGGGGCGGGGGGCGCGGGGGGGGTCGCCTCCCCTCCCCCGCCCCTCCCCCACCACCACCCGCCCCCCCCCGGGACCCCCTTCTCGCCCCCCCCCCAGCCCGGGGGGGTCGGGGGGCGCCGGGCGGTTTTTGGGGCGCAGCGGCAGAACACGGCGGAGCTGCAGCTCCTGCCCGGGCCCCCTCCCCCACCCACCGCCCCTCCCCCACCCGCGCCCCCTCCCCCGCCCCCCCCCCAGCAGCAGCCGCCGCCCCTCCCCCCGCACCGGCTGCGCACCGGGAGCCGGACCGAGGTGACGGTGTGAGCGGAAAGGGTTAAAAATATGGGGGGGGACGGGGGGATCGGCGGGGAAGGGGTTAAAAATACCGGGGAAAAAGGGTTAAAAATCCCGGGGGGAAAAGGGGTAAAAATAGCGGGGGGGAAAGGGTTAAAAATGGGCAGAAATGGTGAAAATTGGGGGAAATGGCGAAAATGGGGGAAAAAGGACAAAAATGGAGGGGAAAAGGTAAAATTGGGGGAGAAACGGTGAAAATTGGGGGGGAATTGTGGAATTGGGGGGAAAGGGTTAAAAATTGGGGGGAAACGGTTAAAATTGGGGGGAAATGGTGAAAAAAGGGGGAAAAAGGACAAAAATGGAGGGGAAAAGGTAAAATTGGGGAAGAAAAGGTGGAAATTGGGGGGAAATGTGGAAATGGAGGGAAAGGGTTAAAAATGGGGGGAATCAGCGGGAATTGGGGGGAAATGGTTAAAAATGGGGGAAAAGGGTTAAAAATGAGGGGAAATGGTAAAAATTGGGGGAAAAGGACAAAAATGGAGGGGCAAAGGTAAAATTGGGGAAAAATGGTGGAAATTGGGGGGAAAAAGGACAAAAATTGAGGGGAAAAGGTAAAATTGGGGGAGAAACGGTGGAAATTGGGGGGGAACAGCGGAAATTGGGGGAAAAGGGTTAAAATTGGGGGGAAATGGTGAAAATTGGGGAAAAAGGACAAAAATGGAGGGGAAGGGTTAAAATTGGGGGAGAAAAAGTGGAAATGGGGGAAAGGGTTAAAATTGGGGAAAAAAGGACAAAAATTGAGGGGAAGGGTTAAAATTGGGGGAGAAATGGTGGAAATTGGGGGAAAAGGGTTAAAATTTGGGGGTAAAGGGTTAAAATTGGGGGGAAATGGTGAAAATTGGGGGGAAAAGGGACAAAAATGGAGGGGAAAAGGTAAAATTGGGGGAGAAATGGTGGAAATTGGGAGGGAACTGTGGAAATTGAGGAAAAGTTTTAAAAATGGGGGGAAAGGGTTAAAAATGGGGGGAAATGGTGGAAATTGGGGCGAAAGGGACAAAAATTGAGGGGAAGAGTTAATATTGGGGAAAAATGGTGAAAATTGGGGGGAAAAAGGACAAAAATTGAGGGAAAGGGTTAAAAATTGGGAGAGAAATGGTGGAAATTGGGGGAAAAGGGTTAAAATTGGGGGGAAATGGGTTAAAAATGGGCAGAAATGGTGGAAATTGGGGAAAAAGGACAAAAATTGAGGGGAAAAGGTAACATTGGGGAAGAAATGTCGGAAATTGGGGGGAAAGGGTTAAAAATGGGGGGAAATGGTGAAAATTGGGGAAAATGGCGAAAATGGGGGAAAAAAGGACAAAAATGGAGGGGAAAAGGTAAAATTGGGGGAGAAATGGTGGAAATTGGGGGGAAATTGAGGAAATTGGGGGAAAAGGGTTAAAATTGGGGGAAAAGGGTTAAAATGGGGGGGAAATGGTGAAAGTGGGGGGAAAAAGGATAAAAATGGAGGGGAAAAGGTTAAATTGGGGGAGAGATGGTGAAAATTGGGGAGGAAGTGTGGAAATGGGGGGAAATGGTGAAAATTGGGGGGAAATGGTGAAAATTGGGGAAAAAAAGGACAAGAATGGAGGGGAAAAGGTAAAATTGGGGGAGAAATGGTGGAAATTGGGAGGGAACTGTGGAAATTGGGGGAAAAGGGTTAAAAATGGGGAAAAGGGTTAAAAATGGGGGGAAATGGTGAAAATTTGGGGGGAAAGGACAAAAATGGAGGGGAAAAGGTAAAATTGGGGAAAAAATGGTGGAAATTGGGGGGGAATTGAGGAAATTGGGGGAAAAGGGTTAAAATTGGGGGAAAAGGGTTAAAATTGGGGAAAATGGTGAAAGTGGGGGGAAAAAGGATAAAAATGGAGGGGAAAAGGTAAAATTCGGGGGGAGAAAAGGTGAAAATTGGGGAGGAAGTGTGGAAATGGGGGGAAATGGTGAAAATTGGGGGGAAATGGTGAAAATTGGGGAAAAAAAGGACAAGAATGGAGGGGAACAGGTAAAATTGGGGAGAAATTGTGGAAATTGGGGGGAAATTGAGGAAATTGAGGAGAAAGGGTTAAAATTGGGGGGAAATGGTTAAAATTGGGGGGAAATAGTTAAAAATGGGGGGAAAGGGTTAAAATTATGGGGAAAGGGTTAAAATTGGGGGAAAAGGGCGAAATTCGCGGGTAAAATTGGGGCAAAAAGAGCCGAAAACGGGGCCGAGCCCCGGCCCCGAAATTTGGGGCAAATCCCGGAGAATTCGGGACCTCCCTCCCCCGATGACGTCACAGCCCCCCCGCGATGACGTCACACACCCCAACATGGCAGCTGGTGACGTCACGGTCCCGCCCCCGCGGCGCCGATGACGTCACACCACAACTATGATGTCACACACCCCTCCGCGGCCGATGACGTCACAGCCCCCAGCGATGATGTCATACCCCCCTCCCGCAATGACGTCACGGCCGCCCCGCCCCCACCCCCCGAGCAGCCGATGATGTCACAGCTCCGCCCGATGACGTCACACCGCCCCGATGACGTCAGCACTGTGGATCCCCCTCCTCCCCGCAGGACGTCACGACGAGGGGCGGGGCCAACCGACGATGACGTCACCGACCACTGCCAAGGCCCCGCCCCATTCCCCCGTTACGATGACGTCATAGCGGGCTGGGCCCGCCGATGACGTCACACCCCCACAAACCCCGCCCCCTCCCCGATGACGTCACGCCGGCACCGAAGCCATAGCGGGGGGGGAAGGGGATGACCCCGTGACCCCCCCGTGACCCCCCCGTGACCCCGTGACCTCCCCGTGACCCCCACGTGCCTTAGAGCCCCGCCCCCCGCCCCTCCCCCGCCCGGGGGGGGGGAGGGAATAAAGTGACGTTTCCTGCCCCCCCCGCCTCGGATTTTGGGGCCATTTCGGGGGATTTTGGGGGGAATTTGGGGGGATTTGGGGGGGGCGGGGCTTTTGGGGGGGATTTCGCGGGAATTTTCGGGGCCCCCTCCAACGCCGCGCTCTGATTGGCCGCTCCACCTGCCAATAACGCCAAGCCCCGCCTCCCGGAGGTCCCGCCCCCCCGGCCGGATCCCCGCTTCCCATTGGCTGGCGCGCCCGCCAATCATCGCCGTTCAAACCGGCGGCCCCGTCCCCTTCCGCCGACCGTTACGGCGCAAACAACGCGCCCAGGCCCCGCCCCCTTCTCCTTTCCCCCTCACGGCTCCGCCAATCAGCGCTCACCGCCCGCCTTTTCCTTCGCTCCCCATTGGCCGCCCCGCGCGCCGCGCGGCGCTGATTGGTCGTACCCGCGGTGGGCGGGGACTGTGCGCGTCCGAGGTTATAAAGGCGGCGGCGCGCCGGAGGGGCCCCCTCAGAGCGGCGGGCGGGCGGCGGCGCCGGAGGTGGGACCGCGCTGCCGGGGGAGGGGAGAGGGGGCGACCCCCGGCCTCCCCCCTGCCCGAGGGGTCACCCCCAAACCCGGGGACCCCGTTTCGAACCGGGGGGTTCCCCCCAGGGAGCCGCTGCCCCCTCGGGACCAGCCCGGACAGGCCGGGGCCCAGCCCGGCGCCATGGTGAGGGAGGCCCGGGACGGTTCCGGGAGGGTTTGGGGCGTCCTGAGGGGGTCTGGGGGGTCCTGAGGGGATTTTTGTGGGATTTGAGAATATTTTGGGGGTCCTGAGGGGATCTGGGGTATTTGAGGGGATTTTTGTGGGATTTGAGGGGGTTTGGGGCGTCCTGAGGGGCTTTGGGGGGTCCTGAGGGGATTTTTGTGGGATTTGAGAACATTTTGGGAGTCCTGAGGGGATCTGGGGTATTTGAGGGGATTTTTGTGGGATTTGAGGGGGTTTGGGGGTCCTGAGGAGGTTTGAGGAGATTTTGGGGGTCCCGAGGAGATCTTGGGGAGATTTGAAGGAATTTTGGGCGTCCTGAGAGCATTTTGGTGGTCCTGAGGGGATTTTTGTGGTATTTGAGGGATTTTGGGGGTCCTGAGGTGATTTTGGGGGTCCTGAGGGGATTTGAGGGAATTTTGGGGGTCCTGAGAAGATTTTAGAATACTGAGGGGATTTTTGTGGGATTTGAGGGGGTTTGGGGGTACTGGGTGGGCTTTGGGAGGATTTGAGGAGATTTTGGGGATCCTGGGGGGATTTGAGGGGGTTTTGGGGTCCTGAGGGGATTTTGGGGAGCTTTGAGCAGATTTTGGGGTCTTGAGGGAATTTTTGGGGTCCTGAGGGGATTTTGGGGGGATTTGAGGGGATTTTTTGGTCCTGATGGGATTTGGGGAGTTCTGAGGGATTTTTAGGGGATTTGGGCGAAGTTTGTAGAGTTTTGAAGGAATTTGGGGGATTTTGTGGCAATTTGAAGCAAATTGAGGGAGTTTGGAGGCGAAACTTGGGGGATTTGTGGAGGTTTTGGGATAAATGTTGGGAGTTTTGGGGCGCTGTGAGTTTGGGGTGAATTTTGGGGAAATTTTGGGAGTTTTGGGGAGGATTTGGGGCACTGTGAGTTTGGGGGAAGCCGCTGAGGGATTTTTGGGGGGGATTAGGGGGAATTTGGGGCTTTTTGAGGTCTCCCCACCCCAAATTCACCCCAAATTTTTGCCTCCCCAGGAGCCCCGAGGCGGCGCCTGGCAGGTGAGTCCCCGATTTTGGGGTTCCTTTTCCCTTTTTAACTTTTTCCAGGTGAATTCAACATTTCAGGCGGGTTCAGTTTCCCATTTCTGGGTGATTTTCACCCAGTTTTGGCACTTCTTAATTCCTACGAGGAAAAAGACGATTTTGGGGTCTCCCCTCGCAGGGAAATCCCAGATTTTGGGGCTCCTTTTCCCTTTTTAACCATTCCCAGGTGAATTTAAACATTTCAGGGGGGTTCACTCTCTCATTTTTGGGTGATTTTTCCCCGATTGTCACTTTTTTCTTCCCGCTCAGATTTAGTAGGAAGGGATTGATCTTTTGGTCTCCCCTCGTGGGGAAATCCCATATTTTGGGGCTCCTTTTCCCTTTTTAACCTTTTCCAGCTGATTTTAACCCTTTCCCAGCTGATTTTAACCCTTTCCCAGCTGGTTTTAACCCTTTCCCAGCTGGTTTTAACCCTCTGGGAGGGTTCAATTCCCATTTTTGGGCCGTTTTCCCCCAATTCTCTCCCCCCCCTCTCTCCACTTTCCCTCAGCTCCATTCCGGGGGTGCCCCGGTTTTGGGGTGCCCCTGACTCCCCAAATTTCATCCCCCAGACCCCCAGGGATGTGTCAGTTTTGTGTTTCCCCAGTTTTGGGTTTTTGGGGCGCCCCTGACCCCCCAAATTTCATCCCCCAGACCCCCAGGGATGTCCTGGTTCTGTGTTTCCCCATTTTTGGGTTTTTGGGGCGCCCCTGACCCCCCAAATCCCCCCCTGACCCCCCAAATTTCACCCCCAGACCCTCAGGGATGTCCCAGTTTTGTGTTTCCCCATTTTGGGGCGCCCCTGACCCCCCAAATTTCATCCCCCAGACCCCCCAAACTTGCCCCCAGACCCCCAGGGATGTGTCAGTTTTGTGTTTCCCCATTTTTGGGTTTTTGGGGCGCCCCTGACCCCCCAAATTCCATCCCCCTGACCCCCCAAATTTCATCCCCCAGACCCCCAGAAATGTCCTGGTTTTGTGTTTCCCCATTTTGGGGTTTTTGGGGTGCCCCTGACCCCCCAAATCCCCCCCTGACCCCCCAAATTTCACCCCCAGACCCCCAGGGATGTCCCAGTTTTGTGTTACCCGTTTTTGGGGTGCCCCTGACCCCCCAAATCCCCCCCTGACCCCCCAAATTTCATCCCCCAGACCCCCAGGAATGTGTCAGTTTTGTGTTTCCTCATTTTTGGGGTGCCCCTGACCCCCCAAATCTCCCTTTGACCCCCCAAATTTCATCCCTCAGACCCCCAGGAATGTCCCGGGTTTGTGTTTCCCCAGTTTTGGGCTTTTTGGGGTGCCCCTGACCCCCCAAATTCGCCCCCAGACCCCCCAAATTTCATCCCCCAGACCCTCAGGGATGTCCTGGGTTTGGGTTTCCCCATTTTGGGGTTTTTGGGGTGCCCCTGACCCCCCAAATCCCCCCCTGACCCCCCAAATTTCGCCCCCAGACCCCCAGGGATGTGTCGGTTTTGTGTTACCCATTTTTGGGGTACCCCTGACCCCCCAAATCCCCCCAGACCCCCCAAATTTCATCCCCCAGACCCCCAGGGATGTGTCAGTTTTGTGTTTCCCCATTTTTGGGGTACCCCTGACCCCCAAATCCCCCCAGACCCCCCAAATTCCCCCCCAGACCCCCCAAATTTCCTCCCCCAGACCCCCAGGGATGTGTCAGTTTTGAGTTTCCCCCATTTTGGGTTTTTGGGGCGTCCCTGACCCCCCAAATCCCCCCCTGACCCCCCAAATTTCACCCCCAGACCCCCGAGGCTGAGAACCTGCCCCCCCAGGAATGTGTTGGTTTTGGGTTTCCGAATTTTGGGTTTTTGGGGTACCCCTGACCCCCCAAATTTCATCCCCCAGATCCCCAGGGATGTCCTGGGTTTGTGTTTCCCCAATTTTGGGTTTTTGGGGCGCCCCTGACACCCCAAATCCCCCCCTGACCCCCCAAATTTCACCCCCCAGACCCCCAGGGATGTCCCGGTTCTGTGTTACCCAGTTTTGGGGTACCCCAGACCCCCAATCCCCCCCTGACCCCCCAAATTTCATCCCCCAGACCCCCAGGGATCTCCTGGTGTTGTGTTTCCCCATTTTTGGGTTTTTGGGGCACCCCTGACCCCCAAATCTCCCCCTGACCCCCCAAATTTCGCCCCCAGACCCCCGAGGCCGAGAACCTGCCGCCGGCGGCGCTGCGGCTGCTGTGCCGCGAGGTGGCGCTGCTGAGCGCCGATCCGCCCGACGGCATCCGGCTGTTCCCCAACGAGCAGGACCTGAGCGACCTGCAGGTGCTCATCGAGGGGCCAGGTAAGGGCACCCCGAAACCTGGGGGGCACCCCGAAACCCTGGGGGGAACCCCGAAACCTGGGGGGATCCCTGAGAGCCTGGGGAACCCCTGAGACCCGGGAAAACCCTGAAATCCTGGGGGGAATCACCCCTGAGCGACCTGCAGGTGCTCATCGAGGGGCCAGGTAAGGGCTCCCCAAAATCCTGGGGGGCACCCCGAAATAATGGGGGGATCCCTGAGACCCGGGGGAACCCCGAAATCCTGGGGGGAGCCCCGAAATCCCGGGGGGAACCCAAAATCCTGAGGGGATCTGGGAAGGGGTTTTGGGGTGGGTTTTTGGGGTCCCTGACTCCCCAATTTTGGGGTTTTTTGGGGTCCCTGACCCCCCAATTTTGGTGTTTTTTGGGATTTCAGAGGGCACCCCGTACGCGGGGGGGCTGTGGGGGTTTCTGGGGTGTTTTTTTGGGTTTTTTTGGGTTATTTGGGGTCCCTGACCCCCCGATTTTGGTTTTTTTGGGTTTTTGGTGTCCCTGACTCACCAAATTTCGGGTTTTTTGGGATTTCAGAGGGCACCCCGTACGCGGGGGGGCTGTGGGGGTTTCTGGGGTGTTTTTTTGGGGTTTTTTGGGTTATTTGGGGTCCCTGACCCCCCGATTTTGGGGTTTTTTTGGGGTTTCAGAGGGCACCCCGTACGCCGGGGGGCTGTGGGGGTTTCTGGGGTGGTTTTTTGGGTTTTTTTGGGGTTTTTTGTATTATTTGGGTTCCCTGACCCCCCGATTTTGGGGTTTTTGGGTTATTTGGTGTCCCTGACCCCCCAATTTTGGGTTTTTTTGGGGTTTCAGAGGGCACCCCGTACGCGGGGGGGCTGTGGGGGTTTCTGGGGTGGTTTTTTGGGGTTTTTTTGGTTATTTCATGTCCCTGACCCCCCAATTTTGGGGTTTTTTTTGGATTTTAGAGGGCACCCCGTACGCCGGGGGGCTGTGGGGGTTTCTGGGGTGTTTTTTTGGGTTTTTGGTGTCCCTGAGTGTCTGTTTTTTGGGGTTTTTTTGGGATTTTAGAGGGCACCCCATACGCCGGGGGGCTGTTCCGCATGAAGCTGGTCCTGGGGAAGGATTTTCCGGCCGCGCCCCCGAAGGGATTTTTCCTGACCAAAATCTTCCACCCCAACGTGGGGCCGAGCGGAGAAATCTGCGTCAACGTGCTCAAGAGGGACTGGAGCGCCGAGCTGGGGCTGCGGCACGTCCTGCTGGTCAGACTGGGAGCACTGGGAGGGAACTGGGACATCTTACTGGTCAGACTGGGAGCACTGGGAGGGACTGGGACATCTTACTGGTCAGACTGGGAGCACTGGGAGGGACTGGAGCGCCGAGCTGGGGCTGCGGCACGTCCTGCTGGTGGGACTGGGAGCACTGGGGGGGACTGGGACATCTTACTGGTCAGACTGGGAGCACTGGGGGGCACTGGGGAGCACTGGGAGAGGATTGGGGGGCACTGGGGGGGACTGGGGGGCTGTGGGAGGGCTGTGGGACGTGTTACTGGTCAGACTGGGAGCACTGGGAGGGACTGGGGGGCACTGGGGGGGCTGTGGGACGTCTTACTGGTGGGACTGGGAGCACTGGGGGGGACTGGGAGGGACTGGGGGGCACTGGGGGGCTGAGCTGGGGCTGCGGCACGTCCTGCTGGTCAGACTGGGAGCACTGGGGGGCACTGGGAGGGACTGGGAGGGACTGGGAGGGACTGGGGAGGAAACTGGGAGCACTGGGAGGGAAACTGGGAGCACTGGGAGGGACTGGGGGGACTGCGGCACGTCCTACTGGTCAGACTGGGAGCACTGGGAGCACTGGGAGGGACTGGGAGCACTGGGAGCACTGGGGGGCACTGGGGGGCACTGGGGGGCACTGGGGGGGCTGCGGCACGTCTTACTGGTGGGACTGGGAGCACTGGGAGGGACTGGGGAGGGAACTGGGAGCACTGGGAGGGACTGGGGGACACTGGGAGGGACTGGGGGACACTGGGAGGGACTGGGGGGCACTGGGGGGGACTGGGGGGCACTGGGAGGGAAACTGGGAGGGACTGGGGGGGCTGTGGGACGTCCTACTGGTCAGACTGGGAGGGACTGGGAGGGACTGGGAGGGACTGGGGGGGAACTGGGGGGGACTGGGAGGGAAACCCCCCCCGGGTTTTGGGTGAAATCCCCGCGGTTTGGGTGAAAAGCAGCGCTGGGAGAGACAGAATTGGTACTGGGAGGGAACTGGGAGCACTGGGAGGGCCCAGTGGGGTCAATAATTTCAGGGGTTAAATTACGGTGGAAAAAAGCCAAATTTTGGGTCAGAAATCAGGGATTTTTCCCCAGAAACCACCAGAATTAGGGGCAGTTTTGGGGGGCACTGACGAAGCCCCCTCCCCAATTTGGGGGGCAGTTTTGGTGCAATTCCAGCTAACTTAGGTTAAAGTATAGTGAAAAAAGCCGAATTTTGGGTCAGAAATGGGGGATTTTTTCCCAGGAAACCATCAGAATTTGGGGCAGTTTTCGGGGGGCGGTTTTCGGCGGTCACTAACGAAGCCCCCTCCCCAATTTGGGGGCAGTTTTGGGGCCATTCCAGATAACTTAGGTCAAAGTACAGTGAAAAAAGCCGAATTTTGGGGCAGAAATGGGGTATTTGGGGCTGGATTTTGGGAGCGGCTCACCGGGACCCCTCCCCATTTTCGGGGGGCAGTTTTCAGCGGTCACTCATGAAGCCCCCTCCCCAATTTGGGGGGCAGTTTTGGTGCAATTCCAGCTATCTTAGGTTAAAGTTTAGCAGAAAAAGCTGAATTTTGGGTCAGAAATCGGGGGGATTTTTCCCAGAAAACCATCGGAATTTGGGGCAGTTTTTGGGGGGCGGTTTTTGGGGGTCCCTAACGAAGCCCCCTCCCCAATTTGGGGGGCAGTTTTGGTGCAATTCCAGCTAACTTAGGTTAAAGTATAGTGAAAAAAGCCGAATTTTGGGTCAGAAATGGGGGATTTGGGGCTGGATTTTGGGAGCGGCTCACCGGGCCCCCTCCCCATTTTCGGGGGGCAGTTTTGGGGGTCCCTGACGAAGCCCCCTCCCCAATTTGGGGGGCAGTTTTGGGGCAATTCCAGATAACTTAGGTCAAATTACACTGAAAAAAGCCGAATTTTGGGTCAGAAATCGGGATTTTTCCAGGAACGCATCAGAATTTGGGGCAGTTTTCGGGGGGCAGTTTCGGCGGTCCCTAACGAAGCCCCCTCCCCAATTTGGGGGGCAGTCTTGGGGCGATTCCAGCTAACTTAGGTTAAAGTACAGTAAAAAAGGTGAATTTTAAGTCAGAAATTGGGGATTTTTTCCCAGGAACGCAGCGGAATTTGGGGCAGTTTTTGGGGGGCGGTTTTTGGGGGTCCCTAACGAAGCCCCCTCCCCAATTTGGGGGGCAGTTTTGGGGCGATTCCAGATAACTTAAGTCAAATTACAGTGAAAAAAGCCGAATTTTGGGGCAGAAATTGGGGATTTGGGGCTGGATTTTGGGAGCGGCTCACCGGGCCCCCTCCCCATTTTCGGGGGGCGGTTTTCGGCGGTCCCTAACGAAGCCCCCTCCCCAATTTGGGGGGCGGTTTTGGTGCAGTTCCAGCTAACTTGGGTTAAATTACAGTGAAAAAGCCGAATTTTGGGTCAGAAATCGGGGATTTTTCAGCATTTGGGGCTGGATTTTGGGAGCGGCTCACCGGGCCCCCTCCCCATTTTCGGGGGGTGGTTTTTGGGGGTCCCTAACGAAGCCCCCTCCCCAATTTCCCTCCCCCAGACCATCAAGTGCCTGCTGATCCAGCCCAACCCCGAGTCGGCGCTGAACGAGGAGGCGGCGCGGCTGCTCCTGGAGGACTTCGAGCGCTTCGCCGCCCGCGCGCGGCTGCTGACCGAGATCCACGCGCGGGACCCCCGCCCGGCCCCCCGCCCGGACCCCCGCCCGGCCCCCCGCCCGGACCCCCGCCCGGACCCCCGCCCGCCCCCCGGGCCCTCGGCGCCGCCCCCCGCCCCGCCCGACGGGCCCCAGCCCAAGAAACACGCCGGGGACCGCAAGGGACCCCCGCCCCCCAAAAAGAAAGGGGCGGGCGGGGACAAGAAACGGGCGCTGCGGCGGCTCTGAGACCCCAGACCCAATTCCAGGGGGGCTCTGGGGGGGTTCTGAGACCCCAGACCCAATTCGGGGGGGGCTGGGGGGCGGCTCTGGGACCCCAGACCCGATTTGGGGTGGGGTATCCCAAATCTGAGACCCCAGACCCAATTCGGGGGGGGTGGGGTATCCCAAATCTGAGACCCCAGACCCACTTCAGAGAGCTGGGGGGGCTCTGGGACCCCAGACCCAATTTGAGATGGGATATCCCGGCTCTGAGACCCCAGACCAAATTCAGAATGGGATAACCCAGCTCTGAGACCCCAGACCCAATTCAGGGGGTGGGAGGGCTGGGATATCCTGGCTCTGATACCCCAGACCCAATTCGGGGTGGGACATCCTGGATGGGGAGGGGTCCCAGCCCTCCCTCAGAGCCCATTTAGGGGGTCCTGATGCCCCCAGACTCATTTCAGGGGTCCCAGATCTGTTTTGGAGCTCCTCTCTGCCCCCAGACTCATTTTGGGAACTCCAAGACCCCTTTGACCCCCCCCCAGACCCAAACCCCAAAATCCCTGTGACCCCCCCAGAACCATTTTGGGGGTCCTCGGGTGCCCCCAGACCCATTTTGGGGGTTCCCAGACCCCCTGTGACCCCCCCCAGACCCATTTTGGGGGTTCCCAGACCCCCCGTGACCCCCCCAGACCCATTTTGGGGGGTGGGGGAGGGGAGGACCGCGGAGTCCCTTGGGGGGGGGGGGAGGGGATTTTGGGGTGACTTTGGGGGGATTTGGGGGCGCCCCTCCCCCGCTCTAAGTTATTTTAAGTTATGCGGGAAAAGCCCCAAAAAACCCATTAAAGGCCCCGTTTTGTACAGAGCGCCGGCGTGGGGGGCACCTGGGCACACCTGGGCACACCCAGAGCTCACCTGAGCACACCTGAGTGGGACCTGGGCACAGCTGGGGCACACCTGGACACACCTGGGGGCACATGGGCACATCTGGGCACAGCTGGGGGCACCTAGGGGGGACCTGGGACACACCTGGGTACACCTGGGCACGCCCAGAGCTCACCTGGGAACACCTGGGGGCACCTGGGAGGGACATGGGACACACCTGGGGGCACCTGGGCGCACCCAGAGCTCACCTGGGCACACCTGAACACACCTGGGCGCAGCTGGGTGGGACCTGGGGTACACCTGGGCACACCCAGGGCACACCTGAGCACACCTGGGGGCACATGGGCACACCTGGGTGGGGCCTGGGAGGGATCTGGTCACATCTGGGTGGGACTTCAGCACACCTGGGCGGGACTTGGGGCTCACCTGAACACACCTGGGGGCACATGGGGCTCAGCTGAGCACATCTGGGCACACCTGGCCACATCTGGTAGGGACCTGGAGGGACTCGGGGCACACCTGGGAGGGACCTGGGCACACCTGGGCATGCCCAGAATTCACCTGGGCATGCCCAGAGCTCACCTGGGCACAGCTGGGTGGGACCTGGGGCACACCTGGGGGCACATGGGCACATCTGGGAGCACCTGGGAGAGACCTGGAGGGACTTGGGGCTCACCTGGGCACACCCAAGCCTTACCTGGGCACACCTGGGAGGGACTTCAGCACACCTGGGCAGGACCTTGGGCACACCCAGAGCTCACCTGGGCACAGCTGGGCAGTCCCAGGCCTTACCTGGGCACACCTGGGCACACCTGGGCACATCCCGGCCTTACCTGGGCACACCTGAGCTCCCACGGTGTCTCCCCCCTCCCCTCCCCTCCCCCCCTTACACAAGCGCCCCCCCCCCCCCCCCGTGATTAATTAGCCGCGACGTTAATGAGGCTTTAATGCCGCCGCCCCTCCCCCACCGCCATCTGCTGCCCGGGGGGGGGGGAGGGGCGGCACGTGCCGGGGGGGGGGGGAGGGGAATTTGGGGGGGGGAGGGGGTCTCGGAGTGGGGGAGGGGCGACCCCCGGGGGGGGGGAATTTTGGGGTGGGGGGAGGGGCGATGGGGGGGGGGAATTTTGGGTCCATTCGGGGCGTTTTTGGGGGGAGGGGTGGGGGTGGGGCCGCCCCTCCCCCCGCCCCGCGTGGCCCCTTAATCCGGGATCACCTTCATCCCCTCCCCCCCCCCAAAATCCCCCCAAATCCCCCCAAAATCCCCCAATAAATGCGGGAGCGGGGCCGGACCCGCAGAGGAGCCTTCGTCACCGCCCGCTCCTCCTCATCCTCATCCTCATCCTCATCCTCATCCTCATCCTCCGCGCTCCAGAACCTTCCAGTAAGGCCGGGACCTTCCTCACCCTCCTCATCCTCAGTCTGGGGGTTCCGGAACTTTCCTTGGGGCCTTCAGCCTCCGTTTTGTGTCCCGGACCTTCCTCACCCTCCTCATCCTCAGCCTCGGGGTTCCGGAACTTTCCTTGGGGCCTTCAGCCTCGGTTTTGTGTCCGGGACCTTCCTCATCCTCATTTTTGGGTTGGAGACCTTCTTCAGCTTTTGGCTGTGCGGGATCTTCCTCCAGGACCTTCCTCATCCTCGTCTGGTGGAGTTCAGGGGCTCTTCCTCTTCCTCCTCCTCCTCCTCATTTCAGGCTCTAGAACCTTCCTCCCCCACATTCCAGGACCCAGAACCTTCCTCCTCCTCCTCCTCCTCCTCCTCCTCCTCCCCGTTTTGGCTTCCAGAACCTTCTTCCTCTCACTGTTTTCTCTCCCTGCCAGGCTCTTCCTCCTCCTCCTCCTCCTCCTCCTCCTCCTCCTGGAATCCCGGACCTTCCTCTTCCTCCACCTTCCAGGACCCAAAACCTTCGTCTTCTCCCCATTTTGGGTTCCAGAACCTTCCTCCTCCTCCTCCTCATTTTGGGTTCCAGAACCTTCCTCCTCCTCCTCCTCCTCCTCCTGGAATCCCAGACCTTCCTCATCCTCCTTTGGTGGAGTTCCAGGCTCTTCCTCCTCCTCCTCCTCCTCATTTTGGCTTCCAGAACCTTCCTCCTCTCGTCGTTTTCTCTCCCTCCCAGACTCTTCCTCCTCCTCCTCCTCTTCCTCTTCCTCCTCATTTTGGGACCCAGAACCTTCCTCCTCCCCCACATTCCAGGACCCAAAACCTTCGTCTTCTCCCCGTTTTATCTTCCAGAACCTTCCTCCTCTCGTCATTTTCTCTCCCTCCCAGACTCTTCCTCCTCCTCCTCCTCCTCATTTCAGGCTCTAGAACCTTCCTCCCCCACATTCCAGGACCGAGAACATTCCTTCTCCTCCTCCTCCTCCTCCTCCTCCCCATTTTGGCTTCCAGAACCTTCCTCCTCTCGTTGTTTTTTCTCCCTCCCAGGCTCTTCCTCCTCCTCCTCCTCCTCCTCATTTTGGGTTCCAGAACCTTCCTCATTGTTTTCTCTCCCTGCCAGGCTCTTCCTCCTCCTCCTCCTCCTCCTCCTCCTCCTCCCCATTTTGGGTTCCAGAATCTTCTTCCTCTCATCGTTTTGTCTCTCCCTCCAAGGCTCTTCCTCCTCCTCCTCATTTTGGCTTCCAGAACCTTCCTTCCCCACATTCCAGGACCCAGAACCTTCCTCCTCCTCCTCCTCCTCCTCCCCATTTTGGCTTCCAGAACCTTCCTCCTCACACCGTTTTCTCTCACCCTTTTCTCTCTCTCTCCCTGCCAGGCTCTTCCTCCTCCTCCTCCTCCTCCTCCTCCTGCCCCCACGCCGCCATGGGGAACGCCAGGAGCGGGGCGCTGTCCAAGGAGGTTCTGGAGGAGCTGAAGACGAGCACGCGCTACTCGGAGGAGGAGCTGTGCCGGTGGTACGAGAGTTTCCAGCGGCAGTGCCCCGACGGCCGCATCAGCCGCGCCGAGTTCGAGAAGATCTACGGCACCTTCTTCCCCAACTCGGACCCGCAGGGCTACGCCCGCCACGTCTTCCGCAGCTTCGACACCAACGACGACGGCACGCTGGACTTCCGGGAGTACATCATCGCGCTGCACCTCACCTCCTCCGGCAGGACCCACCTGAAGCTCGAGTGGGCCTTCTCCCTGTTCGACGTGGACCGCAACGGCGAGGTCAGCAAGGGCGAGGTGCTGGAGATCATCACGGTGAGGAACAACAGGGTTTGGGGTGGGAAATGTGGGGTTTGGGGTGGGAAATGTGGGGTTTGGGGTTCAGCAACGGTGAGGTCAGCAAGGGCGAGGTGCTCGAGATCATCACGGTGAGGAACAACGGGGTTTGGGGCGGAAAATCTGGGATTTGGGGTGTGGGAATTGGGGATTTGGGGTTTGGGAATGGGAAATGTGGGGTTTGGGATGGGAAATGTGGGGTTTGGGGTGGAAAATCTGGGATTTGGGGTTCAGGAACAGCGAGGTCAGCAAGGGCGAGGTGCTGGAGATCATCACGGTGAGGAGATGTGGGGTTTGGGATGGATTTGGGGTTTGGGAATGGGAAATGTGGGGTTTGGGAATGGGAAATGTGGGGTTTGGGGTTCAGCAACGGCGAGGTCAGCAAGGGCGAGGTGCTGGAGATCATCACGGTGAGGAACAACAGGGTTTGGGATCAGAAATCCAGGATTTGGGGTGGGAAATGTGGGGTTTGGGGTCGGAAATATGGGGTTTGGGAATGGGAAATGTGGGGTTTGGGATGGGAAATTCCGGATTTGGGGTGGGAAATGTGGGGTTTGGGGTTCAGGAACGGCGAGGTCAGCAAGGGCGAGGTGCTCGAGATCATCACGGTGAGGAGATGTGGGGTTTGGGGTGGGAAATGTGGGGTTTGGGATGGGTTTGGGAATGGGAAATGTGGGGTTTGGGACATTCAGGATTTGGGATGATGGGAATGGCTCATCCCCGGAGGAAATTTGGGATTTGGGATATTTGGGATTTGGGATATTTGGGATATTCAGGATTTGGAGTTTGGGATATTCGGGATTTGGGATATTTGGGATATTCAGGATTTGGGGTTTGGGATATTTGGGATTTGGGATGTTTGGGGTTTGGGATATTCAGGATTGGCTCATCCCCAGAGGAAATTTGGGATTTGGGATATTTGGGATTTGGGATATTTGGGATATTCAGGATTTGGGGTTTGGGACATTCAGGATTTGGGATGTTTGGGGTTTGGGATATTCAGGATTGGCTCATCCCCAGAGGATATTTGGGATTTGGGATATTTGGTGTTTGGGATATTCAGCATTGCCTCATCCCCAGAGCAAATTTGGGGTCCCTTCCCGGGGGCTCCCCCAGATTCGGGAATTCCCTCCGGGACTGGGGGAGGGGCTCTGACCCCCCCCCAGCCCCTCCCCCCTCCCCTCCCCCCCCCGGGCTCTCCCCTCCCCCTCGGCCCCAATTAGCGCCGGGGTGGGGGAGGGGCGCTAATTGGCTTTGCCCCTCCCCCCCCCCCCCCGCCCTGATCCCGGATTTTCAATCCCCGATGGAAAAAACCCGGGGGGGGGAGGGGCGCGATAAACGGATGGGGGGGGGGGAGGGGCGGCTCAGTGCCCTCCCCCCCCTCGGCTGAGCGGGGCCGGTTTTGGGGTCCCCGGAGCTGTTTTGGGGTCCCCAGACCCATTTCGGGGTCCCAGGCGCCGTTTTGGGTGTCCCTGACCCGATTTTGGGGTCCTTGACCCGATTTTGGGTATTTTTTGGGGTCCCTCATCCCCGACTTTGGGGTTTTTTTGGGGGGTCCGTGACCCCCGATTTTGGGATATTTTTTGGGGTATTTTTTGGGGTCCCTGACCCCCGATTTTGGGGTATTTTCGGGGTCCCTGACCCCCGATTTTGGGGGTTTTTTTGGGGGTATTTTTTGGGGTCCCTGCCCCCCGATTTTGGGGTATTTTTTGTGGTCCCAGATCCCCGATTTTGGGGTATTTTTGAGGGTCCCTGAGCCCCGAATTTGGGGTATTTTTGGGGTCCCAGGCGATTTTCAAGATGATCCCGGCCGAGGAGCAGAAGCTGCTGCCCGAGGACGAGAACAGCCCCCAGAAACGCGCGGACAAACTCTGGGCCTACTTCAACAAGGGCGAGAACGGTGCGCACCCCAAAACCCCCAAATCACCCCAAAATCACCCCCGGGACCCCCAAAAAATCACCCCCCAGGACCCCCAAAAAATCACCCCCCAGGACCCCCAAAATCACCCCAAAATCACCCCCCGGGACCCCCAAAATCACCCCCAGGGACCCCCAAAATCACCCCCAGGACCCCCAAAAAATGACACCCAGGGAGCCCCAAAATTCAACCCCCAGTATCCCCAAAAATCACCCCCAAAAACACTCAGGGACCCCCAAAATCCCCCCCGGGATCCCCAAAAAAATAACACCCAGGAAGCCCCAAAATCACCCCCAAAAACCCCCCGGGACCCCCAAAAAATAACACCCAGGGACCCCCAAAATAACCCCAAAAACTAACCCCCAGGGACCCCAAAAATCACCCCCAAAAACCGCCCGGGACCCCCAAAATTCCCCCCCGGGAACCCCAAAATCCCCCCCCAGGGCCTCCAAAAATGACACCCAGGGACCCCCAAAATCACCCCCAGAAACCCCCAAAAAATAACACCCAGGGACCCCCAAAAATCCCCCGGGACCCCCAAAAAATAACACCCAGGGACCCCCAAAATTCACCCCCCCGGGACCTCCAAAAATCATCCCCCAACCAACCCAAAAAACCGCGAATTTGCCCCCAAACCCTCCAGAATTTGCCCCAAATTCCCCTCCCGGGTTTTGGGGACCCCTCCCCAAATCCTGAGCCCCCCAAACCCCCCCCAACCCCCCCCAAATTTGCTCCAAACACACCCCAAAATCCCTGAAATTCACCCCAAAACCGCCGGAATTTGCCCCAAAACTCCCGGAATTTGCCCCAAATCCCGCCCTGTATTTTGGGGACCCCCGGATTTTGGGGACCCCCCCCGGATTTTGGGGACCCCTCCCCAATTTCTGCCCCCCCCCCAGACAAGATCGCCGAGGGGGAGTTCATCGAGGGAGTGATGAAGAACGACGCCATCATGCGCCTGATCCAGTACGAGCCCAAAAAATGAGCCCAAAACCCCAAAAAACCCAAAAAACCCAAAATTCACCAAAATCCCCAAAGCCCGCAGGGGCCGGGCAGGGGGGGAGGGGCAATAAAGAGAATTTCCCCCAAAAATGCCGTGTTTGGGGGGGTTTTTGGGGGTTTTCTGGGTTTTTTAGGGTTCTTTTTTTGGGTTTTCACAGGTTTGGTTTTGGGGTTTTCTGGGTTTCTTTTGGGGTTTTTTGTGGGTTTTTTTTCTTGGGTTATTCAGGTGCATTTTTTTGTTTTTCAGGTATTTCTTTAGGGTTTTTTTTTAGGGTGGGTTTCAGGGCCTTTTTTTTTTTTGGTGGTTATTATGGGTTGTTATTTTTGGGCGGATGTTTTTGGTGGGGTTTTTTTTTTAGTTTTTTTTTTTGCTTTTTTTTCAGGTTTTTTGGGGGGTTTTATTGGGTTTTTCAGAGGTTCTTTTTGTTTTTCAAAATTTTTTTTGAGTTTTTCAGGGATTTTTTTGGTGGGTTTTTTAGAGCTTCTTTTTGTTTGTTTTTCAGAATTATTTTTTTGAGTTTTTCAGGGATTTTTTGGGTGGGTTTTTTGGTTTTTTTTTTTGGTTTTTCAGAGATTCTTTTCGTTTGTTTTTCAGGATTTTTTGGGAGTTTTTCAGGGATTTTTTGGTGGGTTTTTTGGGGGTTTTTCAGAGGTTTTTTTGTTTGCTTTTCAGAATTTTTTTTGAGTTTTTCAGGGATTTTTTTGGGTTTTTTTTTGGTGGTTTTTTTTGGGTTTTTCAGAGGTTCTTTTTGTTTCTTTTTCAGGATTTTTTTTTGAGTTTCTCATGGATTTTTTTTGTGGGTTTTTTGGATTTTTCAGTTTTTTTTTTTGTTTGTTTTTCAGGATTTTTTTGGAGTTTTTCGGGGATTTTTTGGGTGGGTTTTTGGGGTTTTTTTTTGGGTTTTTCAGAGGTTATTTCTGTTTCTTTTTCAGGATTTTTTTTTTAGTTTCTCAGGGATTTTTTTGGTGGCTTTTTGGGTTTTTTTCAGAGTGTTTTTTGTTTGTTTTTCAGGATTTTTTTTTTAGTTTTTCAGTGATATTTTTGGTGGTTTTTTTGGGGGTTTTTCAGAGGTTTTTTTGTTTGTTTTTCAGGAGTTTTTTCTGCGGTTTTCAGTGATATTTTTGGTGTTTTTTTTGGGTTTTTTTTGGTGTTTTTCAGCGTTTCTGAGTCACGGAGACGGGCGGGCGTTCTGGGGGCTCCTCCTGCCCCCGTTTATTGTCCCATTTTGGGGAGGGGGCTCAGTTCTTGTAGCCCCGACTGGCGCGGCGGCCGCGCGCCCGCTCGAACTTCGGCCCCTTGGAGCGCACGTAGGGCCTGGGGAGAGGGAAGGACCAAAATCACCACAAATATCCCCTAAAATTACCCAAAATATCCTCCAAATATCCCCAAAATGTCCCCCCAAAATCACCCAAAACAGCCCCAAAATGTCCCCCCAAAATCACCCTAAACAGCCCCAAAATATCCCCCCAAAAGGCCCCAAAATATCCTCCAAATATTTCCAAAATGTGCCCCCAAAATCACCCTAAACATCCCCAAAATATCCTCCAAAAATCACACAAAACTTCCCCCCCAAAATCACCCTGAATAGCCCCAAAATATCCCCCCAAAATCACCCCAAATGGCCCCAAAATATCCTCCAAAAATCCCCAAAATATCCCCCCAAAATCACCCCAATATCCCCAAAATGTCCCCCCAAAATCACCAAAATATCCCCCCAAAATCACCCCAATATCCCCAAAATGTCCCCCCAAAATCACCCCAATATCCCCAAAATGTCCCCCCAAAATTACCCCAAATATCCCCAAAATGTGCCCCCAAAATCACCCCAAATATCCCCAAAATGTCCCCCCAAAATCACCCCAAATGGCCCCAAAATGTGCCCCCAAAATTACCCAAAATGTCCCCCCAAAAATCACCCCAAACAGCCCCAAAATATCCTCCAAAAATCACACAAAATGTGCCCCCAAAATCAGCCTAAACAGCCCCAAAATATCCTCCAAATAGCCCCAAAATGTCCCCCCCAAAATCACCCCAAAATATCCCCCCAAAATCACCCCAAAATCACCCTAAACAGCCCCAAAATATCCTTCAAATATCCCAAAATGTCCCCCCAAAATCACCCCAAATATCCCCAAAATGTGCCCCCAAAATTACCCAAAATATCCCCAAAATGTGCCCCTAAAATTACCCAAAATATCCTCCAAATATCCCCAAAATGTCCCCCCAAAATTACCCCAAATATCCCCAAAATGTGCCCCCAAAATCACCCTTAACAGCCCCAAAATATCCTCCAAATATCCCCAAAATGTCCCCCCAAAATCACCCTAAACAGCCCCAAAATATGCCCCCAAAATCACCCCAAATGGCCCCAAAATATCCCCGAAACGTTCCCCAAATAGCCCCCAAATATTCGCCAAAAATCACACAAAATGTCCCCAAAATGTCCTCCCAAATATCCCCAAAACATTCCCCAAATATCCCCCAAAAATCACACAAAATGTCCCCCCAAAATCACCCTAAAGAGCCCCAAAATATCCCCCCAAAAAGCCCCAAAATATCCTCCAAATATCCCCCCAAAATCACCCCAAATGGCCCTAAAATGTGCCCCCAAAATCACCCCAAATGGCCCCAAAATATCCTCCAAAAATCACCCCAAATATCCCCAAAATAGCCCCCAAATGTGCCCCCAAAATCACCCCAAATATCCCCAAAGTGTGCCCCCAAAATCACCCCAAAATCACCCCAAAATAACCCCCAAAAATCACACAAAATGTCCCCCCCAAAAAACGCCCAAATCCGCCAATTCCAGCCCAAAACGCCCCAAATCCTCCTAAATTCCCCAAAAAGGCCCAAATCGCCCCAAATCTCACTTGGTGTGGCTGTGGGGGGTCCCCGGCGCTTTCCCGAAATGCCGGAAAACCTCCCGGGCCTTGCGGGGGCCTGGAGAGAGCGGGAATTTGGGGTGAAAAACGGGGATTTTGGGAAAAACGGGGTTTGGGGTGAGAAACGGGGGTTTTGGGAAAAATGGGGTTTGGGGTGAAAAACGGGGGTTTTGGGGAAAATGGGGTTTGGGGTGGGAATTGGGGGTTTTGGGAAAAATGGGGTTTGGGGTGAAAAATGGGGGTTTTGGGAAAAACGGGGTTTGGGGTGAGAAATGGGGATTTTGGGAAAAATGGGGTTTGGGGTGAGAAATGGGGGTTTTGGGAAAAATGGGGTTTGGGGTGAGAAATGGGAGTTTGGGGTGAAAAATGGGGGTTTTGGGAAAAATGGGGTTTGGGGTGAAAAATGGGGGTTTTGGGAAAAATGGGGTTTGGGGTAAAAAATGGGGGTTTTGGGAAAAATGGGGTTTGGGGTGAGAAATGGGGGTTTTGGGTGAGAAATGGGGGTTTTGGGAAAAATGGGATTTGGGGTGGGAATTGGGGGTTTTGGGATAAAGTGGGGTTTGGGGTAAAAAATGGGGGTTTTGGGAAAAATGGGGTTTGGGTAAAAACAAATGGGTTTGGGGTAAAAAATGGGGATTTTGGGGTAAAAAAACGGGAATTTTGGGGTAAAAATTGAGGTTTTCGGTAAAAACAATGGGGCTTGGGGAGAGAAATTGGGTTTTGGGGTGAAAAATGGGGGTTTTGGGTAAAAACAAATGGATTTGGGGTGAGAAACGGATCTGGGTAAAAATGGGATTTTGGGTAAAAACAAACGGGGATTTTGGGCATAAAAACAAATGGAGTTTGGGTAAAAAATGGGGATTTTAGGTAAAAATTGGGATTTTGGGTAAAAATGGGGATTTTGGGTAAAAACAAATGGGGTTTGGGGTGAGAAATTGGGATTTTTGGGGTGAAAAAAGGGGATTTGGGTAAATACAAACAGGGATTATGAGTAAAAAAAGGATTTGGAGAGGGAAAATGGGACATTTTGGGGTGATTTTGGGGGTTTTTGGGATCGGGGTTATTTTGGGTTATTTTGGGCTAATTTCACTGGGATTTTTGGGGATTTTTTGGGTTTTTTGGGAATTTGGGGAGGGGTCTCGGCCCACCTGAGAGCAGCACGGTGCCCTTGCCCTTGGGGGAGGCCATGGGGGGTGATTTGGGGCTATTTTGGGGTTATTTTGGGGGTTTTTGGGATCGGGGTTATTTGGGCTAATTTCACCGGGATTTTTGGGGATTTTTGGGGAATTTCGGATATTTGGGGAGGGGTCTCTGCCCACCTGAGAGCAGCACGGTGCCCTTGCCCTTGGGGGAGGCCATGGCCAGCTGGGGCTGGGTTATTTGGGTTTATTTGGGGTTATTTTGGGTTTTTTGGGATCGGGGTTATTTTGGGCTAATTTCACCGGGATTTTTGGGGATTTTTTGGGGTTTTTGGGTAATTTGGGGAGGGGTCTCGGCCCACCTGAGAGCAGCACGGTGCCCTTGCCCTTGGGGGAGGCCATGGCCAGCTGGTCGAAGGTCAGGATGGAGCCCCCGGCCCGCAGGATCCGCGTCCGAGCCCCGCGGGTCACCCTGAGGGCGCAGACCTGCGACCCCAAAACCGCCCGGATTTCACCCAAAAACAGCCCCAGGAACATCCCCAAAACTGCCCGGATTTCACCCAAAAACAGCCCCAGGAACATCCCCAAAACTGCCCGGATTTCACCCAAAAACAGCCCCAGAAACATCCCCAAAACCGCCCGGATTTCACCCAAAAACACCTCCAGAAACATCCCCAAAACCGCCCGGATTTCACCCAAAAACAGCCCCAGGAACATCCCCAAAAATACCCCCAGAAACACCCCCAAAACCACCCAAAATCCACCCAAAAACAGCCCCAGAAACATCCCCAAAACCGCCCCAATTTCACCCAAAAACAGCCCCAAAAACACCCCCAAAACCGCCCCGATTTCACCCAAAAACACCCCCAAAAACACCCCCAAAACCGCCCCGATTTCACCCAAAACCAGCCCCAGGAACACCCCCAAAATCACCCCAAATCCACCCAAAAACAGCCCCAGAAACATCCCCAAAATTGCCCCAAAAACACCTCCAGGAAAACCCCAAAAGTACCCCAATAAACACCCCAAAATCATCCCCCAAAACACCCCAAAAACCGCCCAGAATCCACCCAAAAACACCCCCGGGAAAACACCAAAAAATATACCCAAAAATATCCCAAAATGACCCAAAAACACCCCCAGGAAAACACCAAAAAATACCCCCAGAAACACCCCAAAATGACCCAAAAACACCTCCAGGAAAATCCCAAAAATACCCCCAGAAACACCCCCAAAACCACCCAGAATCCACCCAAAAACACCCCCAGGAAAACACCAAAATCATCCCCAGAAACATCCCAAAATAACCCAAAAACTCCCCCAGGAGAACACCACAAACACCCCCAAAAACACCCCCAGAAACACCCCCAAAATCACCCAATATCCACCCAAAAACATCCCCAGGAAAAACCCAAAACACCCCCAAAATCCACCCCCAGGAAAACACCAAAAACTATCCCTAAAACACCCCAAAATCGCCCCAAAAACACCTCCAGGAAAACCCCAAAAATACCCCCAGAAACATCCCAAAATCATCCCCAAAAACACCCCCAAAACCACCCAAAATCCACCCAAAAACACCCCTGAGAAAACCCCAAAAATACCCCCAGAAACATCCCAAAATCCACCCAAAAACACCCCTGAGAAAACCCCAAAAAATACCCCCAGAAACATCCCAAAATGACCCAAAAAGTCCCCCAGGAAAAAACAAAAAACATCCCCAGAAACATCCCAAAATGACCCAAAAACACCTCCAGGAAAATCCCAAAAATACCCCCAGAAACACCCCCAAAACCACCCAGAATCCACCCAAAAACACCCCCAGGAAAACACCGAAAACACCCCCAGAAACATCCCAAATTCATCCCCAAAACCACCCCCAAAACCGCCCAAAATCCACCCAAAAACACCCCTGAGAAAACACCAAAAACACCCCCAGAAACATCCCAAAATCACCCCCAAAAACCAAACTCCCCAAATTCCCACATCTTCCCCCAAACTCCTGGATTTCTCCAAAAATTCCTGTATTTTCCCCAAAATCTTGAATTTCCCCCCAAAAATCCCAGATTTTCCCCAAAAATCCCAGATTTTCCCCCCAAAACTCCCAAATTTTCCCCCCAAAACTCACAAATTTTCCCCCAAACTCCCGGATTTTTCCCAGAATTCCCATATTTTCCCCAAAATCCTGGATTTCCCCCCAAATTCCCCAATTTCTGGATTTCCCCCCAAAATCCCAGATTTTCCCCCCAAAAATCCCAGATTTTCCCCCCAAAAATCCCAGATTTTCTCCCTAAAATCCCAAATTTCCTCCCAAAATCCCAGATTTTCTCCCAAAAATCCCAGATTTTCCCCCAAAAATCCCAGTTTTTCTCCCCAAAATCTCAGATTTCCCCCCAAACTCCCAGATTTTCCCGAAATCCCCGGATTTCGCCCCAAACCTTGAGCTTGGGCACGTCCTGGATGCGAACGTCGTCGGTGACGGTTCCGACCACCACGGCCGTGCTGCCGGCGCGGCCCGGCTTGCGCATCATGCGGATCTGGGTTGGCCAAAATCCCGGGAATTCACCCCAAAAATCCAACAGGGATCCCCAAAGCTCCTCATGGGGAAATGCCCCCGAAAAATCGTCCCAAAAATCCCGGGAATTCACCCCAAAAATCCACCAGGGATCCCCAAAACTCCTCATGGGAAAATCCCCCCAAAAAATCCCCCCAAAAATCCCGGGAATTCACCCCAAAAATTCACCAGAAATCCCCAAAACACCTCACGGGAAAATCCCCCCAAAAATCCCCAAAAAAAATCCACGGGAAATAGTCCCAAAATCCCGGGAATTCACCCCAAAAATTCACCGGGAATCCCCAGAACACCTCATGGGAAAATCCCCCCGAAAAATCGCCCCAAAAATCCCGGGAATTCACCCCAAAAATCCACCAGGAATCCCCAAAACTCCTCACGGGAAAATCCCCCCGAAAAATCGCCCCAAAATCCCGGGAATTCACCCCAAAACTCCGTCAGGAATCCCAAAAATAATCCCCCCAAAATCCCGGGAATTCACCCCAAAAATTCATCAGGAATCCCCAAAAACACCTCATGGGAAAATCCCCCCAAAATCCCCCCAAAAATCCACGGGAAATTGCCCCAAAATCCCGGGAATTCACCCCAAAATCATCCCGGGAAATGGCCCCAAAATCGGGTCAGGAATCACAAAAACTGCACGGGAAATTATTTTTGGGGATATTTTGAGGTAAATTCGGAGGATTTTGGGGCTCACCAAACGGGACAAAGCCAGCGGGGACTGGATGATATTTTGATGTTTTTGGGGGATATTTTGGGGTGAATTCGGGGGATTTTGGGGCTCACCAGGCGGGAGCTCCGGGGGATATTTTGGGTTATATTTTGAGAATATTTTGGGGTGAATTCGGGGGATTTTGGGGCTCACCAGGCGGGACAGCGCCAGCGGGGGCCGGGGGATATTGGGGGATATTTTGGGGTGAATTTGGGGGATTTTGGGGCTCACCAGGCAGGAGCTCCGGGGGATATTTTGGGTTATATTTTGAGAATATTTTGGGGTGAATTTGGGGGATTTTGGGGCTCACCAGGCGGGACAGCGCCAGCGGGGGGCGGGGGATATTGGGGGATATTTTGGGGTGAATTCGGGGGATTTTGGGGCTCACCAGGCGGGAGCTCCGGGGGATATTTTGGGTTATATTTTGAGAATATTTTGGGGTGAATTCGGGGGATTTTGGGGCTCACCAGGCGGGACAAAGCCAGCGGGGGGCGGGGGATATTGGGGGATATTTTGGGGTAAATTTGGGGGATTTTGGGGCTCACCAAACGGGACAAAGCCAGCGGGGGGCGGGGGATGTTGGGGTGGTTTTGGGGCTGTTTTTGGGGTGAATTCGGGGGATTTTGGGGCTCACCAGACGGGACAAAGCCAGCGGGGGGCGGTTGGAGCGGCTCATGAAGAGGCGTTTGAGCACAACGCGGTTGAACGGAGCGTTGGTGCGGCGGGCGAGGAACCGGTACAGCTGAAATGGGGCAAAACCGCGTGAAATCGGGAAAAACCGGGCAGAAATGGGGAAAAACGGGGTAAAACGGGGGGAAAATGGGGAAAACCGGGGGGGAAATGGGGAAAAACTGGGGAATAACGGGGAAAGCAGAGGGAAATCAGGGAAGTCAGGAAAAATCGGGTGAAAATAAGGAAAAACCGCGGGAAATTGAGAAAAACCGGGGAAATTGGGAGAAATCGGGAAAAAACGGGGGGAAAAAAGGGAGAAAATCGGGAAAACCCCGGGGAAACAGGGAAAAAACAAGAGAAATGGAGGAATACAGGAAAAATTCGGGAAACCCGGGGAAAAACCGGGAGAAATCGGGAAAAATCAGGAAAAACGGGGCGGAGAATGGGGAAAAACGGGGCGGAAATGGGAAAAACGGGGTAAAACGGGAGGGAAATCGGGAAAAAACAGGAAAAACGGGGGAATAACGGGGAAAACTGAGGGAAATCAGGAAAGGCGGGAAAAATCGGGTGAAAATCAGGAAAAACGGCGGGAAATTGAGAAAAAACGGGGAAATTAGGAAAAACTAGGAAAAACCGCGAAAAATTGGGGGAAAATGGGAGAAAATCGGGAAAACCCCGGGAAAACTCGAGGGAAACCAAGAGAAAGTGAGGAAAATAGGAAAAATTCGGGAAACTCGGGGAAAAACCGGGAGAAATCGGGAAAAAATCAGGAAAAACGGGGCGGAAATGGGAAAAACGGGGCGGAAATGGGAAAAACGGGGTAAAACGGGGGGGAAATGGGGAAAAACCAGGAAAAACTGAGGAATAACGGGGAAAACCGGGGGAAATCAGGGAAGACAGGAAAAATCGGGTGAAAATCAGGAAAAACCGCGGGAAATTGAGAAAAAACGGGGAAAATTAGGAAAAACTGGGAAAAATTGGGAAAAACGGGAGAAAATCGGGAAAACCCCGGGGAAAACCAAGAGAAATGGAGGAAAACAGGAAAAATTCGGGAAAGCCGGGGAAAAACCGGGGGAAATCGGGAAAAATCAGGAAAATCTGCGGAAAAGCAGGGAAAAAACGAGGGAGACCGGGAAAATCGGACGGAAATCAGGAAAAAATGGGAGAAACCGGGAAAATGGAGGAAAATAGAAAAAAAATTGGGGAAACTCAGGGAAAAAACGGGAAAAACTGAGGAAAACGGGAAAAGTTCGAGAAAAACCGGTGGAAATCGGGAAAAACGGGTGGAAACCGGGGAAAACCGGGAAAAACCGGGGGAGACCGGGATAAACGAGGGAAAATTGGGGGTAAACCGGGGGAAATGGGGGAAAATTGGGGAAAACCGGGAAAAACCGGGGGAGAGCGGGATAAACGAGGGAAAATTGGGGAAAAACCGGGGGAAATCTGGAAAAACCGGGAAAAACCGATGGAAACCGGAAGGGCCCGGGGGGAACCGAAGGGAACCGGGGCCGGGCACGGGAAGAACCGGGAGGGCCCGGGGGGAACCGAAGGGAACCGGAGAGCACCGGGGGGAACCGGAGAGCACCGGGGGGAACCGGAGAGAACCGGAGAGCACCGGGGGGAACCGGAGAGCACCGGGGGGAACCGGAGAGCACCGGGGGGAACCGGAGAGAACCGGAGAGCACCGGGGGGAACCGGGCCCGGTCCCGCGGGCGGCGCAGACCCGAACCGGCCCCGGTACCGGCAGAACCGGCCCATCGCACCTTGACCAGCAGCCGCAGGTAGATGTCCTGACTCTTGGGCTCCTTCCGCCGCACCTTGCGGTCCTTGTCGTGCCGGATGTCGATGCCCTGCGGCGACACCGGGCCCGCTCACGCCGCGCCATCCGCGCCGCCCGCGCCCTCCCGGGCTTCCCCCGCGCCTCCCCGCGCCCTCCCGGGCCCTCCCCGGTCCCTCCCGGCCGCGGATGGCGGCGGATGGCGGAGCGCGGCCGGACCCACCATGGCGGCGGCGCTGCTGAGGGAGGCGGCGGCGGCGCGCGCGGGGGGTTATGGGAGAGCGCCGCCGCTCCCGGAACTTCCGGCGGGGCCGCTCCTTCCGCTCCGCTCCCCGCGCTCTATGGCGCTGGAGGACCGAGGCGTTCCGGCCCCGCCGGGGCGTTAATGAGCGGCGGTAATTAGCGGGAGGGGACGGCGAGAGCGCGGGGGATTAGCGCGGTGCACCGGAGCGGCGAAACGCGGCGAAACGCGGCGGTTCCCCCGGCGAACCGGCCTCGCCCTCAGTCGCGCTGCCGCACTAAAGATGGCGCCGGCGCGGCTTCGCCCTCCGTTGATCCCAACGGCGGCGCTGCCCGGAACAAAGATGGCGGACGCCGCGCGGCCTCCCATTGGCTGCGCGCCGGGGAGCGGCGGCTCGTGATTGGCTGGGAGGGCGAGGGGCGGGGAAAGTTCGGGGTCAGGGGTCAGCGCGGGGAAACTGAGGCACGGGGGGGACACGGGGACCCCCAAGGACCCAAATTTGGGGATTTTGGGGGGTCCCGACGGGAATTTGGGGCCTCCAGGGAGGGATTTGTGGACCCTCGGGGGAGTTTTGGGGGTCCTGAAGGGATTTTTGGGGACCCCCGGGGGGGTTTTGGGGACCCTCGGTGGATTTTTGGGGGTCCTGGGGGGATTTTTGGGGACCCTCGGGGGATTTTTGGGGGTCCTGGGGGGATTTTTGGGGACCCCCGGGGGGTTTTGGGGACCCTCGGGGGATTTTTGGGGTTCCTGGGGGGATTTTTGGGGACCCCCGGGGGGGTTTTGGGGACCCTCGGGGGATTTTTGGGGGTCCTGAAGACCCCCGGGGGGGTTTTGGGGTGGGGTCTCAGAGTTTTTTTTGGGGTGGGGTCTCAGAGCCCCCCCTCCCCCCTCCCAGCGCTCCCAGTTCCGGGTTTTTGGGTTTTTTTTTTCTGCTGTTTTTTATTTTAATTCTGTACAAAACCCCCTCCCCCCCCCCCAAATCCCTCGTGCTGGGGGGGGGAGGGGCAGTAAAGTGGTCAAAGTGCGGTGGGGGGAGGGGAGGGGGAGATTTTTGGGGAGGGGGAGGGGTGGCGGGGGTGCCCCTCCCCCCACCCCAGTAACGCTACTGGCCTGAACTGGGAACGGTCCCTGGGGGTGGGGGAGGGGAGGGGGGGAGGGGAGACCCCCGGGACCCCCCCCCCAAATTTGTGCTTTGGTCCAGCCCGGGGGGGCTGGGAATAAATAGGGAGGGGGGGGGAGGGACGGGGGGGGGGTTGGGAATGGGGGAGGGGCAGGAGGGGGGAGGGGTCTCAGTCCCATCGGAGCCCCCCCGGGGGGGGGGTGGGGGGTGCTGGGTCCGAGTCCCGGTTCTGGATCCCCTCATTGGGTCCCGGTTCTGGATCCCAGTTCTGGATCTTGTTTTGGGTCCTGGTTCTGGATCCCGGTTCTGGTTCTGGATTCCCTCATTGGATCCGGGTTCTGGATCCCAGTCCCGGTTCTGGATTCCCTCATTGGATCCCGGTGCTGGATCTGGTTCTGGATCCCAGTTCTGGATCTGGATTTTTCTCTCTGGATCCTGGTTCTGGATCTTGTTTTGGATCCCGGTTCTGGATCGCGGTTCTGGTTCTGGATTCCCTCATTGGGTCCCGGTTCTGGATCCTGGATCTGGGTCCTGGTTCTGGGTCTGGATTTTCTCTCTGGGTCCCAGTTCTGGGTCTGGATTCCCTCATTGGATCCGGATTCTGGATCTTGTTCTGGGTCTTGGTGCTGGGTCCCAGTTCTGGTTCTGGATTTCCTCATTGGATCCCAGTTCTGGATCCTGGTGTTGGTTCTGGATCCCCTCACTGGATCCCAGTCCCAGTTCTGGATCCCCCGGGGCTGTTCTGGATCAGTTCTGGATCCTCTGGATCAGTCTGGGATCCCCTGGGGCCATCCAAAACCCTTCCAGGCAGATCCTGAATCCTTCCAGGTGGATCCCAAACCCCCGGGATGGATCCCAAACCCCTCTAGAGGGATCCTAAACTCCTGGGGTAGATCTCAAACCTCTGGGATGGATCCCAAACCCCTCTAGGCTGATCCTAAATCCTTCCAGGTGGATCCCAGACCCCCGTGTCGGGGCCTGGAGCCCCCCGGGACTGACCCCAAATCCCCTGGGACTGACCCCAGACCCCTGGGTCAGACCCCAGACCCCCAGGGACTGACCCCAAGCCCCCGGGTCAGGGTCTGGAGCCCCAAGTCGGACCCCAAAGCCCCCCAGGTCAGACCCCGAACCCCTCTGGATGGATCCAAAACCTCTCCAGGCTGACCCCAAACCCCTCTGGGCAGATCCCAAACTTCTCTGGGCAGATCCCAGACCCCTCTGGGCAGATCCTGAACCCCCTGGGTCAGACCCCAGACCCCCAGGACTGACCCCAGACCCCCGTATCAGGGCCTGGAGCTCCAAGTCGTATCCCAAACCCCCCAGGTCAGACCCCAGACCCCTCTGGATGGATCCAAAACCCCCTGGGTCAGACCCCAAACTTCTCTGGGCAAATCCCAAACTTCTCTGGATGGATCCCAAACCCCCTGGGTCAGACCCCAGACTTCCAGGTCAGACCCCAAGCGCCTCTGGATGGATCCAAAACCTCTCAAGACGGATCCCAAACCCCCTGGGACTGATCTCAGCCCCCCAGGTCAGACCCCAGCCCCCCAGGTCAGACCCCAGACCCCCATATCAGGGCCTGGAGCCCCAGATCAGACCCCAGCCCCCCACACCGCCCCCCTTGTGCTCAGATCTGTCCGTGGCGCGCCTCGTAGCGCGCCAGGAGGCCGCGGAGGCGCAGGAGGTCGCGGCGCGCGGCCGCCACCTCGACGCGCAGCGCGGCGTTCTCGCGCTCCAGGAACGCCGCCCGCACCGAGATCTGGTTCTCCTTCAGCCGCCGCGCCTCCCGCGAGCGCTGCGCCGCCGCGTTGTTCCGCCAGCGCCGCCGCCAGTACTTCTCGTCCTGTATGGGGGGGCGTGATCGGGGATGGGGGACAGCGGGGGGACAGGGTGGGACAGGGGACAGGGGGGGACAGGGTGGGGACACGGCCAGGGACACAGTGGGGACGTGGGGACAGCAGGGACATGGGGACAGGGACAGGGGACAGCGGGGGGACATGGGGACAGGGGGGGAACATGGGGGGGACAGGGCCAGGACATGGCCAAGGACAGTGGGGACACAGTGGGGACATGGCCAGGGATAGTGGGGACAAGGTGAGGACAGTGGGGACACAGCTGGGGCCATAGGGACAGCGGGGACAGGGTGGGGACATGGGGGGACACGGTGGGGACGGGGGGGGGACACAGTTGGGACCATGGGGACAGGGTGGGGCACAGCCAGGGACACAGTGGGGACATGGGGGGGACAGGGACAGGGATAGTGGGGACAGGGTGGGGATACAGTCAGGGACACGGTGGGGACATGGGGAGGCCGCGCTCAGGGATGGGGGACAGGGGGGACATGGGGACAGGGACAGGGATAGTGGGGACATGGTGGGGACATAGTCAGGGACAGTGGGGACATGGCCAGGGACACAGTGGGGACATGGCTGTGACCATGGGGACAGCGGGGATATGGTGGGGACATGGTGGGGACATGGCCAGGGACAGGGGGGACACAGTGGGGACAGTAGGGACATGGCTGGGACCATGGGGATAGTGGGGATATGGTGGGGACATAGCCAGGGATAGTGGGGACATGGTCAGGGACAGCAGAGACAGGGTGGGGATAGTGGGGACACAGTGGGGACAGGGTGGGGACATGGCCAGGGACAGCAGGGACACGGCCAGGGATAGTTGGGACATGGTGGGGACATGGTCAGGGATAGCGGGGACATGGTGGGGATATGGCCAGGGGACAGCAGGGACAGGGTGGGGACAGCGGGGACATAGCAGGGACCGTGGGGACATGGGGGACACGGTGAGGACACAGCTGGGACAGTGGGAACATGGTGGGGACACGGCCAGGGACAGCAGAGACAGGGTGGGGACACAGTGGGGATAGGAGGGACATGGCCAGGGACACGGCTGGGACCATGGGGACAGGGTGGGGACATGGCCAGGGACAGCAAGGCCCCAAAATCCCCAAATTTTGGCCCCAAATCCCCGTATTTTTGGGAATCTTGCCCCAAATCCCAGGATTTTCATTAATCCTGCCCCGAATCTCAGGATTTTTGGGAATTTTGCCCCAAATCCCGGGTTTTCGGGAATCCCATCCCCAAACCCCCGGATTTTCAGGAATTTTACCCCGAATCCCCGGATTTTCAGTAATCCCGCCCTGAATCCCCGTATTTTCAGGAATTTTGCCCCGAATCCATGCATTTTCATTAATCCTGCCCCAAATCCCCGTATTTTCAGGAATCCTGCCCTGAATCCCCGGATTTTCAGGAATTTTACCCCATACGTGGGAATTTTGCCCCAAATTCCCAGATTTTCAGGAATTTTACCCCAAATCCCCATGATTTTTGGGAATTCCACCCCGAATCCCCAGATTTTCAGGAATTCTGCCCCGAATGCTGGGATTTTTGGCGCCAAATCCCCGGAATTTCAGGAATCCCGCCCCAAACCCCAAAATTTTCATTAATCCCCCCCCCGAATCCCGGGATTTTCGGGAATTTTGCCCCGAATCCCAGGATTTTCATGAATCCCACCCCGAATCCCAGGATTTTCAGGAATTTTGCCCCGAATGCTGGTATTTTCGGTAATTCCGCCCCCAAATCCCCATATTTTCGGGAATCCCGCCCCAAATCCCAGGATTTTCAGGAATTTTGCCCCAAATCCCGTTATTTTCAGGAATTCTGGCCCCGCACCTTCTGCTCCTCGGGCACGAGCACCTTTCGGGAATCCCACCCCAAATCCCCGGGATTTTCATCAATCCCTCCCCGAATCCCGGGATTTTCGGGAATTTTGCCCCAAATCCCAGGATTTTCATTAATCCCCCCCCGAATCCCGGGATTTTCAGGAATTTTGCCCCAAATCCCGTTATTTTCAGGAATTCCGGCCCCGCACCTTCTGCTCCTCGGGCACGAGCACCTTCCGGGAATCCCACCCCAAATCCCCGGGATTTTCATTAATCCCACCCCGAATCCCGGTATTTTCGGGAATTTTGCCCGAAATCCCAGGATTTTCGGGAATTTTGCCCCGAATCCTGGGATTTTCGGGAATCCCGTCCCAAATCCCCAGATTTTCAGGAATTTTGCCCCAAACCCCGGGATTTTCAGGAATTTTGCCCCAAATCCCAGGATTTTCAGGAATTTTGCCCCAAATCCCGGGATTTTCAGGAATTCTGTGCTCACACACCTTCTGCTCCTCGGGCACGTGCACCTTCTGGGAATCCCACCCCAAACCCCGGGATTTTCATCAATCCCACCCCGAATCCCAGGATTTTCGGGAATTTTGCCCCTGAATCCCGGGATTTTCAGGAATTTTGCCCCAAACCCCGTTATTTTCAGGAATTCTGTGCTCACACACCTTCTGCTCCTCGGGCACGAGCACCTTTCGGGAATCCCACCCCGAATCCCAGGAATTCCCCCCAAATCCCGGGATTTTCATTAATCCCACCCCGAAATCCCGGGATTTTTGGGAATTTTGCCCCAAACCCCAAATTTTCAGGAATTCCAGCCCCACACCTTCTGCTCCTCGGGCACGAGCACCTTTCGGGAATCCCACCCCGAATCCCGGGAATTCCCCCCTAAACCCCAGGATTTTCAGGAATTTTGCCCCGAACCCCGTTATTTTCGGGAATTTTGCCCCAAACCCCAGGATTTTCGGGAATTTTGCCCCAAATCCCGTTATTTTCGGGAATTCCAGCCCCACACCTTCTGCTCCTCGGGCACCAGAACCTTCCGGGCCTTCCTGCCGAGGGGCTGCGGCCGCAGCTCCTCCTGAGTGAAGCGGAGCCGCCGCGGGTCCAGCGGGGCGGGACCCCCGGGACCCCCCCCGGGACCCCCGGGACCCCCCCCGGGACCCCCCCCGGGACCCCCGGGACCCCCCCCGGGACCCCCCCCGGGCCCCTCCGCCTCGGGGGGCGCCTCCGGGGGGGCGCGGGGGGGGCCGGGGGCTGCGGGGGGGGGGGGGGGGGGTTAGTGGTGGGGGAGGGGCGGTCAGCGATATCCCCCCCCAATTCCTGATTCCCCCCCCCCCCCCAATTCCTGATCCGCCCCCCCCAATCCCTGATCCCCCACCCCAATCCCCTTTGCCCCCTCCCCAAATTCTGGTGCTGCCCCCTCCCCCAATTCCCGCTCCCCCTGTCCAAATCCCGGTTCCATTCCCCCCCAATTCCCTTTGCCCCCTCCCCAATTCCCAATTCCCCCCCCCCAATTCCCATTCCCTTTGCCCCCCTCCCCAATTTCCAATTCCCCCTCATTCCCTTTGCCCCCCTCCCCAATTTCCAATCCTCCCCCCCGAATTCCCGTTCCCCCCTCCCCAATTTCCGTTCCACCCCGTTCCCTTTGCCCACTCCCCAATTCCCAGTTCCTTCCCCCCCAATTCCCGTTCCCCCCTCCCCAATTTCCAATCCCCCCCCCTAATTCCCGCTCCCTTTGCCCCCTCCCCAAATCTTGGTTCCGTTCCCTTTGCCCCCTCCCCAATTTCCAATCCACCCCCCCAATACCCGGTTCCATCCCCCCCCCAAATTCCTGTTTCCCCCTCCCCAATTCCCATTCCCCCCTCCCCAAATCCCAATTCCCGTTCCCTTTGCCCCCTCCCCAAATCCCATTCCCTTTGCCCCCTCCCCAAATCCCTTTGCCCCCTCCCCAATTCCAATCCCCCCCCCAATTCCCTAACCCTAACCCTTGGCCCCCCTCCCCAATTCCCATTCCCTTTGCCCCTCCCCAAATTCTGGTACCCCCTCCCTCAATTTTTCATTCCCTTTGGCCCCCTCCCCAAATCCCGGTTCCGTTCCCTTTGCCCCCTCCCCAATTCCCATTGCCCCCCTCCCCAATTCCCATTCCCTTTGCCCCCTCCCCAATTCCCGGTTCCATTTTCAATCCCCCTCCCCAATTCCCTTTGCCCCCCCCTCCCAATTCCTGTTCCCTTTGCCCCCTCCCCAAATCTCGGTTCCATCCCCCCCAATTCCTGTTTCCCCCTCCCCAATTCCCGTTCCCATTTTCGATCCCCCCTCCCCAATTCCCGTCCCCTTTGCCCCCCTCCCCAATTCCCGGTTCCATCCCCCTGTCCCCCCAGTTCCCGTTCCCGGTTTCCCCCTCCCCAATTCCCGGTTCCATTTCTGATCCCCCCCCCCAATTCCCTTTGCCCCCCCCCATTCCCCCCCCCCATTACCGGGCCTGAGGAGGGTTGGGGGTCCCGGGGGGGGGCTGGGGGGCAGCCCCCCGTGCTCCCTCAGGAACTCGTCCAGATCCACCAACTCCAGCTCGGGACCCCCGCCCGCCCCGGGGGGGCCCCAGGGCCCCGCGCAGCCCCCGCCGGGCTCCTCCATCCTGGGGTCACACAGGGGTCACACAGGGGTCACACAGGGGTCACACAGGGGTCACAGAGGTCACAGAGGGGTCACACAGGAGTCACACAGGGGTCACAGGGGTCACACAGGGGTCACACAGGGGTCACACCGGGAAGTTTCTTTGGAGGCTGAAATCGCCCCCGGCAATGAAATGTCCCAATTTTGGCTCAAAATAACCACAAAATAGCCCAAAATAGCACAGCTCTGAACGAAATAGCCACAAATATCCGAATTCCAACCCAAAAACTCCCAAAAACAGCCCAAATATCCCAATTCTACCCAAAATATCCCTAAAACAGTCCAGATATCCCAATTCTGCCCCAAACAATGACAAAACAACCCAAATATCTCAATTCTGCCCCAAATAACCCCAAATATCCCAATTCTGCCCCAAATAACCCCAAATATCCCAATTCTGCCCCAAATAACCCCAAATATCCCAATTCTGCCCCAAAATAACCCCAAATCAGCCCAAATACCCCAATTCTGCCCCAAAATAACTCCAAATCAGCCCAAATACCCGAATTCCACCCCAAAAACTCCCAAAAATAGCCCAAATTTCCCAATTCTGCCCTAAACAACCTCAAACCAGCCCAAATATCCCAATTCTACCCCAAATCAGCCCAAATATCCCAATTCTGCCCCAAAATAACCCCAAATCAGCCCAAATATCCCATTTCTGCCCCAAATAACCCCAAACCAGCCCAAATATCCCAATTCTGTCCCAAATAACCCCAAAATAACCCCAAATCCCCCCAAAATGCCCCAATTCCCTCCCCTAAAGATGTAAAATCCTTCCTCTAAAAATATCCCAATTCCCTCTCCCAAAATGCCCCAATTCCACCCAAAATAACTCCAGAAAACCTTAAAAATATCCCAATTCCACCCAAAATAACCCCAAAAACCCCAAAATGCCCCAATTCCACCCAAAATAACCCCAAAAAACCCCAAAAAATCCCAATTCCACCCATAAAAACTCCAAAAAACCCCAAAAAATCCCAATTCCACCCAAAATAACTCCAAAAAACCCCCAAATGCCCCAATTCCACCCAAAATAACCCCAAAAAACCCCAAAATGCCCCAATTCCTCCCAAAATAAGACCAAAACGCTTCCCCTAAAACGCCCCAAACTCCCTCTCAAAAAAAGGCCCAAAAAGCCCCAAAAAGCCCCAAATTCCCCCAAAATCCGCGGCCCCGCCCCCGGCACGTGACCGGGCGGGGTTTGGGGGGGGGCGGGGCCGCGCACGTGCCGCGGTCACGTGGGGGGATCCCCCCGCGCCCCCCCCCCCACGTGCGGCTTCACCTCGAATGACCCCGCGGGGGGGGGAGGGGCGGCACCGGAACCGGGAGCGGAACCGGGACCGGGACCGGGAGGGGGGGGAGGGGAAGGGGGGGAGGTCCCGGTGCCGGTGCCCCTCCCCCACTGCCTGGACCCCCTCCCCAATTATCGGTCCCCTCCCCCCCCACCATTCCCGGTGTCCCCCCCCGTTCCCGTTACCCCTCCCCCCATTCCCGGTACCTCCCGGTGTCCCCTCCCGGTGTCCCCTCCCCCATTCCCGGTGTCCCCTCCCGGTTCCCCCCCTCCATTCCCGGTGTCCCCTCCCGGTGCCCCTCCCCCGTTCCGGTGTCCCCTCCCCATTCCCGGTTCCCCCGGTTCCCCCCGCCCCATTCCCGCTCCCCCCCCCATTCCCGGTGTCCCCTCCCCCGTTCCCGGTTCCCCCCCTATTCCCGGTGTCCCCTCCCGGTGTCTCCCCCCCATTCCCGGTGTCCCCCCCCCCCCATTCCCGGTCCCCCCGCCCCATTCCCGGTCCTCCCCCATTCCCGGTGTCCCCCCCCCCATTCCCGGTACCTCCCGGTTCCTTCTCCCCATTCCCGGTTCCTCCCGGTTCCTCCACCCCATTCCCGGTTCCCCCCCCCGTTCCCGGTGTCCCTTCCCCCCCCCCCATTCCCGTTCTCTCCCCCCCCCATCCCGTTCTCCCCTCCCCCACCTGCTCCGGTCCCTCCCGCTCTCTCCGGTCCGATCCCGCTGTTCCCGTGAAGAGGCGTGGCCTGACGCCAGCCCCGCCCCCTTTTCACCGCCAGCCAATCCCCGCGCGCCCTCACCGCTGGCCACGCCCCCTCACAACAACAACCCGCGCACGCTGAGCGCCTCCCATTGGTCGGTTCCGCCGCAAGCCACGCCCCCGCGGACAACAAAGCCACGCCCCTGCCCAAATAAGGGAAACGCCCCCTCCTCCCTGCAGGCCACGCCCCCTTTGCTCCGCTCAGCCAATGGGCGCGCGCGGGGGCGTGGCCGTGGTCAGGCGGCGCGGCCATGCGGGGGGGCGTGGCCTGACCTAGATTGGGCCAATGGGGACGGGCGGGAGGGGCGGGGCCTGACCCAGTTTTGGCCAATGGGGGGCGGCGCGCACGCGGGGCCGCACGTGCCGCGCCCTTAAAGGGACCGCGCCGCCCCGGTGACGTCACGAAAGCCCCGATTCCTCCCCAAAATGCCCCTTCCTCTCCGGGGCACCCCTGGGGGCGTGTCCAGCTTCGATTCCGCGGCTCTGATTGGTTACGAGCCCCGTTTCCACCCCCCTCATAGCCAACAGCGGCCGCCATCTTTGTTGAGGGCGGCCGCCGCCATCTTGTGCGGCGCCGCCATCTTGGCGCGGAGGCGGCGCCGCCGCCATCTTTGATGAGGGCTGGGCGCCCATCCCCCCCCACCCCGAGGGGTTTTTGGGGGTCTTGGGGCTCCCGGTTTTACGTGGAGAGGGGAGGGGGGATCGCGACACCCCCGTGAGGGGCTCCGGTCCCTCCGTGGAGGCGGATAGTGGGAAAAGGCGGGCGGGGGGAGGAGAGAAACCGGGCATTCCTCCCGTGACGTCACACTTCCGCTTCCGGCGGGGCGGCGCGCCCGGCCCGGCCGAGCGGGACCCACCGGGGCCCACCGGGACCCCCCCACAACCCCCCACGAGCCCCGCCGTGAGTCCCCACCCCCTCCCGGCCCCGCCACGTTCACCGCGGGACCCCCAAACCCCTCCCCCATCCCCCTCCCCCCCCTCCGGTACCACCGGGACCCCCCCGCCGCCCCCCAACGATGGAGGCGAACGTGAGCGACGAGAGCGGCCCCTTCCCCTCGTACCCCTTCGACTTCCTGGACTTCCTGACGCACCAGCAGCGCCCGGAGCCCCCCGAGCCCTTCGAGCCGCCCCCCAAACCGCTCCCGCTGCCCCCCGGCCCCTTCGAGTTCCCCTCCCCCTTCCCGCGCAGCCCCCTCCCCAAAAACAAACCCGACCCCCCTTCCTCCTCCTCATCCTCCTCCTCATCCTCATCCTCGCACCCCAAAAAACCCGAGGGGGGGTCTTTGGGTGGATCCCTGGGTGGGGGAGGGGCGCTGGTGGGGTCTCCCTTCCCCCCCCCGCCGCTGCCGCCCCCTCCCCCACATCAGCCGCTGTTTGAGGCTGGGGGCTCCTTCCCCTCCCCCCCCTGGGGCATCGTGGACCTCTCGGGCCACCAGCACCTCCTGGGCGGCCTCAAACGCGGCGGCGGCACCGCGGCGGGCCCCCGGTGAGTCCCGGCACGGCACCGGATCCCGGCGAGGAGCGCGGGTACTTCCGGCGCCTCAAGTTCCTGGTGGAGCGGCGATTCGGCGCCGCCGGGCACAGGGGAGCGCGGCCGGGAGCGGCGCCGGCGCACGCCGAGGGGCGCCCCTACGAGTGCCGCACCTGCGGCCGCACCTACAGCCACGGCTCCAGCCTGGTGCGGCACCGGCGCTGCCACCGGCACGGCGCCGACGAGGCCACCGGGAGCGGCGGGGTCAACGCGGCGGCCAACGGGGCCAATGGGGTCAACGCGGCGGCCAACGGGGTCAACAGTGTGGTCGGCGTCAACGCGGCGGCCAATAGAGTCAACGTGGCGGCCAATGGGGTCAACGCAACGGCCAATGGGGTCAACGTGGCGCCCAATGGAGTCAACAGCATCATTGGCGTCAACGTTGCGGCCAATAGAGTCAACGCATCGACCAACGGGGTCATCACGGCGGCCAATGGGGTCAACACGGTGGCCAATGGGGTCAATGTGGCCAACGGGGTCAACGCGGTGGTCAACGTCAACGCAGTGGTCAACAGAGTCAACACAGCGGCCAATGGGGTCAACGTTTCGGCCAACGGGGTCAACACGGCGGTCAACGTCAACCCAGCACCCAACGGGGTCAACACATCCACCAATGGAGTCAATGTGGTGGCCAGCGGGGTCAACACGGTGGCCAACGTCAACACGGCGGCCAACGGGGTCAACGTGGCGCCCAATGGGGTCAACACGGCCGGAAGGATCAACACGGTGGCCGGAGGGGTCAACGTGGCCAACGGGGTCAATGTGGCGCCCAATGGGGTCAACGCGGCACCCAACGGGGTCAATGGGGTCAACGCAACACCCAACGGAGCCAACGTCTTGGCCAACCTCCCTGCGGCGCCCAACGGGCCCAACCCGCTGCCGTTGGCGCTCAACGCGGCGCCCAACGCGGTCCCCGGCGGGGTGGGTCTGGTGGCGCCGGGCGTGGCGGTGGCGGTGCCCAACGCGGTGATCCCGGTGGCGGGCGGGGTCCTGCTGGCGGCGCCGGGCGCGGCGGAGGGGCCGCTGAGCTGCCCGCTGTGCTGGAAGGCGTTCAAGAAGCCGAGTCACCTGGCGCAGCACCAGATCATCCACACCGGCGAGAAGCCCTTCGCCTGCGCCGCGTGCGGCCGCGCCTTCAACCGGCGCGAGAGTTTGACGCGGCACGTCAAGACGCACGCGGGGCCGCGGCGCGTGCCGTGCGGCGTCTGCGGCAAGGAGTTCCGCGACGCGGCGTACCTGCTGCGGCACCAGGCCAGCCACGGCGCGCCGCGCCCCGCGCACCGCTGCGACGTCTGCGGCAAAGCCTACGCCGCGCCGCAGAGCCTGCTGCGGCACCGCCGCGCCCACGGCGAGGGTGACAACACCGGGAGCGCCACGAGGAGCACCACAACGGCACAGAGTGGTGGCGCAGCTTCGTGTGCGGCGTGTGCGGGCGCGGCTTCGGGCGGCGCGAGACGCTGCGGCGGCACGAGCGCATCCACACCGGGGAGAAGCCGCACGAGTGCGGCGTGTGCGGGAAGCGCTTCCGCGAGTCCTTCCACCTGCGCAAGCACCGCGTGGTGCACACCCGGGAGCGGCCGTACCGCTGCGAGGTCTGCGGCAAAGCCTTCGGCTACCCGCAGAGCCTCACGCGGCACCGCCAGGTGCACCGTGTGCCGACCGCTGAGGCGACGCCGACACCGACCGCGGCGCTGGGCTGCCAATCCTGCGGCCGCCGCCTGCCCGAGCTGCTGCGCGCCGCCGCGCTCAAGGACGCGGTGACGGTGACGGCGACATCGCCACGCGGCTGTGAGGCGTGCGGGCAGGTTTTTGGCTTTTTGGAGAACCTGGTGTGGCACCGCCTGGCGCGCCCGGTGCCGGCAGAAGCGCCGAGTCCCACCGAGGTGCCGCCAGCGGTGCCAAACGCGGGGCGGTTCAGCTGCGGCACGTGCGGGCAGAGCTTCAAGCGTTTCCTGGCGCTGGTGACGCACAAATACGTTCACCTGTCGGCGTCGCGGCCGCGCTCCTGTGCCGCGTGTGGTCGGCGCTGCGCCGGCGCCTACGAGCTGCTGCTGCACCGGCGGCGGCACCTGCGGCGGCGCCCGCGGCGCTGCGGCGGCTGCGACCGGCGCTTCTGGGCGTTGGCGCTGCTGCGGCGGCACCGGCGCGTCTGCCCCGCCCGGCGCCGCCCGTTCCGCTGCCGCGCCTGCGGCCGCGCCTTCCCCCGGGCGCCGTTGCTGCGGCGGCACCGCGCCCGCCACGCCGCGACCCGCTGCCCGCTCTGCGCCAAGCGCTGCGCCGGCGCCGCCGGGCTGGCCGAGCACCAGCGGCGGCACGGCCCCGCGCGCCCCCGGCGGTGCCGGACCTGCGGGGAGACGTTCCGGTACCGCGGGAACCTGCTGGAGCACCGGCGGCGGCACCTCGGCGAGGACGTGTACCGCTGCGAGCGCTGCGGGAAGAGTTTCTTCTACCTGGGCTCCATCGCGCGGCACCTCCGCGCTCACCGGCGCCGCCCGCGCTGCCCACGGTGCCGGCGGCGCTTCCCGCGCGCCGCGATGCTGCGGCGGCACCTGCACGGGCACGGCGCCGCGCCGGGATGCCAGCGGGAGGGGACGGAGGGACGGAGGGGACGGAGGGACGGACGGGAGCGGGAAGTGATGGGGTGGAGGGGCAAGGGGGGCTGGCGGGATGTGGCAGAAAAATGGCATAAAATGGGACAAAATGGGTCAAAAATGGGTCCAAAATGGCAGAAAATGGGACAAAAATGGGCCAAAAATGGCAATGAATGGGCCAAAATGGCAGAGAATGGGCCAAAAATGGTCATAAATAGGTCAAAATCGCCATAAATGGGACTAAATGGCACAGAATGGGCCAAAAATGGCACAGAATGGGGCAGAATGGCACAAAATGGGCCTAAAATGGCAGAAAATGGGCCAAAAATGGCACAAAATGGGCCAAAAATGGTTTAAAATGGGTCAAAATGGCACAAAATGGGACAAAATGGGCCAAAAATGGCACAGAATGGCACAAAATGGGTCAAAAATGGCACAGAATGGGCCAAAATGGGTCAAAAATGGCACAGAATGGGTCAAAAATGGCACACAATGGGCTAAAAATGGCACAGAATGGTCCAAAAATGGCATAAAATGGGCTAAAAATGGCCACAAAAAGCTCATTTTCACTCAAAATTGCTCATCCTGGCCTGAAATGGCTCCAAATGGCCCAAAAATGGCTTATCCCAGCCCAAAACTGTCCAAGGTGGTCGAAAATGATCTGTCCTGCCCTGAAATGGCTCAAAATGGCCCAAAAATGGCTCAAAGTGGTCCAAAATTGCCCAGATTGGTCTGAAATGGTCCAAAATGGCGCCAAATGGCTCATCCTGACCCAAAATGGCCCAAAATGGCCCAAAATGGTCCAAAATGGCGCCAAATGGCTCATCCTGACCCAAAATGCCCCAAAAACGGCTCAAAGTGTTCCAAAATGGCCCAAAATGGTCCAAAATGGCCCAAAATGGCCCCGGTGTGGAGCAGCCGGGCCGTGACAGCGAGTCTGGGCTGTCCCTCCTCATGGACAGATGGACATTTGGACACTCGGACACTCGGACAATGGACACCTGGACATTTGGACACTCGGACACTCGGACAATGGACAGCTGGAGTGATGGACACTCGGACACTCGGACATTTGGACACTCGGACATTCGGACACTCGGACAGGGCCGTGTGTTCTGTCCCATTAAAATCCATCTTTATTCCCCACTTTTCTTGGCTTTTTTCCCCTTTTTCCCCCATTTCCCACAGCCTGCAACAGCAATGACCCAAAAATCCCAAAAACCCCCAAAACCCCCAAAATCCCCAAAAACCCCAAAATCCCCCATTCGGGGTTGCTCCCATAGTTCATGCCAACATCCCAAAATCCCCAATTTCCCCAAATTTTCCCATTTTCCCGCAGTCCGGGATGCTGAGTGCACACTGCCGGTGTCCCCACCGTCCCGATTTTCCTCAATTTTCCCCAATTTCCCCCAGTTTTTTCCGGTTTTTCCCTTGTTTTTCCTCATTCCCCCAAAACCAGAGAATTCCCAAAATCCCCCTGGGACCGCCCGAAATTCCCTCAGCCCCTCCCCAGCCCCTCTGGGGATTCCCCTGGGAGGATTTTTAAGGGAAAAACCAAGAAAAATGGGGCAAAAAAGAAAAAAAAAAATCCCAGAAAATTAGCGTTGAAATCCCGCGAGATTTGGGCGCCTCGCGAGACTTCCCGCGGGCCGCCAGAGGGCGCGCTCAGCGCTTCCCGCCAAAAGGGAAAAGGGGCGGGGCCAGGGCCTGAGGGGGCGGGGCAAAGGCGGGAAAGGGGCGGGGCCAACCGGAGCGCCCGGTTTTACCGGGGAACGCGGCGGAAGTGACGTAAGGGAGCGGGGGGGGGTCCGAACAGGGGCGGAAAGCGACGGAAAGAGGCTGAAAGCGGGAAAAAAAGGGGAAAATCCGTAAAAAAGGGAAAAAAGGGGGGAAAAAAGGGAAAAAAGGGGAAAAAAAAAGGGGAAAAAGGGGGGAAAAAAGGGACTCTGCGACTTTTGGGTCGGGGCCGCTGAGTTTGGGGGAAAGGGGCGGGAAGAGGCGATCGGTAACGGGAGGAACGAGCGGGACCGGGAACGGCGAACGGCGGCGGAAAGCGGCGGAAAAAGCCGAGCGGGGTCGTAAAGTGACGGAAAAAGCCGAGGGGCCGTAAAGCGGCGGAAAAAGCCGAACGGGGGCCGTAAAGCGACGGAAAAAGCCGAGCGGGGTCGTAAAGCGGCGGAAAAAGCCGAGCGGGGTCGTAAAGTGACGGAAAAAGCCGAGCGGGGCCGTAAAGCGGCGGAAAAAGCCGAACGGGGCCGTAAAGCGGCGGAAAAAGCCGAGCGGGGGTCGTAAAAAGCCGAGCGTTGACGGAAATCACCGAATGGCGGCGGAAAAAGCCGAGCGCTGACGGAAAGGGCCGAAGCGGTGGCGGAAAGGGCCGAAGTGGCGGCGGAAGAACCCGAAGCGGTTACGGAAGGACCCGAAGCGGCGGCGGAAGTGGCCGAGCGCGGCCGGAAGTGGCGGAGCGCGGGCGGAGGCGCGCGGCCTGAGGGCGGCCGTGAGGAGCGGGAGGCACCGGGAGGCTCCGGGACGCACCGGGAAGCTCCGGGAAGGCTCCGGGCGGGACCGGGAAGGCTCCGGGAGGGCCCCGGAAGAGCCGCCGCCATGTCCGACTTCGACGAGTTCGAGCGGCAGCTGAACGAGAACAAACAAGGTACCGGCCCCGCCCCCCCCCCTCATCCCGCGCCTCACGGGGAGACCCCGCGGGGGGGGAGGGGGAGCGGGGGGTGACCCCCCCAAAATTTGGGGTCCCCCCCCAATTTGTGAACCCCCCCAAAATTTGGGGTCACCCTTCGTGACCCCCCCCCAATTTTGGGGACCCCCACCCCCATTTTGGGACCCCTCACAAAATTTGGGGTCACCCTTCGTGACCCCCCCCCCCCCAAAAAAAATTGGGGCGACCCCCCCACCGGTTTTGACCCCCCCCAATCCCTAAATTTGGGGTCCCCCTCTCGAAGGGTTCCCATCCCAAATTTGACCCCCCCCCCTCAATTTTGGGTTCACCCCCCCAAATTTTGACCCCGTTTATTTTGGGGTTTCCACCCCCCATTTTTGACCCCCCCCAATATCCAATTTTGGGTCCTCCCCCAATTTTGACCCCCCCAAATTTTGGGGTAATTTTGGGGTTTTGACCCCCAAATTTTGGGTAATTTGGGTTTTGACCCTCTCTCAATTTTGGGCAATTTTGGGTTCTTAACCCCCCCAGAAGGGAGGGGAGTCAGAGGGAATTTGGGGTTATTTTGGGGTATTTTGAGCTAATTTGGGTTATGGGGATTTGGGGTTATTTTTGGAGCTAATTTGGGGTTATTGGGTTGTTTGGGGGGATTTTGGGTAGGGAGCTAATTTGGGGGATTTTGGGGTTATTTTTGGAGCTAATTTGGGGTTATTTTGGGGGATTTTGGGGTTATTTTTGGAGATAATTTGGGGTTATTTTGGGGGATTTTGGGGTTATTTTTGGAGCTTTTTTTGGGTTATTTTTTGGGGATTTTGGGGTTATTTTTGGAGATAATTTGGGGGTTTTTGGGGGATTTTGGGGTTATTTTTGGAGCTAATTTGGGGTCATTTTGGGGGAGGTTTGGGGTAATTTGGAGTGATTTTGTTTATTTTGGGGTATTTTGTTAATTTTATCACTCTTTGTAGAGCAGGACAAGGAGAACTGGAGGTTTTGGGTTTTTTTGTTTTGGGTTTATTTTGGGTTTTTTGTTAAATTTTCTCTCTTTTCCAGAATGGGACAAGGAGAACTGGGGGTTTTGGCATATTTTGGGTTTATTTTGGGTTTTTTATTAGATTTTCTCTGTTTTCCAGAGCAGGACAAGGAGAACTGGGGGTTTTGGGATATTTTGGGTTTATTTTGGGTTTTTTATTAGGTTTTCTCTCTTTTCTAGAGCGGGACAAGAAGAACCAGAGGTTTGGGATATTTTGGGTTCATTTTGGGATATTTTATTAATTTTGTCACTCTTTGCAGAGCAGGACAAGGAGAAACGTGGGCTTTGGGCCATTTTGGGTTAATTTTGCTATATTTAATTAATTTAATCACCGTTTCAGAGCGGGACAAGGAGAACCGTGGGGATTGGATTATTTTGTGTTAATTTTGATATATTTAATTAATTTTCTCTCCATCCCAGAGCAGGACAAGGAGAACTGTGGGGTTTGGATTATTTTGGGTTAATTCCGATATATTTAATTAATTTTCTGTGTTTCCCAGAGCGGGACAAGGAGAACCGTGGGGTTTTTGGGCCATTTTGGGTTAATTTTGATAAATTTAATTAATTTAATCACCGTTTCAGAGCGGGACAAGGAGAACCGGGGGTTTTGGGATATTTTGGGTTTATTTTGGGTTCATTTTGGGTTTATTTTGTGATATTCAGTTAATTTTCTCTGTTTCCAGAGCGGGACAAGGAGAACCGGGGATTTTGGATTATTTTGGGTTAATTTTGGGATATTTTTTTGAATTTTCTCTCTTTTCCTGAGTGGGACAAGGAGAACCGGGGGTTTGGGGATATTTTGTGATATTTTGGATTTATTTTGGGTTTTTTACTAGATTTTCTCTGTTTTCCAGAGTGGGACAAGGAGAACCGGGGGTTTTAGGTTATTTTGGGTTTATTTTGGGTTAATTTTAATATATTTAATTAATTTTCTCTCTTTCCCAGAGTGGGACAAGGAGAACCGTGGGGGTTTGGATTATTTTGGGTTAATTTTGGGGTATTTAATTAATTCCATCACTGTTCCCAGAGCGGGACAAGGAGAACCGTGGGGGTTTAATTTAATAATTAATTAATTAATTAATTAATATTTAATTAATTTAATCACTTTCCAGAGCGGGACAAGGAGAACCGGCACCGGAAGCGCTCCCACAGCCGCTCCCGCAGCCGCGACCGCAAACGGCGCAGCCGCTCCCGAGAGCGCCGCACCCGCGACCAGCGCAGCGTGTCCCGCGACCGGAGACGGCGACGGTAACTGGGGATACTGGGAGCACTGGGAATGGGCACTGGGGGTACTGGGAATGGTCATTGGGGTCATTGGGGTCACTGGGGATACTGGGAGCACTGGGAATGGTTACTGGGAGCACTGGGAATGGTTACTGGGAGCACTGGGAACAGCCGCTCCCGAGAGCGCCGCACCCGCGACCAGCGCAGCGTGTCCCGCGACCGCCGGCGGCGCCGGTAACTGGGGGTACTGGGAGCACTGGGAGCACTGGGAATGGTTATTGGGGTCACTGGGGATACTGGGAGCACTGGGAATGGTTATTGGGGATACTGGGAGCACTGGGAGCACTGGGATCGGTGATTGGGGATACTGGGAGCACTGGGAATTGGCACTGGGAGCACTGGGAGCACTGGGAATTGGCACTGGAAGCACTGGGAGCACTGGGAATTGGCACTGGGAGCACTGGGATCGGTCACTGGGGATACTGGGAACACTGGGAATTGGCACTGGGGATACTGGGAACACTGGGATTGGTCATTGGGGTCATTGGGGTCACTGGGGATACTGGGAATGGTTATTGGGGTCACTGGGAGCACTGGGAACAGCCGTGACCAGCGCAGCGTGTCCCGGGACCGGAGACGGCGCCGGTAACTGGGGGTACTGGGGATACTGGGAACTGACACTGGGGTCACTGGGGATACTGGGGATACTGGGAATGGTCACTGGGGATACTGGGATCTGATACTGGGGGCACTGGGGGCACTGGGAACAGCCGCGACCAGCGCAGCGTGTCCCGGGACCGCCGGCGGCGCCGGTAACTGGGAGCACTGGGAGCACTGGGAGCACTGGGAATGGTCATTGGGGTCATTGGGGATACTGGGGACACTGGGAATGGTTACTGGGGGCACTGGGGGCACTGGGAACAGCCGCGACCAGCGCAGCGTGTCCCCCGACCGCCGACAGCGCCGGTAACTGGGAGCACTGGGGATACTGGGGACACTGGGAATGGTTACTGGGGATACTGGGGGCACTGGGAACAGCCGCGACCAGCGCAGCGTGTCCCGGGACCGCCGGCGGCGCCGGTAACTGGGGGCACTGGGAGCACTGGGAGGGGTCACTGGGGGCACTGGGAGCACTGGGAATTGGTACTGGGGATACTGGGAATGGTCACTGGGGATACTGGGAGCTGATACTGGGAGCACTGGGAGCACTGGGAACAGCCGCGACCAGCGCAGCGTGTCCCGCGACCGCCGGCGGCGCCGGTAACTGGGGGCACTGGGAGCACTGGGAGGGGTCACTGGGGGCACTGGGAGCACTGGGAATTGTTACTGGGGATACTGGGAATGGTCACTGGGGATACTGGGAGCTGATACTGGGAGCACTGGGAGCACTGGGAACAGCCGCGACCAGCGCAGCGTGTCCCGGGACCGCCGGCAGCGCCGGTAACTGGGAATTGGCACTGGGGATACTGGGAATGGTCACTGGGGTCATTGGGGTCACTGGGGATACTGGGAATTGTTATTGGGGTTACTGGGAGCACTGGGGATACTGGGAGCACTGGGAATTGGCACTGGGGGCACTGGGAATGGTTATTGGGGTCACTGGGGATACTGGGAATGGGTCACTGGGGATACTGGGAGCACTGGGATCGGTCACTGGGAGCACTGGGGATACTGGGAACTGACACTGGGGATACTGGGAGCACTGGGAATTGGCACTGGGAGCACTGGGATCGGTCACTGGGGATACTGGGGATACTGGGAATGGTTATTGGAGATACTGGGAGCACTGGGAATTAGCACTGGGGGTACTGGGGATACTGGGAGCACTGGGAGCGGTCATTGGGGGCACTGGGAGCACTGGGAATTGGTACTGGGGATACTGGGAGCACTGGGATCAGTCACTGGGAATACTGGGAGCACTGGGATTGGTCACTGGGGATACTGGGAGCACTGGGATTGGTCATTGGGGATACTGGGAACACTGGGAGTACTGGGAATTGGCACTGGGAGCACTGGGAATACTGGGAACTGTTACTGGGGATACTGGGGATACTGGGAATTGGCACTGGGGATACTGGGGATACTGGGAATTGGCACTGGGGATACTGGGAACTGATACTGGGGGTACTGGGAGCACTGGGAGCGATCACTGGGGGCACTGGGGATACTGGGAATTGTCATTGGGGATACTGGGAACACTGGGAACTGACACTGGGGATACTGGGAACCCCCTGGGACCACCAGGATTGACGTGTGACCCCCCAAATTTGAGGTGTGACCCCCCAAAATGGGGCTGGGGACCCCCAAAATGGGGCTGGGGGTCCCAAAATGGGTCTGGGGGTCCCAAAATGGGGCTGGGGACCCCCCAAATGGGGCTGGGGACCCCAAAATGGGGCTGGGGACCCCAAAATGGGGCTGGGGACCCCCAAAATGGGGGTGGGGATCCCCAAATGGGGCTGGGGACCCCAAAATGGGTCTAAAAACCCCCAAAATGGGGCTGGGGACCCAAAATGGGGCTGGAGACCCCAAAATGGGGCTGGGGACCACAAAATGGGGCTGGGGACCCCCAATTTTGGGGGGTCTCACCCCTTTTAACCCCCCCCAGGTCCCCCCTGAGCCTCTCGGGCCCCCTGAGGTGAGTTGAGGATTTTGGGGCTTTTTGGGGGGTTTTGGGGCATTTTGGGGAGTTTTTGGGGGTTTTTAGGGGAGATTTTTTGGGGTTTTTTTTGGGGCATTTTTGGGGGGTGTTGAGGGTTTTTTGGGGGGTTGGGTGGTTTTCTGGGGTTTCTTTGGGTTTTTTTTTGTGGGGTTTTTGGTGGGTTTTTGGGGAGGTTTTTGACAGTTTTGTTGGTTTTTTTTGTGATTTCTGGGTGATTTTTTGGTGGTTTTTGTGTGGTTTTCCAGGGTTTTTTTGGGGAGGTTTTTTGGTGTTTTTCGGGTGGTTTTTTTGGGCGGTTTTTGGGTTTTTAGGTTTTTTTCGGGGGCTTTTCAGGGAGGTTTTTTGGGGGTGTTTTTTGGGCGTTTTTTGGTTTTTTTCCGGGGGGTTTCAGGGAGGGTTTTCAGGGAGGTTTTTTTGTGGTTTTTTGGGTTTTTTTGGGTTCTTTTGGGGAGTTTTTTTGGGGAGGTTTTTTGGTGCTTTTTGGGTGTTTTTTTGGGCAGGTTTTGGTTTTTTTTTGGGGAGGCTTTTCAGGGAGGTTTTTTGGTGTTTTTTGGGTGTTTTTTTTGGCAGTTTTTGGTTTTTTTCAGGGGGTTTTCAGGGAGGTTTTTGGTGTTTTTCGGGTGTTTTTTTGGGCAGTTTTTGGGTTTTTTCGGGGGGTTTTTGGGGAGGTTTTTTGGGCGGTTTTCGGGTGTTTTTTGGGTTTTTTCCGGGGGGTTTTTGGGGTGCAGCCCCCCTCACCCCCCAAACCCCCCGTGCCCCCCCAGCCGCTCCCCCCGGCACGAGAAGAAGAAGAAAATTCGGAAATATTGGGACGTGCCCCCCCCCCGGCTTCGAGCACATCACCCCCATGCAGTACAAGGCCATGCAGGGTGAGACCCCTCCCCAAATTCACCCACACCCCCTGGGACCCTCAAATCCCCAGGGACCCCCCAAATCCCCGGGGACCCCCCCAAATCCCCAGGGACCCCCAAATCCCCGGGGACCCCCCCCAAATCCCCGGGGACCCCCCCCAAATCCCCAGGGACCCCCCCCAAATCCCCTCAGGACCCCCAAAACGTCCCAAAGACCCCCCAGGAACGGCCCCAAACCCTTCCAGGGACCCCAATGTCCCCTCAAAGCCCCCAGGACCCCCCAAACCCCATCCTAGGGACCCCAAATCCCCCCCAATTCCCCCAAAGCCCCTCCTAGCGACCCCAGACCCCATCCCAGAGACCCCAAACCCCATCCTAGGGACCCCACATCCCCCCAAACCCCCTCAGGACCCCCCAAACCCCATCCTAGAGACCCCAAACCCTCCCAAACTCCCCAAATCCCCCCAAGCCCCATCCTAGAGACCCCAAACCCCCCAATTCCCCCCAAACCCCAACCTAGAGACCCCAAACTGCCCCCAAACCACCTCAGGACCCCCCAAATCCCCTCCTAGAGACCTCAAACCCAATCCTAGAGACCCCACATCCCCCCCAAACCACCTCAGGGCCCCCCAAACCCCCCAATTCCCCCCAAACCCCAACCTAGAGACCCCAAAGCCCCCCAAATCCCCCCAAATCCCCCCAAGCCCCCCCAGCCCCTGAGGACCCCTCCAAGCCCCCGTTTCCCGCAGCGGCGGGGCAGATCCCGGCCACGGCGCTGCTGCCCACCATGACCCCCGACGGGCTGGCGGTGACGCCCACGCCGGTGCCCGTGGTGGGCAGCCAGATGACGCGGCAGGCGCGGCGCCTCTACGTGGGCAACATCCCCTTCGGCATCACCGAGGTGGGCCGGGCTGCTTTTGGGTTTTTGGGGTTGTTTTTGGGGTTTTTGGGGGTTATTTGGGTTATTTGGGGTTTTTTGGGGTTTTAGTTGGGTTGTTTGGGTTATTTGGGGTTTTTTGGGGGCTATTTGGGAATTTAGTTTGGTTTATTTTTGATTTTTTGGGGATTATTTGGGGTTTTTGGGGTTTTAGTTGGGTTATTTGGGGGTTTAGTTGGGCTATTTGGGGGTTTTGGGGTTTTTTTTGGGGTTTTAGTTGGGTAGTTTGGGGTTTTAGTTGGGTTATTTGAAGTTTTAGTTGGGTTATTTGGGGGTTTTTGGGGGGTTTTTTGGGGGGTTATTTGGGTTATTTGGGGGCTATTTGGTGTTTTAGTTGGGTTATTTGGGGTTTTTGGGGGGTTATTTTGGGTTTTTGGGGTTTTTTTTTGGGGTTTTTGGGACTGTTATTTGGGTTATTTGGGGTTTTAGTTGGGTTATTTGGAGTTTTAGTTGGGTTATTTGGAGTTTTAGTTGGGTTAGTTGGGTTAGTTGGGTTATTTGGGGTTTTAGTTGGGTTATTTGGAGTTTTTGGGGCTGTTATTTGGGTTATTTGGGGTTTTTGGGGCTGTTGTTTGAGGCGCCTCTACGTGGGCAACATCCCCTTCGGCATCACCGAGGTGGGCCGGGGCCCTTTGGGGGGTTTTGGGGTTTCTGGGGTTTTTGGGGGGTTATTTGGGGGTTTTGGGGTTTTTTGGGAGTTATTTCGGGTTTTAGTTGGGTTGTTTGGGGTTTTTTGGGTTTTTTTTGGGGTTTTAGTTGGGTTATTTGGCATTTTTTGGGGGTTTTTGGGACTGTTATTTGGGTTATTTGGGGTTTTTTGGGGTTTTAGTTGGGTTATTTGGGGTTTTTTGGGGGGTTTTTTGGGGTTTTTTGGGGTTTTAGTTGGGTTATTTGGGGTTTTTTGGGGGGTTATTTGGGTTTTTTTTGGGGGTAATTTGGGGTTCCTGGGGGTCACAGGGCTCTGGGGTGGTTTTGGGATTTTTTTTTTTTGTTGTTGTATTTTTGGTTTTTTTTTTAATTGGTTTTTTTTTTCTGTTTTTGATTTATTATGTTTGATTTTCCCAGTTATTACTCTTGCTGTTTCTTTTATTTTTTTTCTAAATTAATTTAACTTCGATTGATTGATTTTATTGAGTTTTTTGGTGATTTCAGTTTGATTTCATTTGCTGTTTTTATTTCATTTCTTTAAGTCTTTTTTTTTTATTTTTTCCACTTTCAGTCACCATTACCTTATTTTTTTCACTTTAATTTAGTATTTTTAAAATAAATTTCAATATTTTTATTGTAATATAATAATATATGTAAAAACACAGTATAATATATATAATATAATATAATGTAATGTATAATATAATATAATATAATATAATATATATAATATTTTATATATATATATATATATATATATATAAAATTTGTTTTATAAATTTTGAGTTTAATTACCTTAATTTTTTTCATTTCTCATTTTTTTCTTTCTGATTTCAACCGTTTCTCTCCCTCCCATTTTTCACTCATTTTTCACCATTCCAACCCTTTTTTCTCTCTTTTTGGGATTCCCCCATCCCAACACCCCCAGACCCCCCGGAATTTCCCAACTGACCCAAAATTTGTGTTTTTTGCCCCAGGAGGCGATGATGGATTTCTTCAACGCCCAAATGCGCCTGGGGGGCTGACCCAGGCCCCCGGGAACCCCGTCCTGGCCGTGCAGATCAACCAGGACAAGAACTTCGCCTTCCTCGAGGTGCCCGCGCCTTTTTGGGGACAATTCCGGGGATTTTGGGGCTGCTCGGGGCTGTGCTGGGCCCGAAAACCCCGAAAACGGCCCCAAAAACGGCCCCGAAACGGCCCCGAAATTCACAGAAATGCGCATAGAGTCTTACCAAAACGGCCCCAAAATGGCCCCAAAATTCACAAAAATTCTCACAGATTCTCCCCAAAATCTGCCCCGAAATTCACAGAAATTATTCCCTAAAATCCGCCCCAAAATTCACAGAAATTCTCACAGATTCTCCCCAAAATCCGCCCCGAAATTCACAGAAATTATTCCCCAAAATCTGCCCCGAAATGGGACAAAACTCACAGAAATTCTCACAGATTCTCCCCAAAATCCGCCCCGAAATTCACAGAAATTATTCCCTAAAATCTGCCCCAAAATGGCCCCAAAATTCACAGAAATTCTCACAGATTCTCCCCAAAATCCGCCCCGAAATGGCCCCAAAATTCCCACAAATTCTCCCCAAAATTCTCCCCAAAATGACCCTGAAATTCACAGAAGTTGTTCCCAAACTCTGCCCAGAAATTCTGACAAATTCTCCCAAAAATGGCCCCAAAATCTGCCCTGAAATTCTCATAAATTTTCCCCAAGAAAGGACCCAAAATTCCCACAAATTGTCCCAAAATTCTACACTGAAGCAGCTCCAAAATTCCCAGAAATTGTCCCCAAATTCTACTCCAAAACAGCCCCAAAATTCCCCGAGTTCTTCCTCTGAAATTCCACAAATTCCTCCCTAAACCAATTCCTGGGTTCCCTGACCCCATTTTTGTGTTCCCCAACCAATTTCGGGGTCCCTGACCCCATTTTTGGGGTCCCCTGACCCATTTTTGGGGTTCCCCAACCCAATTTTGGTGTCCCTGACCCCATTTTTGGGGTCCCCTGACCCATTTTTAGGCTTCCCTAACCCCATTTTCGGGCTCCCTAACCCAATTTTCGGGCTCCCTAACCCATTTTTAGGCTTCCCTAACCCAATTTTGGTCTCCCTAACCCCATTTTTGGCTTCCCTAAACCCATTTTTGGGCTCCCTAACCCCATTTTCGTGCTCCCTGACCCCATTTTTGGCTTCCCTAACCCAATTTTGGGGTCCCTAACCCAATTTTGTGGTCCTTAACCCCATTTTTTTGGTCCCTAACCCCATTTTTGGCTTCCCTAACCCCATTTTTGGCCTCCCTACCCCATTTTTTGGGCTCCCCCAACCCCAAATTTTGATTTTTTTCCCCCCAGTTCCGCTCGGTGGATGAGACGACGCAGGCCATGGCCTTCGACGGGATCATCTTCCAGGGGCAGTCGCTGAAGATCCGGCGGCCCCACGACTACCAACCCCTGCCCGGCATGTCCGAGAACCCCTCGGTCTATGTGCCCGGTGAGTGCCCCAAAATACCCCAAATTCACCCCAAAAATCCCCCAAACGTCCCCCAACACCTGCCCGGCATGTCCGAGAGCCCCTCGGTCTATGTGCCCGGTGAGCGCCCCAAAATACCCCAAATTCACCCCAAAAATCCCCCAACCCCTGCCCGGCATGTCCGAGAACCCCTCGGTCTATGTGCCCGGTGAGCGCCCCAAAATACCCCAAATTCACCCCAAAATTACCCCAAAAATCCCCCAGCCCCTGCCCGGCATGTCCGAGAACCCCTCGGTCTATGTGCCCGGTGAGCGCCCCAAAATCCCCAAAATTACCCCAAAAATCCCCCAGACCCTGCCCGGCATGTCCGAGAACCCCTCGGTCTATGTGCCCGGTGAGCGCCCCAAAATACCCCAAAATTACCCCAAAAAATCCCCCAAAAATCCCCCAACCCCTGCCCGGCATGTCCGAGAACCCCTCGGTCTATGTGCCCGGTGAGCGCCCCAAAATCCCCCAAATTCACCCCAAAAATCCCCCAAAAATCCCCCCAAAAATCCTCTCAGAAATACCCCAAAATTACCCCAAAAATCCCCCCAAAATTCTCTCAGAAATACCCCAAAAACACCCCAAAAATCGCCCTAGAGCACCCCAAAAATACCCCCAGAAATACCCCAAAAATATCTCAAAAATCGGCCTAAAGCACCCCAAAATTACCCTGGAATCACCTCAGGGTGATTTTTGAGGTCCCACGTGGATTTTTGGCGTCCCAGGTGGATTTTTGGGGTCCCAGGTGGGATTTTTTTGGGTTTCCTGTGGGGTTTTGGGTTTCCTGTTTGATTTTGGGGTTCCAGGTGGGATATTTGGGGTTCCAGGTGGGATTCTGGCGGTCCCAGGTGGGATTTTGGGGTTCCAGGTGGGATTTTTGGGGTCCCAGGTGGATTTTTGGGGTCCCAGGTGGGATTTTGGGGTTCCAGGTGGGATTTTGGGGTTCCAAGTGAAATTTTGGGGCTCCCGGGGGTGAAATTTGGGGATTTTTCGGCCTTTTCCAGGTGTTGTCTCCACGGTGGTTCCGGACTCCGCCCACAAACTCTTCATTGGGGGTCTCCCCAATTACCTGAACGACGACCAGGTGAGGGGGGAGCCCCAAAATCCCCCCAAATAACCCCAAAAATCCCCCAAAAATCCTTCAAAAATCCCTCCAAAATCCTTCCTAAATCCCCCCAAAATCCCTCCAAAAATCCTTCAAGAAATCCTCCAAAATCCCCCCCAAAATCCTTCCAAAATTCCTTTAAAAATCCCCCCAAAATCCCCCAAATTCCTTAAAAAATCCCCCCAAAATCCCCCCAAAATCCTTCCAAAAATCCTCCAAAATCCCCCCAAAATCCTTCAAAAATCCCCCCAAAATCCCCCAAAATCCTTCCAAAAATCCTCCAAAATCCCCCCAAAATCCTTCAAAAATCCCCCCAAAATCCTTCCAAAAATCCCCCAAAAATCCCCCAAATTCCTTTAAAAATTTCCCCAAAATCCCTCAAACCCCCCCCAAAATCCTTCAAAAATCCCCCCAAAAATCCCCCAAAAATCCTTCAAAAATTCCCCCAAAATCCTTCAAAAACCCCCCCAAAAATCCCCCCAAAAATCCCATCCCCTAAATCAGGGCAGGAGACCCCAAAATCCCTGAAAAAAACTCCAAAAAATCGACCCCAGGGTGGGATTTTGGGGGGATTTTGAGGGGGATTTTCCCCATTCCAGGGGGAATTCCCAAATTTCACGGGGGAATTCCCAAATTCCAGGAGGGAATTCCCAAATTCCAGAGGGATTTCCCAAATTCCCGGGGGTTTCCCAAGCCCCAAAATTCCCCAAAATTCCCAAAATTGAGCCCAGATCAGCACAGGGAGCGGGACGGGGGCGATTGGGACCCCGGGGGGGTTTTGGGGAGGGGGATCCCAAATTCCAGAGGGAATTCCCAAATTCCAGAGGGGTTTCCCGAATTCCCGGTCCCCAAATTCCCGAATTTCCGCCGCAGGTGAAGGAGCTGCTGACGTCCTTCGGGCCCCTCAAGGCCTTTAACCTGGTCAAGGACAGCGCCACGGGGCTGAGCAAAGGCTACGCCTTCTGCGAGTACGTGGACATCAACGTCACCGACCAGGTACCAAAACCGCCCGAAATGAGCCCAAAAACTGCCCCAAAACTGCCCAAAAACTGCCCAAAATCTGACCCGAAACAACAGCCCGAAACGTCCCAAAATAACCCAAAATATCAACCCAAAACTGCCCAAAATCTGCGAGTGCGTGGACATCAACGTCACCGACCAGGTACCAAAACCGCCTGAAATGAGCCCAAAAATTGCCTGAAAAATGCCCAAAACTGCCCAAAATCTGACCTGAAACAACAGCCCAAACGGCCCAAAATAACCCAAAACATCAACTCAAAAACCCAAAATCTGCGAGTACGTGGACATCAATGTCACCGACCAGGTACCAAAACCGCCTGAAATGTGCCCAAAAATTGCCCCAAAACTGCCCAAAATCTGACCCGAAACAACAGCCTGAAACAGCCCAAAACAGCCCAAAATAACTCAGAACAACGGCCCAAAATAACCCAAAATCTGCGAGTGCGTGGACATCAATGTCACTGACCAGGTACCAAAACTGCCCAAAATGTGCCCAAAAATTGCCCCAAAACTGCCCAAAATGTGCCCAAAATCTGACCCGAAACAACAGCCTGAAACGGCCCAAAATAACCCAAAATAACTCAGAACAACAGCCCAAAATAACCCAAAATCTGCGAGTACATGGACATCAACGTCACCGACCAGGTACCAAAACTGCCCAAAATGTGCCCAAAAACTGCCCCAAAACTGCCCAAAAACTGCCCAAAATCTGCCCGAAACAACAGCCTGAAATGGCCCAAAATAACCCAAAACATCAACTCAAAAACCCAAAATCTGTGAGTACGTGGACATCAACGTCACCGACCAGGTACCAAAACCGCCTGAAATGAGCCCAAAAACTGCCCCAAAACTGCCCAAAAACCGCCCGAAATCTGACCTGAAACAACAGCCCGAAATGGCCCAAAATAACCCAAAACTGCCCAAAATGTGCCCAAAATCTGACCCGAAACAACAGCCTGAAACGGCCCAAAATAACCCAAAACATCAACCCAAAACTTCCCAAAATATGCCCAAAAACTGCCCAAAATGTGCCCAAAAACTGACCCAAAACAACAGTCCAAAATAACCCAAAACATCAACCCAAAACTGCCCAAAATCTGCCCAAAATCACAGAATTTCCCCCCCAAAATGCCCCAAAACCCCAAAATTTCCCCCCAAACCTGGCCCTGGTGGTCTCCCCGGGGGTCTCAGCCCCCCCAAATTTGGGGAGGGGGTCCCCAAATTATTTTGGAGCCCCAAATTCCCCATAAAACCCCCCAAATCCCCCCCAAAACGCCCCAAAATCCCAGAATTTCCCCCCCAAATGCCCCAAAAACCCAGAATTTCCCCCCAAACCTGGCCCTGGTGGTCTCCCCGGGGGTCTCAGCCCCCCCAAATTTGGGGAGGGGTCCCCCCGCCCCCCTGACCCCCCGACCCCCCAGGCCATCGCGGGGCTGAACGGGATGCAGCTCGGGGACAAGAAGCTGCTGGTGCAGCGGGCGAGCGTCGGGGCCAAGAACGCCACCCTGGTGAGTCCCCCCCGAATTTCTGTTCAAATTTTCCCCATTTTTCACTATTTTCTCATTTTTCCCCAATTTTCCCCATTTCTTCAATTTTTTCTCCCATTACCCCCCTGTTCTCCCCTTTTCCCCCTCATTTTTCCCCAATTTTCCTCATTTTGACCCATTTGTTCTCCATGTTTCTCCCATTTCCCCCCCCATTTTATTGCATTTTCCCCATTTATCCAATTTCTCTCTGTTTCCCTCTCATTTTCCCCATTTTTGTCCATTTTCTCACATTTTTCCCCATTTCCCCACATTTTCTTTTCCATTCCCCCCCATTTTCTCCCCCATTTTTTCCCCATGTTTCCCTGCCATTTTTTCTTCCATTTTCCCTCATTTTTCTTATTTTCCCCCCATTTTTTCACCATTTTCTCACATTTTTCCCCTCAATTCCCCCATTTATCCCATTTTCCCCCATTTCCCCCATTTCCCCCATTTCCCCCCCATTTATCCCATTTTTCCCCCATTTATCCCATTTTCCCCCCAATCCCCCCATTTATCCCATTTTTCCCCATTTCCCCCATTTATTCCATTTTCCCCCCATTTATCCCATTTCCCCCTGTTTCTCCCATTTTTTCCCCCCCACTTCCCCCGTTTATCCCATTTCCCCCCCATTTCCCCCATTTTCCCCCCCTTTTATCCCATTTTCCCCCATTTCCCCCCCCATTTATCCCATTTTTCCCCCCATTTTCCCCCCATTTATCCCATTTTCCCCCATTTATCCCATTTCCCCCATTTTCCCCATTTATCCCATTTTTTCCCCCTGTTTTCCCCAATTCTCCTGTTTATCCCATTTCCCCCCATTTATCCCATTTTTTCCCGTTTTTCCCCCCATTTATCCCATTTTTCCCCCATTTTCCCCCATTTATCCCATTTTTCCCCGTTTATCCCATTTTTCCCCATTTTTCCCCCCATTCCCCAATTCCCCCATTTATCCCAATTTTCCCCATTTATCCAATTTATCCCCATTTATCCCCATTTCCCCCATTTATCCCAATTTTCCCCCCATTTCCCCCCCTTTTCCCCATTTTCCCCCCCATTTATCCCATTTTTCCCCCCAATCACCCCATTTATCCCTTTTTTTCCTCATTTCCCCCCCATTTCCCCCCCATCTATCCCATTTTTCCCCCCCAATCACCCCATTTATCCCATTTTTTCCCCATTTCCCCCCATTTATGCCATTTTTCCCCCCAATCACCCCATTTATCCCATTTCCCCCCCGTTTATCCCATTTCCCCCTTTTTATCCCATTTTTCCCCCATTTATCCCATTTTTTCCCCCCATTTCCCCCGTTTATCCCATTTTCCTCCCATTTATCCCATTTTCCCCCCAATTACCCTGTTTATCCCATTTTTACCCCCATTTATCCCATTTCCCCCCCATTTATCCCATTTTTCCCCCCCAATTCCCCCATCTATTCCATTTTTCCCCCCATTTATTCAATTTTTTCCCCATTTTTTCCATTTTTCCCCCCAACGCCCCCATTTATTTCATTTTTCCCCCCATTTATCCAATTTTTCCCCATTTTTCCCCCGTTTATCCCATTTTCCACCCATTTTCCCCCCATTTTCCCCCATTTACCCCATTTTTCCCCATTTTTCCCCGATTTTCCCGTTGCAGAGCACCATCAACCAGACGCCGGTGACGCTGCAGGTGCCGGGGCTGATGAGCTCGCAGGTGCAGATGGGCGGGCACCCCACCGAGGTGCTGTGCCTGCTCAACATGGTGCTGCCCGAGGAGCTGCTGGACGACGACGAGTACGAGGAGATCGTCGAGGACGTGCGCGACGAGTGCGGCAAGTACGGCACCGTCAAGTCCATCGAGATCCCGCGGCCCGTCGACGGCGTCGAGGTCCCGGGCTGCGGAAAGGTGAGAGAGGCGAGATACGGGCTCACCTGTGCGCCCAGGTGTGCCCAGGTGTGCTGGGACAGGGATGGGAAAGGGTTAAATCCATCGAGATCCCGCGGCCCGTCGACGGCGTCGAGGTCCCGGGCTGTGGAAAGGTGAGAGAGCGGAGATACGGGCTCACCTGTGTGCCCAGGTGTGCCCAGGTGTGCTGGGACAGGGCTGGGAAAGGGTTAAATCCATTGAGATTTGAGGTCCCAGGGTGTGGAAAGGTGAGAGAGGCGAGATATGGGCTCACCTGTGTGCCCAGGTGTGCCCAGGTGTGCCCAGGTGTGCTCAGGTGTGATAGAAATGGGGATAGAAATGGGTTAAATCCATGGAGATTTGGGTCTGTGAAGGTTCCAGGTCGTGTTAAGGTGAAGGAGCAGAAATATGGGGTCACCTGTGTGACCAGGTGTGCCCAGGTGTGCCACAAATGGGGCTATGAAAGGGTTAAATCAGGTACGGCACCGTCAAGTCCATCGAGATCCCGCGGCCCGTCGACGGCGTCGAGGTCCCGGGCTGCGGAAAGGTGAGAGACGGGAGAAACGGGGTTACCTGTGTGCCCAGGTGTGCCCAGGTGTGATAGAAATGGGGATAAAAATGGGTTAAATCCATCGAGATCCCGCGGCCCGTCGACGGCGTCGAGGTGCCGGGCTGCGGAAAGGTGAGGGAGCTGAGATATGGGCTTACCTGTGCACCCAGGTGTGCTCAGGTGTGCTCAGGGGTGATAGAAATGGGGCTGGGAAAGGGTTAAATCCATCGAGATCCCGCGGCCCGTCGACGGCGTCGAGGTGCCGGGGTGTGGAAAGGTGAGGGAGCCGAGATACGGGGTTACCTGTGTGCCCAGGTGTGCCCAGGTGTGCTGGGAATGGGGCTGGGAGGGCTGGGAAAGGGTTAAATCCATCGAGATCCCGCGGCCCGTTGACGGCGTCGAGGTCCCAGGGTGTGGAAAGGTGAGGGACAGGTGAAATGGGGTTACCTGTGTGCCCAGGTGTGCCCAGGTGTGCCCAGGTGTGCCAGTAATGGGGATAGGAATGGGTGGAATCCATGGAGATTTGGGTCTGTGAAGGTTCCAGGCTGTGTCAAGGTGAGGGAGTCGAGATACGGGCTCACCTGTGTGCCCAGGTGTGCCCAGGTGTGATGGGACAGGGCTGGGAAAGGGTTAAATCCATCGAGATCCCGCGGCCCGTCGACGGCGTCGAGGTCCCGGGCTGCGGAAAGGTGAGAGAGCCGAGATATGGACTCACCTGTGCGCCCAGGTGTGCCCAGGTGTGCCCAGGTGTGCTCAGGTGTGCCAGGAATGGGGATAGAAATGGGTGGAATCCATGGAGATTTGGGTCTGTGAAGGTTCCAGGCCGTGTCAAGGTGAGGGAGGAGAGATACAGGCTCACCTGTGTGCCCAGGTGTGCTCAGGTGTGCTGGGACAGGATGGGAACGGGGCTGGGAGGGATGGGAAAGGGTTAAATCCATTGAGATTTGAGGTCCCGGGCTGTGGAAAGGTGAGAGATGGGAGATACGGGCTCACCTGTGTGCCCAGGTGTGCTGGGAATGGGGCTGGGAGGGACAGGAAAGGGTTAAATCCATCGAGATCCCGCGGCCCGTCGACGGCGTCGAGGTCCCGGGCTGCGGAAAGGTGAGAGAGCCGAGATACGGGCTCACCTGTGTGCCCAGGTGTGCTCAGGTGTGCTGGGAAAGGGTTAAATCCATTGAGATTTGAGGTCCCAGGCTGTGTCAAGGTGAGGGAGTCGAGATACGGGCTCACCTGTGCGCCCAGGTGTGCCCAGGTGTGCCCAGGTGTGCTGAGACGGGATGGGAACGGAGCTCAGACAGATGGGAAATGGTTAAATACATCAGGATTTGAGGTCCCGGGCTGCGGAAAGGTGAGGGACAGGTGAAACGGGGTTACCTGTGTGCTCAGGTGTGCCCAGGTGTGCCCAGGTGTGCCCAGGTGTGCCCAGGTGTGCCGGGAATGGGGCTTAGACAGATAGGAAAGGGTTAAATCCATTGAGATTTGAGGTCCCGGGGTGTGGAAAGGTGAGAGACAGGTGAAACAGGCTCACCTGTGCGCCCAGATGTGCTCAGGTGTGTCCAGGTGTGCCCAGGTGTGCCCAGGTGAGCTCAGGTGTGCCCAGGTGAGTTCAGGGGTGACTCTGAATGAGCTCAGGTGTGCCCAGGTGTGCCCAGGTGTATCTCAGGTGTGCCCAGGGGTGCTCAGGTGTGCCCAGGTGAGTTCAGGGGTGACTCTGAGTGTACCCAGGTGTGCCCAGGTGTGCTCAGGAGTGATTCTGAGTGTGCCCAGGTTAGCTCAGGTGTGACTCTGAGTGAGCCCAGGTGAGTTCAGGTGTGCCCAGGTGTATCTCAGGTGTGCCCAGGTGTGCCCAGGTTCGACTGCCAGAAGGCCCCTCTGGTGTCCCTCTGTCCCTCTGTCCTTGTGTCCCATCCCAGTGACCCAAATCCCCCTGAATTCACCCCAAATCCTCAAAATGACTAAAAATGACTAAAAATAACCCAAATTTTCCCAAAATCACGGGAATTCTCCCCATTTTTCGCAGATTTTCGTGGAGTTCACCTCGGTGTTCGACTGCCAGAAGGCCCCAATGTCCCTCTGCCCTTGTGCCCCATCCCAATGACCCAAATCCCCCTGAAATCACCCCAAATCTGTGAAATTACTAAAAATGACTAAAACCAACCCAAATTTTCCCAAAATCACGGGAATTCTCCCCAAATTTCGCAGATTTTCGTGGAGTTCACCTCGGTGTTCGACTGCCAGAAGGCCCCAATGTCCCTCTGTCCTTGTGTCCATCCCAGTGACCCAAATCCCCCTGAAATCACCCCAAATCCCCGAATTTACTAAAAACCACCCAAATTTTCCCAAAATCACGGGAATTCTCCCCAAATTTTTCAGATTTTCGTGGAGTTCACCTCGGTGTTCGACTGCCAGAAGGCCATGCAGGGCCTGACCGGCCGCAAGTTCGCCAACCGCGTGGTGGTCACCAAGTTCTGCGACCCCGACTCCTACCACCGCCGCGACTTCTGGTAGCTTCTCAGCGCAGCCCCAGGAAATACTGGGTCAACACTGTCAGACGCCGTCAGTCAGCGCGGGCCCACTTCCGGTCAGCGCGGGCCTACTTCCGGTCAACACCGGCCTACTTCCGGTCAACACCGGCCTAATTCCGGTCAACACAGGCCTAATTCCGGTTGCTACCCTCCGCTTCCGGTCGCTACCTTCCGCTTCCGGTTGCCACTTTCCGTTTCCGGTCTCCACCTTCCGCTTCCGGGGTGGCCGGGGCCGCGCCCCTCCCCCTCCTTTTCCCAAATTCCCGAGTTTTGGCCCCAAATTCGCCCCGCGCTGGTTCCTCCTCGTAGCTCCCGCCCCTCCCCCACCCCCGACCCTCCCCCACCCCGATTAAAGGAGTTTTTTCCAGTTTTTGGGGTTTTTTTTTTGTGGAGTTGTGAGGTTTGTTTTGTTGTTGGGGGGGTTTGGGGTGAAATTTGCGGGTTTTGGGGTTTGAAATTCGCTATTTTGGGGTGAAATCTGCGGATTTTGGGGTTCAAAATTCGCGATTTTGGGGTGAAATTTGTGGGTTTGGGGTGAAAATTCCCAATTTTGGGGTGAAATTTGTGGGTTTGGGGTTCGAAATTCGCAATTTTGGGGTGAAATTTGTGGGGTTTGGGGTTCAAAATTCCCAATTTTGGGGTGAAATTTGTGGGGTTTGAAATTCTCAATTTTGGGTTGAAATTTGTGGGTTTGGGGTTCAAAATTCGCAATTTTGGGGTGAAATCTGCGGATTTTGGGGTTTGAAATTCCCAAATTTGGGGTGAAATTTGTGGGTTTGGGGTTTAAAATTCCCGATTTTGGGGTGAAATCTGCAGGTTTGGAGTTCGAAATTCGAATTTGGGGTCAAAAGATCAAATTTGGGGTAAAATCCCCGGGTTTGGGGTTAAAATCTCCTGGTTTGGGGTTAGAACTTTGAAATTTGGGGTGAAATTTCTGGGTTTGGGATTAAAAACTCAAATTTGGGGTGAAATCCCCGGGTTTGGGGTAAAAACTTCCAATTTTGGGATAAAATCCCCCAGTTTGGGGGTAAAACCTGCAGTTTTTGGGCTAAAACTTTCAAATTTGGGGTGAAATCCCCCGGTTTGGGAGTAAAAACTTAAATTTAGTGTGAAATTTGCCGGGTTTGGGGGCAAAATCTCCCGGTTTTAGTCTTAAAAATTCAAATTTGGAGTGGAATCCGCTGGTTTAGGGTAAAGTCCCCAGGTTTGGGGTTAAAAACTCAAATTTTAGGTTAAATCCCTCCGGGTTTGGGGTTAAAATCCCCCGGTTTTGGGGTAAAATCCCCTGTTTTGGGGGTTAAAATCTGCCAGTTTTGGGGTCAAAATCCCCCACTTTTGGGGTTAAAATCCCCCGGTTTTGGGGTGAAATCCCCCGGTTTTGGGAGATCAAAACCTCCCAATTTCGGATCTGAAGAAATCCCAATTTTGGGGAACGCGCCCCCAGATTTTGGGCCTAAAATCGCCACTTTTGGGAATTAAGGACCCCAAATTTTGAGGGTCAAAAGGTCACGGTTTCGGGGACCCAGACCCCAAATGTTGCGACCAAAACCCCCAATTTTGAGGGTGAAAATCTCCAATTTTGGGGACCAGACCCCAATTTTTGGGAGAACCGCCCGATTTTGGGGTCCCCAACGCCGTTTTGCCGCCGCGGCTGCGCTGGTGGGGATTTGGGGGTGCTGAAAACCCCCCAGGGATGGGGTCGCTGTGGGGGGGGTGGTGTCTCCAACGACCCCTCCCCAAATTCACCCCTGAGACCCCCAAAACCCCCAAAATCTCCCCAAAATCCGCGCGTTTGCTCTTTTCACTCAGTTTGTCCCCTCGCGGCCACCATCCCGTCCTCGCGCGGCCGCCGTTAGCGAAGCTCCGCCCCCTTTTGGTCTCTTCGCTCTCCCATTGGCCACGCAGGCGGTGCCGTTACAAAGTTCCGCCCCTTTACCGTCTCCTCGCTTTCCTATTGGCCGCGAGAGCAGCGCCGTTACGCAAGCCCCGCCCTTTCTTGGCTCCTCGCTCTCCTATTGGCCGCACGAGCGGCACCGTTACGAAGCCCCGCCCCTTTAACTTCTATTCGCTCTCTCATTGGTCGCGCAAGAGGCGCCGTTACAAAGCTCCGCCTCTTTACCGCCTCCTCGCTCTCCCATTGGCCGCGTAAGCGGCGCCCTTATAAAGCTCCGCCCCTTTACCGTCTTCTCGCTCTCCTATTGGCCGCGCAAACGGCGCCGTTACGCAAGCCCCGCCCCTTTCCGCCTTCCCGCTCTCCCATTGGCCGCGCGGTCGGCGCCGACCGGAAGTGGCTCCGTGAGGGAGGCGGCGCCGCCATCTTGTGGCGGCCGCGGCTGTCGCGCCTGTCGCGACAGGAACGGGCGGCGGGAGCGGCGCCGCCATGGCCGCGAACCTCGGCGAGCAGCGGGAGTGGTGAGGAAAGCGGCGGGACGGGCGGCGGGGGCGGCGGGGCCGGGCCGGGCTGAGCCGCTCCGTCCGTTTCTCGCTCCCTCAGGGCCGCCCCGTTCGGCGCCGCCGCGGCCGCTCGGGAAGAGGCGGCGGCGCCCGCCGAGAACCCCGAGTGGGAGAAGGCGCGTCAGGCCCTGGCGAGCATCAGCAAAGCGGCGGCGGCGGGAGCGGCCGGAGGAGGAGGAGGAGGAGGCGGAAAAGCGGCGGCGGCGGGGGGGGGCAGGGCGGAGCGCAGGTCTGAGGGGATTTGGGGGAGTTGGGGGGTTTGGGGGCGATTTCGGAAATTTGGGAGGTTTTGGGGCGGATTTCCGAAATTTGGGAGGGTTTTGGGGGTCTTTGGGGAGTTTGGGGTGGATTTCGGAAATTTGGGAGGGTTTTGGGGCGGATTTAGGAAATTTGGGAGGGTTTTGGGGCGGATTTAGGAAATTTGGGAGGTTTTGGGGGCTTGTGGGGGGTCTGGGCGGATTTCGGAAATTTGGGAGGGTTTTGGGGCGGATTTCGGAAATTTGGGAGGGTTTGGGTGGGTTTTGGGGGGGGTCTGGGGGAATTTTCGGGGTCTTTTGGGGAGTTTGAGGAGTTTGGGGAGGGATTTGGGGGTCCTCAGGCGATTTCGGGGGTCTGGGGGGGGTTAAGTGGTTTAAGGGGAATTTGGGGGTCCTTGGGGGGATTTGGGGGTGATTTGGGGAATCTGGGGGGGTTTGGGGGGGCTTTGAGGGGTTTAGGGGGGAATTCGGGAGGGTTTTGGGGGGTCTTTGGGGAGTCTGGGGGGGCTCTGGGGAGGTTTGAGGGGAGATTTGGGGGGTTTGAGGAGTTTTGGGAGGGATTTGGGGGTCCTCAGGCGGTTTGGGGGGTCTGGGGGGGATTTGAGTGGTTTAGGGGGGATTTTGGGGAGTTTGGGGGGTTTGGGGTGATTTGGGAAATCTGGGGGGTGCTGGGGGGTTTGGGGGTTTGGAGGTGATTTGGGGGTCTTTGGGGTGATTTGGGGGGGTTTTGGGGCGATTTGGGGGTTTTTTGGGGCTTTGTGGGGGGGTTTGTGTGTGTTTCTTTGGGGGGGGGTTTTCTGTTTTTGGCATTTCTGTGTTTTTGGGGGTCTCTCTGTGTTTTCGGGGGTCTCACCCCCTCTCCCCCCCCCCCAGTACGCCCCCCCCGGGCAGGGGGACCCCTCGGTGGCGCAGCCCCCCCAGTACTACCCCTGGTACCAGCCCTACGGGGGGGGCTACTACCCCTACGGCTACTACTACCCCATGGTGAGACCCCCGAATTGGGGATGGGGGTCACAAAATGGGGATGGGGTACCCCAAAATGGGGATGGGGACCCTCAAAATGGGGCTGGGGGTCCCAAAATGGGGCTGGGGATCCCCAAAATGGGGCTGGGGATCCTCAAAATGGGGCTGGGGACCCCCAAAATGGGGCTGGGGGGTCCCAAAATGGGGCTGGGGGCACCCAAAATGGGGTTGGGGGTCACAAAATGGGGCTGGGGACCCCCAAAATGGGGCTGGGGGGTCCCGAAATGGGGCTGGGGACCCCCGAATTGGGGATGGGGTACCTCAAAACGGGGCTGGGGGTCCTGAAATGGGGATGGGGGTCCCAAAATGGGGCTGGGGGGTCCCGAAATGGGGCTGGGGGTCACAAAATGGGGATGGGGTACCCTGAAATGGGGCTGGGGTACCTCAAAATGGGGCTGGGGGTCACAAAATGGGGCTGGGGACCCTCAAAATGGGGTTGGGGACCCCAAAATGGGGCTGGGGACCCCAAAATGGGGCTGGGGACCCCAAAATGGGGCTGGGGGGTCCCAAAATGGGGCTGGGGGGGTCCCAAAATGGGGCTGGGGTACCCCAAAATGGGGCTGGGGGCTGGAAATGGGGCTGAAATGGGGCTGGAAATGGGGCTGGGGGACCTGAAATGGGGCTGGGGGATCTGAAAATGGGGCTGGGGTACCTCAAAATGGGGCTGGGGATCACAAAATGGGGCTGGGGGACCCCAAAATGGGGCTGGGGGCTGGAAATGGGGCTGGGGACCCCCAAAATGGGGCTGGGGGATCTCAAAGTGCGGATGGGGTACCCCAAAATGGGGCTGGGGACCTGAAATGGGGCTGAAATGGGGCTGGGGGACCCCAAAATGGGGCTGGGGACCCCAAAATGGGGCTGGGGGTCCTGAAATGGGGCTGGGGGACCTGAAATGGGGATGGGGACCCCCAAAATGGGGCTGGGGACCCCCAAAATGGGGCTGGGGGGTCCCGAAATGGGGCTGGGGACCCCAAAATGGGGATGGGGATCCCAAAATGGGGATGGGGAACTCAAAATGGGGCTGGGGACCCCAAAATGGGGCTGGGGGTCCAAAATGGGGCTGGAAATGGGGCTGGGGGTCACAAAATGGGGCTGGGGACCCCTGAAATGGGGTTAGGGACCCCCAAAAATGGGGCTGGGGAATCCCGAAATGGGGCTGGGGGACCCCGAATGGGGCTGGGGTACCCGAATTGGGGATGGGGACCCCCAAAATGGGGCTGGGGATCCCAAAATGGGGCTGGGGACCCCAAAATGGGGCTGGGGGACCCCGAAATGGGTCTGGGGTACCTCAAAATGGGTCTGGGGTACCTCAAAACGGGGCTGGGGACCCCCAAAATGGGGCTGGGGGCTGCACGGGGGCCTGGGGATCCCAAATGGGGCTGGAAATGGGGCTGGGGACCCCAAAATGGGGCTGGGGGAGGTCCCTGGGCCATACCATTGTTAATTTTGGGGGGGGTCTCTGTTTTTGGGGTGGGGGTCTCCGGGCCGTACCATTAACCCTTTCGGGGTCCCCCAGCAGGGGGTGTACCCCGGCTATGGGGGGGGTCTCTGTTTTGGGGTGGAGGTCTCTGATTTGGGGTGGGGGTCTCTGGGCCGTACCATTATTAATTTTGGGGGTGTCTGGTTTTGGGTGGGGGTCTCTGTTTTTGGGTGGGGGTCTCTGTTTTTGGGTGGGGGTCTCTGTTTTTGGGTGGGGGTCTCTGTTTTTGGGTGGGGGTCTCTGTTTTTGGGTGGGGGTCTCTGGGCCGTACCATTAACAATTTTGGGGGTCTCTGTTTTTGGGGTGGGGGTCTCTGTTTTTGGGTGGGGTCTCTGATTTGGGGTGGGGGTCTCCGGGCCGTACCATTAACCCTTTCGGGGCCCCCCAGCAGGGGGTGTACCCCGGCTATGGGGCGCCCCCCGCCCCGTACCCCACGGGGGGAGGGGGCTCCTACGCCCCCCCCCAGCAGCCGCAGCCGCCGCCCCCGCCCCCCCCCAGCCGCAGAGTGGGCTGGCCCAGGTGAGGGGGTCTCGGGGGGGGATTTTGGGGGGGGGTCCCCATCTCCGGGACCCCCCCTGACCCCTCCCTCCCCTCCCCCCCTCAGCAGCCGCCCGTGCCCGGCCTGGAGGAGCCGTCGCCCTTCGGGACCCCCCAGCCCCCCGCCGCCCCCCCCCAGCCCCCTCCCCACGCGGGGGGGGGAGGGGCGACCCCCCCGGGGGGCTCGGCCCCCTACCCCTCCCCCCACTACGGGGAGGGGCCCCCCCGAAGGGCAAAAAGGGGGGGGGCAGCTCTGGAGCCGCATGAAGCGTAAGAGACCCCGAAATCCCCTAAATTGTCCCCAAATTCCTGCCCCAAAATCCCCTAAATTATCCTCAAATCCTGCCCCAAATCCTGCCCCAAAATCCTGTCCTGAAATCCCCAAATTCCTGCCCCAAAATCCCCTAAACTATCCCAAATTCCTGCCCCAAAATCCCCTAAATCATCCCCAAATCCTGCCCCAAAATGCCCCAAATTACTTCCCCGAAATCCCCTAAATCATCCCCAAATCCTGCCCCGAAATCCCCTAAATCATCCCCAAATTACTTCCCCGAAATCCCCTAAATCATCCCCAAATCCTGCCCCAAAATCCCCTAAATGGTCCCCAAATCCTGCCCCGAAATGCCCCAAATCCTGCCCCGAAATCCCCTAAATCATCCCCAAATCCTGCCCCAAAATCCCCTAAATCATCCCCAATTCCTGCCCCGAAATCCCTTAAATCATCCCCAAATCCTGCCCCAAACCATCTCCAAATTCCTGCCCCAAAATCCCCTAAATTATCCCCAAATCCTGCCCCGAAATCCCCTAAATTCCTGCCCCCAAATCCCCTAAATCATCCCCAAATCCTGCCCCCAAATCCCCTAAATCATCCCCAAAATCCTGCCCCAAAATCCCCTAAACTATCCCCAAATCCTGCCCCAAAATACCCCAAATTCCTGCCCCGAAATCCCCCAAATCATCCCCAATTCCTGCCCCGAAATCCCCTAAATCATCCCCAAATTCCTGCCCCAAAATCCCCTAAATCATCCCCAGAATCATCCCCAAATCCTGCCCCAAAATCCCCTAAACTATCCCCAATTCCTGCCCCAAAATCCCCTAAATTATCCCAAATTCCTGCCCCGAAATCCCCTAAATTATCCCAAATTCCTGCCCTGAAATCCCCTAAATCATCCCCAAATTCCATCCCTGACATCCCTTAAACCATCCCCAAATCCTGCCCCAAAATCCCCCAAATTCCTGCCCCGAAATGCCCCAAATTCCTGCCCCAAAATCCCCTGAATCCCACCCAAAATCCTCCCTGAAATCCCGTCCAAAATCCCTGAAATCCTCCCCAAATCCTGCCCCAAATAATTCCTGAATTCCCCCCCAAATCCTGCCCCAAAATCCCCCGAATCATCCCCAAATCTTGCCCCAAATCATCCCCAAATCTTGCCCCAAAATCCCCCAAATTCTGTCCCAAAATCCCACCCAAATTCCTGCCCCAAAATCCCCCAATTCCTGCCCCAAATCTCTGAAATCGTGCCCCAAATTTTCCCCAATTCCTACCCTAAATCATCCCCCAATTTCTGCCCAAATTATCCCCAAAATCCTGCCCCAAATCCCCCCCAATTCCTGCCCAAATCCCCCCAAACCCCCTGAATTTTCCCCAATTTCCCCCAAACCCCCTGAATTTTCTCCGATTTGCCCCAAACCCCCTGAATTTTCCCCAATTTTTCCCCCAAACCCCCTGATTTTCCCCAATTTGCCCAAAAGCCCCCGAATTTGCCCAAAACCCCCTGAATTTGCCCAAAACCCCCTGGATTTGCCCAAAACCCCCCGAATTTTCCCAAAACCCCCAGAATTTGCCCCATTTCCCCCGCAGAGGCGCCGGGCTCGGGGGGTCTCAAGTTCCAGCTGCCCAAGCGTGCCCCGTTCGCGCTGCCCCCCCCGGGGTTCGGGGGCCCCTCGGGGCCGGAGAAGCTGCACGGGGGCCACGGGTGAGTCCCAAAAACACCCCAAAAACTGCCTAAAACACCCCAAAAACTGCCCAGAAACTTCCACAAAAATCCATCAAAAATGTCCCTAAAAATCCCCCCAAAAACCCCCCAAAAAAACCCCAAAAACTGCCTAAAACCTCCCCAAAACCTCCCCAAAAACTTCTCCGAAAATCCATCAAAAATGTCCCCAAAAATCCCCCCCAAAAACCCCCCCAAAAAAACCCCAAAAACTGCCTAAAACACCCCAAAAGCTTACCCAGAAACTTCCACAAAAATCCATCAAAAATGTCCCCAAAAATCCCCCCAAAACCTCTCCAAAACCACACAAAAACTTCCCCAAAAACTTCCCCAAAAATCCCCCAAAAATCTCCACAAAAATCCCCCCAAAACTTCCCCAAAATGCCCTCAAAAAGCCCCCCAAGAACCCCCCCAAAAAAACCCCAAAAACTCCCTGAAACCCCCCAAAACTTCCCCAAAAACTTCCCCAAAAATCCCTTAAAAACCTCCTTAAAAACCTCCCAAAAACCTCCTCCAAAACCTCCCCAAAATCTTCCCCAAAAATCCCCCCAAAACCTCCCCAAAAATCCATCAAAAACGTCCCCAAAAACCCTCCAAAACCTCCCCAAAAGCCCCTCAAAAAGCCTCCCAAGAACCCCCCAAAAAAAAACCCCAAAACCCCCAAATATCTCCCAAAAACATCCCCAAAAATCTCCCCACAAATCTCCCCAAAAACCCCCCAAAACCCACCCTGGACTGACCCAAAACCCCCAAAATTATCTCCAAAACCACTGAAATTACCCCAAAATTCCCCCAGGGAATCTCAGGGCGCGGCCGCCCCGAGGACTGGCCCCCCGAGATGAAGGCCCAAAATGGCCCAAAATGACCCAAAATGACCCAAAATCCCCTGAAATGACCCAAAATCCCCTGAAATGACCCAAAATGACCCAAACCAGGGAATCTCGAGGAGCCCCAGGCCGTGGGCGCCCCGAGGACTGGCCCCCCCGAGATGAAGGCCCAAAATCACCCAAAATGACCCAAAATGAAGACCCAAAATGGCCCAAAATGACCCAAAATGACCCAAAATGAAGGCCCAAAATGGCCCAAAATGGCCCAAAATGACCCAAAATCCCCATAAATCACCTCAAAACAGGGAGTCCCGTGGCGCTGTGGGCCATGGGCGCCCCGAGGACTGGCCCCCCGAGATGAAGGCCCAAAATGACCCAAAATGAAGGTGTAAAATGACCCAAAATGACTGAAAATGACCCGAAATGACCCAAAATCCCCTGAAATGACCCAAAATGACCCAAAATCCCCATAAATCACCCCAAAACAGTGAGTCCCGGGGGTCTGTGGCCCGTGGGCGCCCCGAGGACTGGCCCCCCGAGATGAAGGCCCAAAATGACCCTAAATGAAGGCCCAAAATCCCCTGAAATGACCCCAAAATGGCCCAAAATGACCCAAAATGACCCAAAATCCCCATAAATCACCCCAAAACAGTGAGTCCCGAGGGTCTGTGGCCCGTGGGCGCCCCGAGGACTGGCCCCCCGAGATGAAGGCCCAAAATGGCCCAAAATGGCCCAAAATGACCCAAAATGAAGACCCAAAATGACCCAAAATGAAGACCGAAAATGGCCCGAAATGACCCAAAATGACCCAAAATCCCCTGAAATTCCCCCAAAACAGGGAATCTCGAGGAGCCCCCGGCCGTGGGCGCCCCGAGGACTGGCCCCCCGAGATGAAGGCCCAAAATGACGGCTGAAAATGACCCAAAATGACCCAAAATGACGGCTGAAAATGACCCAAAATGAAGACCTAAAATGACCCAAAATGAAGACCTAAAATGACCCAAAATGACCCAAAATCCCCTGAATTTACCCCAAACCAGGGAATCTCGAGGAGCCCCCGGCCGTGGTCGCCCCGAGGACTGGCCCCCCGAGATGAAGGCCCAAAATGACCCAAAATGAAGACCTAAAATGACCCAAATTAACCCAAAATGACTGAAAATGACCCAAAATGACCCAAAATCCCCATAATTGACCCCAAAACAGGGAATCTCGAGGTGCCCCAGGCCGTGGGCGCCCCGAGGACTGGCCCCCCGAGATGAAGGCCCAAAATGACCCAAAATGAAGACCTAAAATGGCCCAAAATGGCCCAAAATGACCCAAAATGACCCAAAATCCCCTGAAATCACCCCAAACCAGGGAATCCCGGGGGTCTGTGGCCCGTGGGCGCCCCGAGGACTGGCCCCCCGAGATGAAGGCCCAAAATGGCCCCGAATGAAGACCCAAAATCCCCTAAAATGACCCAAAATGAAGGCCCAAAATGACCCAAAAAGGCCCAAAATGACCCAAAATCCCGTGAATTTACCCCAAAACAGGGAATCCCGTGGCTCTGTGGGGCGCGGCCGCCCCGAGGACTGGCCCCCCGAGATGAAGGCCCAAAATGACCCAAAACGACAGCTGAAAATGACCCAAAATGAAGACCTAAAATGGCCCAAAATGACCCAAAATGACTGAAAATGGCCCAAAATGACCCAAAATCCCCCGAATTGACCCCAAAACAGTGAATCCCGAGTAGTCCCCGGCCGTGGGCGCCCCGAGGACTGGCCCCCCGAGATGAAGGCCCAAAATGACCCCGAATGAAGACCCAAAATGACCCAAAATGACCCAAAATGAAGGCCGAAAATGACCCAAAATGGCCCAAAATGACCCAAAATCCCCCGAATTGACCCCAAAACAGGGAATCCCGTGGCTCTGTGGCCCGTGGGCGCCCCGAGGATTGGCCCCCCGAGATGAAGGCCCAAAATGGCCCAAAATGGCCCAAAATGAAGGCCCAAAATCCCCTAAAATGACCCAAAATGAAGGCCGAAAGTGACCCAAAATGGCCCAAAATGACCCAAAATCCTCTGAAATGACCCAAAATGACCCAAAACAGTGAATCTCGGGGTGCTCCCGGCCGTGGGCGCCCCGAGGACTGGCCCCCCGAGATGAAGGCCCAAAATGGCCCAAAATGACCCAAAATGAAGACCCAAAATGGCCCAAAATGACCCAAAATGACCCAAAATGAAGGCCCAAAATGGCCCAAAATGACCCAAAATGACCCAAAATGACCCAAAATCCCCTGAAATTCCCCCAAAACAGTGAGTCCCGTGGGTCTGTGGGCCGTGGGCGCCCCGAGGACTGGCCCCCCGAGATGAAGGCCCAAAACGACCCAAAATGAAGCCCCAAAATGACCCAAAATGAAGGCACGAAATGACCCAAAATGAAGGCACAAATCCCCCTGAAATGACCCAAAATGACTGAAAATGACCCAAAATCCCCCGAATTCACCCCAAAACAGGGAGTCCCGTGGCTCTGTGGCCCGTGGGCGCCCCGAGGACTGGCCCCCCGAGATGAAGGCCCAAAATGACCCAAAATGAAGACCCAAAATCCCCCAAAATGACCCAAAATGACTGAAAATGACCCAAAATGACCCAAAATGACCCAAAATCCCCCGAATTGACCCCAAACCAGGGAATCCCGGGGTGCCTCCGGCCGTGGGCGCCCCGAGGACTGGCCCCCCGAGATGAAGGCCCAAAATGACCCAAAATGAAGACCTAAAATGGCCCAAAATGACCCAAAATGACCCAAAATCCCCTGAAATTCCCCCAAAACAGTGAATCTCGGGGAGCTCCTGGCCGTGGGCGCCCCGAGGACTGGCCCCCCGAGATGAAGGCCCAAAATGGCCCAAAATGACCCAAAATGACACAAAATCCCCTGAAATGACCCAAAATCCCCGGAAATGACCCAAAATGACCCAAAATCCCCATAAATCACCCCAAAACAGTGAGTCCCGTGGCTCCGTGGCCCGTGGGCGCCCCGAGGACTGGCCCCCCGAGATGAAGGCCCAAAGTGACCCAAAATGGCCCAAAATGACCCAAAATGGCCCAAAATGACCCAAAATGACTGAAAATGACCCAAAATCCCCATAAATCACCCCAAAACAGGGAATCTCGGGGTGCTCCTGGTCGTGGGCGCCCCGAGGACTGGCCCCCCGAGATGAAGGCCCAAAATGGCCCAAAATGACCCAAAATGACCCAAAATCCCCTGAAATGACCCAAATTGACCCAAAATCCCCTGAATTTCCCCCAAACCAGTGAATCCCGTGGCTCTGTGGGCCGGGGGCGCCCCGAGGACTGGCCCCCCGAGATGAAGGCGTACGTCCAGCGCTGTTTCACCGCCTGCGAGAGCGAGGAGGACAAGGACCGCACCGAGAAGCTGCTGAAGGAGCTGCTGCAGGCGCGGCTGCAGGACGGCTCGGCCTTCACCATCGACTGGAGCCGCGAGCCGCTGCCCGGGTGAGCCCCAAAAACCTCCGAAATGCACCCAAAAATGAGCCACGGCACACTGAAATATCCCTGAAAAAATCCCCGAAAAAATCGGCTCAGAATGACCCAAAAAACAGCCCCAAATTCAGTCCCCTCCGCCTTCACCATCGACTGGAGCCGCGAGCCGCTGCCCGGGTGAGCCCCGAAATCGCCCGAAATGCACCCAAAAATGAGCCGGAAATCCCAAAAAAATCCCCGAAAAAATCCCCGAAAAAATCACTGAAAAAATCCCTGAAAAATTACTGAAAAAATCCCCGAAAAAATGGGCTCAGAATGACCCAAAAAACAGCCCCAAATTCAGTCCCCTCCGCATTCACCATCGACTGGAGCCGCGAGCCGCTGCCCGGGTGAGCCCCGAAATCGCCCTAAATACACCCAAAAATGAGCCATGTCCAACCGAAAAATCACTGAAAAAATCCCCGAAAAAATCCCCGAAAAAATCCCCGAAAAAATCCACCCAGAACTGACCCAAAAACCAGCCCCAGTCCCCTCCGCCTTCACCATCGACTGGAGCCGCGAGCCACTGCCCGGGTGAGCCCCAAAAACGCACTAAATCCACCCAAAAATGAACCACAACCCACTGAAACATTACTGAAAAAATCCCTGAAAAAATCGGCTCAGAATGACCCAAAAACCAGCCCCAGTCCCCTCCGCCTTCACCATCGACTGGAGCCGCGAGCCGCTGCCCGGGTGAGCCCCGAAATCGCCCGAAATGCACCCAAAAATGAGCCGGAAATACCAAAAATATCCCCGAAAAAATCACTGAAAAATCACTGAAAAAATCCCTGAAAAAATCCCCGAAAAAATCACTGAAAAAATCGGCTCAGAATTGACCCAAAACCCCCCAAAATCCACCCAGAACTGACCCGGAAATCCCACAAAAAAATCCCCGAAAAAATCCCTGGAAAAATCGGCTCAGAATTGACCCAAAAAACAGCCCAAATTCAGTCCCCTCCGCCTTCACCATCGACTGGAGCCGCGAGCCGCTGCCCGGGTGAGCCCCAAAATCGCCCGAAATACACCCAAAAATGAGCCATGCCACACAGAAAAATCCCTGAAAAAATCCCTGAAAAAATCCCCGAAAAAATCCCCGAAAAAATCCCCGAAAAAATCCGGCCAGAATTGACCCAAAAACCAGCCCCAAAAAGACCCGAAATCCACCCAAAACTGACCCACGCCCCACCAAAAAATCACTGAAAAAATCCCTGAAAAAATCCCCAAAAAACCCCCCCAAAATTGACCCAAAAACCAGCCCCAAAACCCCCCAAAATCCACCCAGAACTGACCTGGAAATACCCAAAAAAAATCCCCAATTTTTGGGGTTTTTTGCCCCCAATTTTGTGTTTTCCTCCCAATTTTGTTTATTTTTTTTCCCTGACCCAATATTTGAGTTCCTCCCTCAAATTCTGTGTTCCCCCCCCCAAATTCTGTTTTTTCCCCCCCGAATTTTTTACGTTTCCCCCCCCAATTTTTACGTGTCTCCCCCTGACCCAATTTTTGGCTTTTTTCCCTCAATTTTGAGTTTTTCCCCCAATTTTGTTTATTTTTTTCCCCTGACCCAATTCTGGGTTTTTTTTTTCCCCCAATTTTGTGTTTTTCCCCCCAGTTTTGTGTGTTTCCCCCCAATTTTGTGTTTTTCCCCCCAATTTTTATTTTTCCTCCCCGACCCAATTTTTGGGGTTTTTTTCCCCCAATTTTGAGTTTTTCCCCCCAATTTTTTTTTCCCCTGATCCAATTTCTGAGTTTTCCCCCCAAATTCTGTTTCCCCCCCCAAATTCTGTGTTTCCCCCCCCAAATTCTGTTTTTTCCACCCCAAATTTTTACATTTCCTCCCCAAATTTTTACGTTTTCCCCCCAATTTTTATATTTCTCCCCTGACCCAATTTTTCGTTTTTTTCCCCCAGACTGGGCCGCGAGGGCACCACCAGCCCCAAGAAGAAGCGCTGGGAGCTGCCCCCGTCCCGAGCCGGCCCTGCAGGGCCAGGACCCCCCCAGAACCCCCAAAATGCCCAAAATTCGCCCCAAAACGCGTCCGGGAGGCCCCCCCAGAACCCCCCGCGGGGGGGGGGGGCGGCCCCGGGGGGGCCCCGGGGGGTTCCCGGGGGGCAAATTCGGGAACCGGAACGTGTTCGTGCCGGAGCACAGCTCGTCCTCCAGCGGCTCCCGCTCCCGCTCCTCCTCCCGCTCCCCGGGACGGCCCTGCCGGCGCAGGTGAGCCCCAAAATCCCGGGAATTCACCCCAAAAACGGACCGGAAAAATCCCGGTTAAAATAGACCCTAAATAACCCAAAATAACCCCAAATTACACCCAAATAACCCCAAATAACCCACCCCAAACCCTCCCGCTCCTCCTCCCCTCCTCCTCCCGCTCCCCAGGCAGGCCCTGCCGGCACAGGTGAGCCCCAAAATCCCGGGAATTCAACCCAAAAACGGACCGGAAAAAACCCCGTTAAAATAGACCCGAAATAACCCAAAATAGCCCCAAATAACCCCAAAAAACCCACCCCAAACCCTCCCGCTCCTCCTCCCGCTCCCCGGGACGGCCCTGCCGGCGCAGGTGAGACCCAAAATCCCGGGAATTCACCCCAAAAACGGACCGGAAAAATCCCGGTTAAAATAGACCCCAAATAACCCAAAATAGCCCCAAAAAACCCACCCCAAACCTGCCCCAAACCCTCCCGCTCCTCCTCCCGCTCCCCAGGCAGGCCCTGCCGGCGCAGGTGAGACCCAAAATCCCGGGAATTCACCCCAAAAATATCCCCGAAAAATCCCGGTTTAAATAACCCCGAAATAACCCAAAATAACCCCAAAAAACCCAAAATATCCCTGAATAACCCACCCCAAACCCTCCCGCTCCTCCTCCCGCTCCCCGGGGCGGCCCTGCCGGCGCAGGTGAGACCCAAAATCCCGGGAATTCACCCCAAAAATATCCCGGAAAAATCCTGGTTAAAATAGACCCAAAATAACCCAAAATAACCCCAAATTACACCCAAATAACCCCAAATATCCCACCCCAAACCCTCCCGCTCCTCCTCCCGCTCCCCGGGGCGGCCCTGCCGGCGCAGGTGAGACCCAAAATCCCGGGAATTTACCCCAAAAATATCCCGGAAAAATCCCGGTTAAATTACACCCCAAAATAACCCAAATTACACCCAAATATCCCACCCCAAACCCACCCCGAACCCTCACACTCCTCCTCCCGCTCCCCGGGGCAGCCCTGCCGGCGCAGGTGAGCCCCAAAATCCCGGGAATTCACCCCAAAAACTGCCCCGAAAAATCCCCGTTTAAATAACCCCGAAATAACCCAAATTACACCCAAAATATCCCTGAATAACCCAAAATATCCCACCCCTCCCGCTCCCGCTCCTCCTCCCGCTCCCCGGGACGGCCCTGCCGGCGCAGGTGAGACCCAAAATCCCCAAAATTCACCCCAAAAACCGCCCCGAAAAATCCCGGTTAAAATAGACCCCAAATAACCCAAAATAGCCCCAAAAAACCCACCCCAAACCCACCCCAAACCCTCCCGCTCCTCCTCCCGCTCCCCGGGACGGCCCTGCCGGCGCAGGTGAGACCCAAAATCCCCAGAATTTACCCCAAAAACCGCCCCGAAAAATCCCGGTTAAATTACACCCAAAATAACCCAAAATAGCCCCAAAATAACCCAAAATAACCCCAAAAAACCCACCCTAAACCCTCCCCTCCCGCTCCCGCTCGTCCTCCCGCTCCCCGGGACGGCCCTGCCGGCGCAGGTGAGACCCAAAATCCCGGGAATTCACCCCAAAAATATCCCCGAAAAATCCCGAAAAAATCCCGGTTAAAATAGACCCAAAATAACCCAAAATAACCCAAAATATCCCTGAATAACCCACCCCAAACCCTCCCGCTCCCGCTCCTCCTCCCGCTCCCCGGGGCGACCCTGCCGGCGCAGGTGAGCCCCAAAATCCCGGGAATTCACCCCAAAAACGGACCGGAAAAATCCCCGTTTAAATAACCCCGAAATAACCCAAAATAGCCCCAAATAGCCCCAAAAAACCCACCCCAAACCCTCCCACTCCTCCTCCCGCTCCTCCTCCCGCTCCCCGGGGCGGCCCTGCCGGCGCAGGTGAGACCCAAAATCCCCGGAATTCACCCCAAAAATATCCCGGAAAAATCCCGGTTAAAATAGCCCCGAAATAACCCAAAATAGCCCCAAATAACCCCAAATATCCCACCCCAAACCTGCCCCAAACCCTCCCGCTCCCCGGGGCGGCCCTGCCGGCGCAGGTGAGACCCAAAATCCCCAAAATTCACCCCAAAAATATCCCGGAAAAATCCCCGTTAAAATAGACCCAAAATAACCCAAAATAACCCAAAATATCCCCAAATAACCCACCCCAAACCCTCCCGCTCCTCCTCCCGCTCCCCGGGGCGGCCCTGCCGGCGCAGGTGAGACCCAAAATCCCGGGAATTCACCCCAAAAACCGCCCCGAAAAATCCCTGTTTAAATAACCCCGAAATAACCCAAAATAGCCCCAAATAACCCCAAATATCCCACCCCAAACCCTCCCAGTTCCCATTCCCAGTGCTCCCAGTCCTTCCCAGTCCCCCCCAGTTTATCCCAGTCCCCCTTTAACCCCTCCCAGTCCCTCCCAGTTTGCCCAGTTGTCCCAGTTCCCATTCCCAGTTTGCCCGTTCCCAGTCCCTCCCAGTGTTCCCAGTCCCTCCCAGTTTGCCCAGTCCCTCCCAGTGTTCCCAGTTCTCCCAGTTTGCCCAGTTTGCCCGTTCCCAGTCCCTCCCAGTTCTCCCAGTCCCTCCCAGTGTTCCCAGTGTTCCCAGTTTGCCCAGTCCCCGTTCCCAGTTCTCCCAGTTTGCCCAGTTTGCCTGTTCCCAATGTTCCCAGTGTTCCCAGTCCCCATTCCCAGTTCTCCCAGTGTTCCCAGTTTGCCCGTTCCCAGTCCCTCCCAGTTGTCCCAGTTTGGCCATTCCCAGTTCTCCCAGTTTGCCCAGTCCCTGTTCCCAGTTTGCCCAGTTTGCCCGTTCCCAGTCCCCATTCCCAGTCCCTCCCAGTTCTCCCAGTGTTCCCAGTTGTCCCAGTTGTCCCAGTTTGCCCAGTTTGCCCAGTTCCTGCTCCCAGTTTGCCCGTTCCCAGTGTTCCCAGTCCCTCCCAGTGTTCCCAGTGTTCCCAGTTTGCCCAGTTTGCTCGTTCCCAGTCCCCATTCCCAGTTCCCTCCCAGTTCTCCCAGTCCCTCCCAGTTTACCCAGTTTGCCCAGTCCCCGTTCCCAGTTTGCCCTTTCCCATTCCCTCCCAGTGTTCCCAGTTTGCCCAGTTTGGCTGTTCCCAGTCCCTCCCAGTCCATCCCAGTTTACCCAGTTTGCCCAGTCCCCGTTCCCAGTTTGCCCTTTCCCATTCCCTCCCAGTGTTCCCAGTTTGCCCAGTTTGGCTGTTCCCAGTGTTCCCAGTTTGCCCGTTCCCAGTCCCTTCCAGTGTTCCCAGTATTCCCAGTTCCTCTCTCCCCGCAGTGACTCGGACTCGGAGTCGGGCTCGGGGCCCGAGCTCCCAGTGTTCCCAGTTTGTTCCCAGTATTCCCAGTATTCCCAGTGTTCCCAGTTTGTTCCCAGTTTGTTCCCAGTTTGTTCCCAGTGTTCCCAGTGTTCCCAGTGTTCCCAGTGTTCCCAGTTTGCCCAGTCCATCCCAGTATTCCCAGTTTGTCCCTCTCTCCCCGCAGTGACTCGGACTCGGAGTCGGGCTCGGGGCCCGAGCTCCCAGTGTTCCCAGTATTCCCAGTTTGTTCCCAGTGTTCCCAGTGTTCCCAGTTTGTTCCCAGTGTTCCCAGTGTTCCCAGTTTGTTCCCAGTTTGTTCCCAGTGTTCCCAGTTTGTTCCCAGTGCTCCCAGTTTGTTCCCAGTGCTCCCAGTTTGTTCCCAGTGTTCCCAGTTTGTTCCCAGTGTTCCCAGTTTGCCCAGTTTGCCCAGTTTGCCCAGTTTGCCTGTTCCCAGTATTCCCAGTATTCCCAGTTTGTTCTCTCTCCCAGTGACTCTGACTCTGACTCGGGCTCGGGGCCGGAGCTCCCAGTGCTCCCAGTTTGTTCCCAGTTTGTTCCCAGTCCCTCCCAGTGTTCCCAGTTTGTTCCCAGTTTGTTCCCAGTGTTCCCAGTATTCCCAGTTTGCCCGTTCCCAGTGTTCCCAGTCCCTCCCAGTGTTCCCAGTTTGTTCCCAGTTTGTTCCCAGTCCCTCCCAGTGTTCCCAGTGTTCCCAGTTTGTCCCTCTCTCCCCCGCAGTGACTCGGACTCAGGCTCGGGGCCTGAGCTCCCAGTGTTCCCAGTTTGCCCATTCCCAGTTTGTTCCCAGTGTTCCCAGTTTGTTCCCAGTTTGTTCCCAGTGTTCCCAGTTTGTTCCCAGTGTTCCCAGTGTTCCCAGCCCCCATTCCCAGTGTTCCCAGTATTCCCAGTATTCCCAGTTCCTCTCTCCCCTGCAGCGACTCGGACTTGGACTCGGGCTCGGGGCTGGAGCTCCCAGTGCTCCCAGTGTTCCCAGTTTGCCCAGTTTGCCCAGTTCCCATTCCCAGTTTGTTCCCAGTTATCCCAGTTTGTTTCTCTCTCCCCCAGTGACTCGGACTCAGACTCAGGCTCGGGGCCCGAGCTCCCAGTATTCCCAGTTTGCCCAGTTTGTTCTCTCCCCACCAGTGACTCGGACTCAGACTCCGGCTCGGGGCCCGAGCTCCGTCCCGGGGGGCGCCGGGCGGGTCCCCAAAAGCCGCGGGGCCGGGGGGGACCCCTGGAGAGGGGCCGGGCCCGGGGACAGCGCGGCAAGAGGTACTGGGGACACTGGTTTGTACTGGGAGGGACTGGTTTATACTGGGAGGGGTTAAAGGGGCACTGGGGGGGACTGGGATGGACTGGTTTATACTGGGAGGGACTGGGACCAAACTGGAAGGGACTGGTTTATACTGGGAGGGGTTAAAGGGGCACTCGGAGGGAACTGGGGGGGACTGGGAGGGACTGGGACCAAACTGGGAGGGACTGGTTTATACTGGGAAGGGTTAAAGGGGCACTGGGGGGGACTGGGGGGAACTGGGAGAGAACTGGGAGGGACTGGGAGGGACAGGTTTATACTGGGAGGGACTGGGAAGGGATTTGGGGGGGATTGGGGGGTATTGGGGCGGACTGGGAGGGACTGGTTTATACTGGGAGGGACTGGTTTATACTGGGAGGGGTTAAAGGGGCACTGGGAGGGGACTGGGGGGGACTGGTTTATACTGGGAGGGACTGGGAAGGGATTTGGGGGAATTGGGGGGTACTGGGGGGCACTGGGAGCACTGGGAATGGGAGGGACTCCCCATCTCCCCATTTTTTTCCCAAATTCCCTGTTTTTCACTATCTTTCTTTTCCCATTTCCCCCCCCTTTTCCCCCCATTTCTCCCCATTTTCCAATTTTTTCCCATTTTTTCCCAAATTCCCCATTTTTCCCCCAAATCCCCCATTTTCCCCCCAAATCCCCAATTTCCTCCCCCATTTCTCCCCAAATCCCCCATTTTTTCCCCATTTTTCCCCCAAATCCCCCATTTTTTTCCCATTTTTCTGCCATTTCCCCCCGTTTTTACCCCCAAATCCCCCATTTCCCCCCCGTTTTTCCCCATTCTCCCCCATTTTACTCCCCCAATTTCTCCCCATTTTCCCCCAAATCCCCATTTCTCCCCAAATCCCCCATTTCCCCCCCATTTCCCCCATTCCCCCCCCGTTTTTCCCCCAAATCCCCATTTTTCTCCCCCAAATCCCCCTTTTCCCCCCCTGTTTTTTCCCCCAAATCCCCCATTTTTTCCCCGTTTTCCCCCAAACCCTCCAAATCCCCCCGTTTTTTCCCCCATTTCCCCCCCGTATTTCCCCCAAATCCCCCATTTTCTCCCTGTTTTTTCCTCATTTTTCCCCAAATCCCCCATTTCTCCCCCGTTTTTCCCCAAATCCCCGTTTTTCCCCAAATCCCCCATTTTTCCCCATTTTCCCCCAAATCCCCCATTTCCCCTGTTTTTTTTCCCCAAATCCCCCATTTTCCCCCCATTTTCCCCCATTTCCCCCCATTTTTTTTCCCCAAATCCCCCATTTCCCCCCATTTTTCCCCATTTACCCCCCCATTTGCCCCCCAAATCCCCCTTTTTTCCCCAAATCCCCCATTTCCCCCATTTTTTTCCCTACATCCCCCATTTCCCCCCTGTTTTTTCCCCATTTTCCCCCATTTCCCCCCCGTTTTTTCCCCCAAACCCCCCAAATCCCCCCGTTTTTTTCCCAATTTCTCCTAATTTTTCCCCCAAAATCCCCTAATTTCCCCCAAACCCCCAAACCCCCCAAATTTCCCCCCAAATCCCCCCTATCCCAGGCCGGAGCCGTGCCCCCCTCGCCGCGGGCGCCGCCGGCCGCCGCCGGAGCCGGAGGACGGGGACCGGGACCGGGACCGGGACGTGCGGCGGCAGCGCCGGGCCCAGCGCTTCCAGGGGGGCCTGGGGGGCTCGGGGGGCGCCGGGACCCCCAAAAAACCCCGGCCCAACCCCCCCCCGGCCCCTCCCCCACCGCCCCCCGGCCCCTCCCCCGCCGGGGACACGGACTGGGAGCAGCTGAAGGTGTCGGGCACCTGCCAGGAGGTGACCAAGCGCTACCTGCGCCTCACCTGCGCGCCCGACCCCAGCACCGTCAGGCCCGTGCCGGTGAGTGACCCAAAAACAGCAAAATCCACCCCAAAATCCCTGATATCCACCCCAAATACATCAAAATCCACCCCAAAAACCCCAAAATCCCCAAAATCCACCCCAAAACCCCCGAAATACACCCCAAAATCCACCCCGACCCCAGCACCGTGAGACCCATGCCGGTGAGTGACCCAAAAACCCCGAAATTTACCCCAAAATCCACCCCAAACCCCCCTGACCCCAGTACTGTGAGACCTGTGCCGGTGAGTGACACCAAAAACACCAAAATTTACCTCAAAAACCCTGATATCCACCCCAAAAACCCCGATATCCATCCCAAAAACCCCAAAATCCACCCCAAAAACCCCGAAATTTACCCCAAAATCCACCCCGACCCCAGTACTGTGAGACCCGTGCCGGTGAGTGATACCAAAAACCCCGAAATTTAACCCAAAATCCATCCCAAAATCATCCCCGACCCCAGCACTGTGAGACCTGTGCCGGTGAGTGACCCAAAAACCCCCAAATTTACCCCAAAAATCATCAAACTCCATCCCAAAAACATCCCTGACCCCAGTACTGTGAGACCTGTGCCGGTGAATGACCCCAAAAATACCAAAATTTACCTCAAAAACCCCGAAATTCACCTCAAAAACCACCCCAAAACATCCCTGACCCGGCTACCACAAGACCCGTGCCAGTGAGTGATCTGAAAACACCAACATTCACCCCAAAATCCACCCCAAAAATTCCTCCAAATCCACCCCAAAAATTGCCTCAAATCCACCCCAAAAATTCCCCCAAATCCACCCCAAAAATTCTCCCAAATCCACCGCAAAAATACCTTAAAATCACTAAAGAACCCTCCAAAATGCACTGAAAAATCCCCCAAAACCCACCCAGAAAACGCAGAAAATCCGCCCCAAAAACCCCAAAAACCCCAAAATCCACCCAAAATGACCAAAAAGCCCCAAAATTCCCCAAATTCGCAGGTGCTGCGTCAGGCGCTGGCGCTGGTGCGCTCGCACTGGGCTGAGCACCGCGACTACGCCTGGGCCTGCGAGCAGCTGAAATCCATCAGGCAGGACCTGACGGTGAGAATTTGGGGAGGGGGCTTCATTTGGGGAGGGGGCTTCACTCATGGAGCAGCTGAAATCCCTCAGGCAGGACCTGACGGTGAGAATTTGGGGAGGGGGCTTCAAATTGGGGAGGGGGCTTCACTCATGGAGCAGCTGAAATCCCTCAGGCAGGACCTGACGGTGAGAATTTGGGGAGGGGGCTTCACTTTGGGGAGGGGGCTTCACTCTGGGAGCAGCTGAAATCCCTGCGGCAGGACCTGACGGTGAGAATTTGGGGAGGGGTCCCAATTTGGGGAGGGGGCTTCACTCTGGGAGCAGCTGAAATCCCTCAGGCAGGACCTGACGGTGAGAATTTGGGGAGGGGTCCCAATTTGGGGAGGGGGCTTCACTGTGGGAGCAGCTGAAATCCCTGCGGCAGGACCTGACGGTGAGAATTTGGGGAGGGGGCTTCATTTGGGGAGGGGGCTTCACTCTGGGAATGGCTGAAATCGCTGCGGCAGGACCTGACGGTGAGAATTTGGGGAGGGGTCCCTAATTTGGGGAGGGGGCTTCACTCTGGGAGCAGCTGAAATCCATCAGGCAGGACCTGACGGTGAGAATTTGGGGAGGGGGCTTCAATTTGGGGAGGGGGCTGCAAACAGCTGAAATCCCTGCGGCAGGACCTGACGGTGAGAATTTGGGGAGGGGGCTTCACTTGGGGAGGGGGCTTCACTCTGGGAGCAGCTGAAATCCATCAGGCAGGACCTGACGGTGAGAATTTGGGGAGGGGGCTTCGATTTGGGGAGGGGGCTTCACTCTGGGAATGGCTGAAATCCCTCAGGCAGGACCTGACGGTGAGAATTTGGGGAGGGGTCCCAATTTGGGGAGGGGGCTTCAAATTGGGGAGGGGTCCCGAGAGAGCCACAGTCCCTTCAGGACCCCTCCCCAAATTTGGGACCCCTCCCCAAATTCAGGATCCCTCCCCATCTTCTGAGACCCCTCCCCGATTTTGGGACCCCTCCCCAGTTTGGGACCCCTCCCCAAATTCGGGACCCCTCTCCCTATTCTGGGACTGCTCCCCGAATCTGGGACCCCTCCCCAGACTCAGGACCCCTCCCCAAATTCGGGGCCCCTCCCCAGTTTGGGACCCCTCCCCAAATTTGGGACCCCTCTCTGTATTCTGGGACCCTCCCCAAACTCAGGACCCCTCCCCAAATTGTGGGCCCTGGCCCCAAGACCCCTCCCCAGCCCCAGGACCCCTCCCCAAATTAAGAACCCCTCTCCATATTGTGGGTCCTGGCCCTGGGACCCCTCCCCAGCCCCAGGACCCCTCCCCAAATTCAGAACCCTTCTCCATGTTATGGGTCCCCTCCCCAAGACCCCTCCCCGGCCCTGGGACCCCTCCCCAAATTCAGAACCCCTCTCCACGTGTTGGTTCCCAGCCCCAGGACCCCTCCCCAGCCCCGGGACCCCTCCCCAGGCTGAAGACCCCTCCCCAAATTCCCCCCCCGCAGGTGCAGGGCGTGCCCCGGGACCCCTCCCCAGTTTTGGGACCCCTCCCCAGCCTCGGGACCCCTCCCCAAGCTCGGGACCCCTCCCCAAATTCGGGACCCCTCTCCCTATTCTGGGACTGCTCCCCGAATCTGGGACCCCTCCCCAGGCTTGGGACCCCTCCCCAAATTCAGGACCCCTCTCCATGTTATGGGTCCCCTCCCCAGCCCCGGGACCCCTCCCCAAGCTCGGGACCCCTCCCCAGCCCCGGGACCCCTCCCCGGGCTCAGGACCCCTCCCCAAATTCAGAACCCCTCTCCATTATGTGGTTCCCAGCCCCAGGACCCCATCCCAGTCTCGGGACCCCTCCCCAAATTTAGGACCCCTCCCCATGTTGTTGGTCTCGACCCCAGGACCCCTCCCCAGTTTTGGGACCCCTCCCTGGGCTGAAGACCCCTCCCCAAATTCCCCCGCAGGTTCAGGGCGTGCCCCAGGACCCCTCCCCAGTTTTGGGACCCCTCCCCAATCTGAAGACCCCTCCCCAAATTCCCCGCAGGTTCAGGGCTTGCCCCAGGACCCCTCCCCAGACTCAGGCCCCCTCCCCGGGCTCAAGACCCCTCCCCAAATTCCCCGCAGGTGCAGGGCGTGCCCCAGGCCCCCTCCCCAGGCTCAGGACCCCTCCCCAAATTCAGAACCCCCCTCCATATTGTGGGTCCCCTCCCCAAATTCTGGACCCCACCCCAAGCTCAGGACCCCTCCCCAAATTGAGGACCCCTCCCCAAATTCCCCCCCGCAGGTTCAGGGCTTGCCCCAGGCCCTCTCCCCAGGCTGAAGACCCCTCCCCAAATTCAGAACCCCTCTCCACGTGTTGGTTCCCAGCCCCGGGACTCCTCCCCAGCCCCGGGACCCCTCCCCAGGCTGAAGCCCCCTCCCCAAATTCCCCGCAGGTGCAGGGCATGCCCCAGGCCCCCTCCCCAGACTGAAGACCCCTCCCCAAATTCCCCCCCGCAGGTTCAGGGCGTGCCCCAGGACCCCTCCCCAGATTCAGGACCCCTCCCCAAATTCAGGACCCCTCCCCAAATTCCCGCAGGTGCAGGGCGTGCCCCAGGCCCCCTCCCTGGGCTGAGGACCCCTCCCCAAGCTGAGGACACCTCCCCAGGCTGAAGACCCCTCCCCAAATTCAGGACCCCTCTCCATTATGTGGTTCCCAGCCCCAGGACCCCTCCCCAGGCTCAGGACCCCTCCCCAAATTGTGGGTCCCGACTCCAGGACCCCTCCCTGGGCTGAGGACCCCACCCCAAGCTTGGGACCCCTCCCCAAATTCAGGACCCCTCTCCATGTTGTGGGACCCCCCCCAGCCCCAGGACCCCTCCCCAGGCTCAGGACCCCTCCCCAAATTCAGAACCCCTCTCCAAATTCAGAACTCCTCTCCATATTGTGGGTCCCCTCCTCAGGCTGAAGACCCCTCCCCAAATTCAGAACTCCTCTCCATGTTGTGGGCCCCCTCCCCAGCCCCAGGCCCACTCCCCGGGCTCAGGACCCCTCCCCAAATTCAGGACCCCTCCCCAAATTCAGAACCCCTCTTCATATTGTTGGCCCCAGCCCCAGGACCCCTCCCAGGCTGAAGCCCCCTCCCCAAATTCCCCCCTGCAGGTGCAGGGCGTGCCCCAGGACCCCTCCCCAAGCTCAGGACCCCTCCCCAGGCTGAAGACCCCTCCCCAAATTCCCCCCGCAGGTGCAGGGCGTGTCCCAGGACCCCTCCCCAGCCCCAGGACCCCTCCCCAGGTTGAAGACCCCTCCCCAGGCTGAAGCCCCCTCCCCAAATCCCCCCCGCCGGTGCAGGGCGTGCCCCAGGACCCCTCCCCAGCCCCAGGACCCCTCCCCAGACTCAGGCCCCCTCCCCGGGCTCAAGACCCCTCCCCAAATTCCCCCCGCAGGTGCAGGGCGTGCCCCAGGACCCCTCCCCAGCCCCAGGACCCCTCCCCGGGCTCAGGACCCCTCCCCAAATTCAGGACCCCTCCCCAGTCTGAAGACCCCTCCCCAAATTCCCCCGCAGGTGCAGGGCGTGCCCCGGGACCCCTCCCCAAATTGAAGCCCCCTCCCCAAATTCCCCCGCAGGTGCAGGGCGTGCGCACGGAGTTCACGGTGGAGGTGTACGAGACCCACGCGCGCATTGCGCTGGAGAAGGTGTGTGGGGTGTGTGGGGGGGATTTGGGGGTCTGGGGGCTCAGGGGGGGCTCGGGGGGGGCTCGGGACCCCCGCCCATTTGGGGAGGGGTCTCTGAGGGTCGCCCCCCGCCCAGGGTGACCACGAGGAGTTCAACCAGTGCCAGACGCAGCTGAAGGCGCTGTACGGGGAGAGCCTGGCGGGCTGCGAGGGCGAGTTCACGGCGTACCGGATCCTCTACTGCCTCTTCACCAACAGCTCCGGAGGTGGGGGGCCTGAAATGTGGGGAGGGGGTCTGAAATGTGGGGAGGGGTCTGAATTGTGGGGGGGGTCCCGAATTGGGGAGGGGGAGGCTCTTTATAGTAGAGTTCACGGCGTACCGGATCCTCTACTGCCTCTTCACCAACAGCTCCGGAGGTGGGGGGCCTGAAATGTGGGGAGGGGTCCCGAAATGTGGGGAGGGGTCCCTAAATCTGGGGGGGGTCTGAAATATGGGGGGGGTCCCGAATTGGGGAGGGGGAGGCTCTTTATAGTATAGTTCACGGCGTACCGGATCCTGTACTGCCTCTTCACCAACAGCTCCGGAGGTGGGGGGCCTGAAATGTGGGGAGGGGTCCCGAAATGTGGGGAGGGGTCCCTAAATCTGGGGGGGGTCTGAAATATGGGGGGGGTCCCGAATTGGGGAGGGGGAGGCTCTTTATAGTATAGTTCACGGCGTACCGGATCCTGTACTGCCTCTTCACCAACAGCTCCGGAGGTGGGGGGCCTGAAATGTGGGGAGGGGTCTGCAATTGGGGAGGGGTCCCTAAATCTGGGGGGGGGTCCCGAATTGGGGAGGGGGAGGCTCTTTATAGTATAGTTCACGGCGTACCGCATCCTGTACTGCCTCTTCACCAACAGCTCCGGAGGTGGGGGGCCTGAAATGTGGGGAGGGGTCCCGAATTGGGGAGGGGGAGGCTCTTTATAGTAGAGTTCACGGCGTACCGCATCCTGTACTGCCTCTTCACCAACAGCTCCGGAGGTGGGGGGCCCGAATTGGGGAGGGGGTCCTGAAATATGGGGGGGGGTCTGAAATATGGGGAGGGGTCCGGAATTGGGGAGGGGGAGGCTCTTTATAGTAGAGTTCATGGCGTACTGCATCCTGTACTGCCTCTTCACCAACAGCTCCGGAGGTGGGGGGCCTGAAATGTGGGGAGGGGGTCTGAAATGTGGGGAGGGGTCCCAAAATGGGGGGGGGTCTGAAATATGGGGGGGGGTCCCGAATTGGGGAGGGGGAGGCTCTTTATAGTAGAGTTCACGGCGTACCGGATCCTGTACTGCCTCTTCACCAACAGCTCCGGAGGTGGGGGGCCTGAAATGTGGGGAGGGGTCTGAAATGTGGGGGGGGTCCCGAATTGGGGGGGGGGTCCTGAAATATGGGGGGGGTCTGCAATTGGGGAGGGGGAGGCTCTTTATAGTAGAGTTCACGGCGTACCGCATCCTCTACTGCCTCTTCACCAACAGCTCCGGAGGTGGGGGTCCTGAAATGTGGGGAGGGGTCCCGAAATATGGGGGGGGTCTGAAATATGGGGGGGTTCCCGAATTGGGGAGGGGGAGGCTCTTTATAGTAGAGTTCACGGCGTACCGCATCCTGTACTGCCTCTTCACCAACAGCTCCGGAGGTGGGGGTCCTGAAATGTGGGGAGGGGTCCCGAATTGGGGAGGGGGTCCTGAAATGTGGGGGGGGGTCCCGAATTGGGGAGGGGGGTCCTGAATTGGGGGGGGGGGGGCTCTTTATAGTAGAGTTCACGGCGTACCGCATCCTCTACTGCCTCTTCACCAACAGCTCCGGAGGTGGGGGCCCTAAATTGGGGAGGGGGTCCAGAAATATGGGGGGGGTCCCCAAACCTGCGGGGTCACCCAAACCTGGGGGGTTCCCCAGAACTGACCACTGAGCCTGACCCCAGTGACCCCCGGGGTCACTCGGTGTCCCCGGAGCTGTGACCACACTGACCACCCCCCAGTGACTGCACTGACCCCACTGACCCCCATTTCTCCCCCCAGAGCTGACCACAGAACTGGCCCTGCTGCCCCACTGACCCCACTGACCCCACTGACCCCTATTTCTCTCTCTCCCCCCAGAACTGACCACGGAGCTGGCCCTGCTGCCCCACTGACCCCACTGACCCCAATCCGTGTTTCTCCCCCCAGAACTGACCACAGAACTGGCCCTGCTGCCCCCTAACCTCCGCTCCGACCCCTCTGTGACCCACGCCCTGACCCCACTGACCCCACTGACCACCATTTCTCTCTCTCCCCACAGAACTGACCACCGAGCTGGCCCTGCTGCCCCACTGACCCCACTGACCACAGTGACCCCACTGACCCCTGTCCCTCTCTCTCCCCACAGAGCTGACCACGGAACTGGCCCTGCTGCCCCCTAACCTCCGCTCTGACCCGGCTGTGACCCACACACTGACCCCACTGACCCCACTGACCCCTATTTCTCCCCACAGAACTGACCACAGAACTGGCCCTGCTGCCCCCTAACCTGCGCTCGGACCCCGCTATGACCCACGCCCTGACCCCACTGACCCCACTGACCCCTGTCCCTCTCTCTCCCCACAGAACTGACCACGGAGCTGGCCCTGCTGCCCCACTGACCCCACTGATCCCTATTTCTCTCTCCCCACAGAGCTGACCACGGAACTGGCCCTGCTGCCCCCTAACCTGCGCTCGGACCCGGCCGTGACCCACGCCCTGACCCCACTGACCCCTATTTCTCTCTCTTCCCACAGAACTGACCACGGAGCTGTCTGTGCTGCCCCACTGACCCCACTGACCCCTATTTCTCTCTCTCCCCACAGAGCTGACCACAGAACTGGCCCTGCTGCCCCACTGACCCCACTGACTGCTCCCCCTATTTCTCCCCACAGAACTGACCACGGAGCTGGCCCTGCTGCCCCCTAACCTCCGCTCGGACCCCGCCGTGACCCACGCCCTGACCCCACTGACCCCCATTTCTCTCCCCACAGAACTGACCACGGAACTGGCCCTGCTGCCCCCTAACCTCCGCTCGGACCCCGCCGTGACCCACGCCCTGACCCCACTGACCCCTATTTCTCTCTCCCCACAGAACTGACCACGGAGCTGGCCCTGCTGCCCCACTGACCCCACTGACCCCACTGACCCCACTGACCCCACTGACCCCACTGACCCCTATTTCTCTCTCTCCCCACAGAACTGACCACGGAGCTGGCCCTGCTGCCCCCTAACCTGCGCTCTGACCCCGCTGTGACCCACGCCCTGGCCGTGCGCGCCGCGTGGGCTCTGGGGCTCTACAGCCGCTTCTTCCGCCTGCAGCGCTCGGCCCCGGCCATGGGCCCGCGCCTCATCGACCTCTTCGCCGAGCGGGAGCGGCGCCGCGCCCTGCGCGCCTTCCTCAAGGCGTACGTGGGGCGGCTGTGGGGCGGGTGTGGGGCGGGGGGCACGGGGAGGGGACCCCGGAGGCGCAGGTGAGTCGGGGGGCTTGGGGGGTTTGGGGGGGATTCGTGCAGTGTGTGGGCACGGGAACCCCAATTCTGCCCCATCGATAGGGCGGAGGGACCCCGATTCTGCCCCATCTATGGGGTGGGGGAACCCCGATTCTGCCCCATCTATGGGGCGGAGGGACCCTGATTCTGCCCCACAGCAGGGCAGGACCCTCTTAATTGTGCCCCACAGTGGGGCTGCACCCTTCTTGTGGGGCTGAGCCCCCATTTATGGGGCTGAACCGCCTTTTATGGGGTTAAATCCTCACTTATGGGGCTGAGCCCCCATTTATGGGGTTGAACTGCCTTTTATGGGGCTGAATACCCATTTATGGACCTGAGCCCCCATTTATGGGGCTGAACTGCCTCTTATGGGGCTGAATTCCCACTTATGGGGCTGAATTCCCACTTATGGGGCTGAGCCCCCACTTATGGGGCTGAGCCCCCACTTATGGGGCTGAATCCCCACTTATGGGGCTGAATCCCCACCTATGGGGCCGAGCTCCCACTTATGGGGCTTAACTGCCTTTTATGGGGCCGAGCCCCCACTTATGGGGTGAACCCCCACTTATGGGGCCGAGCCCCCACTTATGGGGCTGAGCCCCACCTACAGTGTCGCTTGTCCCCCATGGGGCCGAGTCCCCCCTGCCATGGGGCTGTGCCCCCCTCAGCCCTGTGGGGTCACCTCCCCTTCTGTGGGGCTTGACCCCCAGGTGTGGGGCTGAGCCCCACTGCTTGGGGCAATGTGGGGCTGTGCCCCCCATATGGGACCGTGTCCCTCTGTGTGGGGTTAAACCCCTCTCTGTGGGGCTGAGCCCCGTTATGGGGTTACACCCCACTGCCATGGGGTCTGACCCCCGCTATGGGGCTGAGCCCCCCTTGCTATGGGGTCAGACCCTTGTTTATGGGGCTGGACCCCGCTATGGGGCTGAGCCCCCACTTATGGGGCTGAACTGCCTCTTATGGGGCCAAGCCCCCACTTATGGGGCTGAGGCCCCTTGCTATGGGGTCCCACCCCACTGCCATGGGGTCAAACCCCTGTTTATGGGGCTGGACCCCGCTATGGGGCTGAACCCCCCTTGCTATGGGGTCTGAGCCCCGCTATGGGGCTGAGCCCCCGTTTTTTTGGGGTCCCACCCCTCCATGGGGCCGGAGCCCCCTGTGGGGCTGCCCCCCATCTCGGGGGTCCCACCCCACCGTGGGGCTGCCCCCCATCTCGGGGGTCCCGCCCTGCTGTGGGGCTGCCCCACGGCGCCCCCCTGACCTCCTTCTCTCCTCAGCTTCCGCCCGGCGCTGCCGACGGCCCAACTGGGGCCACTTGTGGGGCTGGAGCCCCCCGAGCGCCGCCGCTTCCTCGGGGGGCTGCCCCTGACCTACACCGGGCCCGACCGCGGCGCCATCGACTGCCGCCAGAGCCTGCCGGCCCTGCCCCACATCTGACCCACAGCTGACCCACAGCGGGCCCAGGGCTGACCCACAGCACAGCCTGCCGGCCCTGCCCCACATCTGACCCACATCTGACCCACAGCCTGCCGGCCCTGCCCCACATCTGACCCACGGCACAGCCTGCCGGCCCTGCCCCACATCTGACCCACGGCACAGCCTGCCGGCCCTGCCCCACATCTGACCCACGGCGGGCCCACGGCGGGGCTGCCCTGACCCACAGCTGACCCACAGCTGACCCACAGCTGACCCACGGCACAGCCTGCCGGCCCTGCCCCACATCTGACCCACGGCGGGCCCACGGCAGGCCCAGGGCTGACCCACGGCAGGGCTGACCCTCCTCTGACCCACATCTGACCCACAGCGGGGCTGACTCTTCTCTGACCCACACCTGACCCAATGCGGGGTGACCCACAGCAGGGCTGACCCTCCTCTGACCCACAGCGGGGCTGAACCGCAGCAGTCCTGCCCCACATCTGCCCCATACATGACCCACAGTGGGGCTGACCCTCCTCTGACCCACATCTGACCCACAGCAAGCCTGACCCACAGCGGGGCTGACCCTCCTCTGACCCACAGCAGGGCTGACCCACAGCAGAGCTGACCCTTCTCTGACCCTCCTCTGACCCACATCTGACCCACAGCAGGGCTGCCCCACATCAGCCTTGACCAGCAGTGGGACTGACCCACAGTGGGCCTGACCCATGGCAAGGCTGAACCGCAGCAGTCCTGCCCCACATCTGACCCATACGTGACCATCAGTGGGGCTGACCCGCACCAGCCCTGCCCCACATCTGCCCCACAGCCTCTGTGGGTCAGGCAGCGAGCTGTGGGGCCCGGACCCGCCCCAACCACGGCTGCTGCCCCACAGCTGCTGCCCCATAACCTCCTCTCCCCCCTCATCCGCCGCAGAGGAGGGGATGTGGGGCCGGATCTGCCCCATAAGTGCCCTCAGCAGCCACGGAGGGGCGGGGGGGGGATTTGGGGTGGGCAGGGGGCGACTTGTGGGGCCGCCCCACGGCGCGGGTTTGGGGCGGGACGTGTGGGGCAGAGCCTCAGTTGTGGGGCAGAGCCTCAGTTGTGGGGCAGAGCCTCTGTTGTTGTGGGGCAGAGCCTCAGTTGGGGGGCAGAGCTCGGGGCCGCCCCACATCTCTCTCTCTTCTCCCTACTGCCGAGGTGCGACCCCCAACCCCACGGAGCGACCCCCGCCCCACGGAGGACGGCGAGACCCACCGAGAGACCCCCGAGCCGCGGCCCCCGCCCCACACGGAGCCTCCAGCCCCACGGAGAGGCCCCACCGCGCCCCCCAACAATGGAGCCGCCCTCCCCCGCCCCACATCGCCGCCAGAACGGGGGGGGGAGGGGCTCCCCCCGCGCCCCACAGCCGCCGTGGGGCGCTCGGGCCCCACAGCCGCCGCCGCCGCCGCTCCTCCTCCTCCTCCCCCGATCTTTGCGCTGCTCAAACCCTTTTTTTGGTTCGTATTTAATTTATTTCCACTTCCCCTCCCCCACCCCACACGCCCCTCCCCCACCCCGCCCCTCCCCCCACGTCTCTTCGCAGGTAAAAATCGCCCCTCCCCCCTTCCCCTCCCCCCATCCCCCCACCTTTTCCTTTTCTCTTTTTTAAGCTTTTTTTGGACAGAATAAAAGAAGGAAAATATAAAAAAAAAGGACAAAACTAAAAAAAAACGGGGTTGGAATGTGGGGTGGGTGGGGGAGGGGCGGGGTGGGGGTGGGGGTGGGGGAGGGGAATTTGTACCCGCAGAGATTTAAAATATATTTCTATAAAAAGCTGCGCCCTTTCCCCACCGATTTCTCCTTTTATTCGTTATTTCCTCTATTTTTTTTAATTTTTTCCGGTTTTTTTCACAAAAATATTCGCGGGGGTGGGGGAGGGGCAGAGTTGGCGGGATGGGCGGGGCTAAGATGAAGCCCCGCCCCTCATTCGCCACCCCGCGTTCTGATTGGACGAACGGCACATGATTGGCATGCGGGGAGAGGTGGGGGCGGGGCCTGGCGCGCACAGACCACGCCCCCTTTTTGGCCACGCCCCTTTGGCAGATTTACATTCAGTGCAATTAACGCGGGGCTCCGCCCCCCTCCCGCTTTGGCCACGCCCCCTCCGCATTGGCTCCACCCACTGCGTTTGGCCACGCCCCCGGCGCGTTTGGCTCCGCCCCCGCTGGGGGGGGGTTTGGGGGATTTTTGGGGCGGATTTGGGGGTTTTTGGGGCGGATTTGGGGGTTTTTGGGGGTTTTTGGGGTCACTTGGAGAGTTTGCTGATGACCCTGATGAGCGCCGCGTTCTCGTCCTTCAGCCGCTGGTTATCGGCGCGCAGGTCCGACAGCGCCTGCGGGGGCCCCAAAATCACCCCAAAATCATCACAAAATCATCACAAAATCACCCCAAAATCATCACAAAATCACCCCGAAATCAACCCAAAATCACCCCAAAGTCATCACAAAATCACCCCAAAATCACCCCAAAATCACCCCGAAACCACCACAAAATCACCCTGAAACTACCCCGAAACCCTCCCAAAACTACCTTAAAATTACCACAAAGCACCCCCCAAAATTACCCCAAAATCACAAAAATCACCCTGAAAGTACCCCAAAATCACCCCAAAATCATCACAACACCACCCCAAAACCATCCCGAAACTACCCCAAAAGCACCACAAAATCACCACAAAACTACCCCAAAAGCACCCCAAAATCACCACAAAACTACCCCAAAACGACCCACCCCAAAACCACTCCAAAAAAACACCCCAAAACTACACTGAAACCACCCAAAAACTACCTCAAAACCACCCCAAGATACACCACAAAACCATCCCAAAAGGACCCCTAAATTACTCCAAAACCACCCAAAAACCACCCAAAAACCACCCCAAAACGACCCAAAATTACTCCAAAACGTCCCAAAATGAGCCCAGAGCACCCAGACCCCCCAAAATCTCCGGAATTTGGGGTTCCAAATTCACCTTCAGCTCCTCCTCCAGCTCAGCCGCCTTCAGCTCCAGCGCCCGGCGCTCCTGAGGGGCCCGGAGGAGAAATTACAGGGGAGAATTGGGGGAAATGTGGGGGAAAATGGGGAAAATGTGAGGGGAAAAGGGAAAAATGTGAAGGGAAAACGTGAGGGGAAAATGTGAGGGGAAAATGGGGAAAAATGTGAGGGGAAAATGGGGAAATGAGAGGGGAGGAAATGGAGAAAATGTGAGGGGAAATTGGGGAAAAATGTGAGGGGAAAATGTGAGGGGAAAATGTGAGGGGAAAATGTGAGGGGAAAATGGGGAAAATGTGAGGGGAAAATGTGAAGGGAAAATGTGAGGGGAAAATGTGAGGGGAAAAGGGGTGAATTTGAGCAGGAAAGGGGAAAAATATGAGGGGAAAATGGAGAGAAATGTGAGGGGAAAATGGAGAGAAATGTGAGGGGGAAATGGAGGAAAATGTGAGGGGAAAATGGGGAAAAATGTGAGGGGAAAATGGTGGAAAAAGTGAGGGGAAAATGTGAGGGGGAAATGGTGAAAAATATGAGGGAAAATAGGGAAATGTGAGGGGGAAATGGAGGAAAATGTGAGGGGAAATGGCAGGAAACATGAGGGGAGAAAATGGCAGGAAAGGTGAGGGGAGAAAATGGAAAAATGTGAGGGGAAAACTGTGGAAAATGTGAGGGGAAAAAGGATAAAATGTGAGGGGAGAAAGAGAGGGAAATGTGAGGGGAAATGGCTGGAAATGTGAGGGGGAAATGGAGGGAAATGTGAGGGGGAAATGGAGGGAAATGTGCAGGGAAAAGAGGGAAAAATGGAGGAAATAGGTGAGGGGAAAATGGAAGGAAACGTGAGGGGAAAAAGGGAAAAAACGTGAGGGGAAAAAGGGAAAAAACGTGAGGGGAAAAAGGGAGAAAACGTGAGGGGAAAAGGCGGGAAATGTGAGGGGACAAAATGGCGGAGCAACATGAGGGGAGAAAATGGCGGGAAAGGTCAGGGAAAAATGGAAAAATGCGAGGGGAAAACTGTGGGAAACGTGAGGGGAAAAGGAGAAAATGTGAGGGGGAAATGGGGAAAAATGTGAGGGGAAAAAATGGGAAAAATTTGAGGGGAGAAAAACGGGGGAAATGTGAGGGGAAAATGGGGGAAATGTGAGGGGAAAAGGCGGGAACGGTGAAGGGAGAAAATGGCGGAGAAACGCGAGGGGAGAAAATGGAAAAATGTGAGGGGAAAATGGTGGAAAACTTGAGGGGAAAATGGAGAAATGTGAGGGGAAAATGTGAGGGGAAAAAATGGGGGAAATGTGAGGGGAAAATGGAGAAATGTGAGGGGAAAATGGAGAAATGTGAGGGGAGAAATGGAGAAATGTGAGGGGGAAATGGGGGAAAAGCGTGAGGGGAAAAGGCGGGAACGGTGAAGGGAGAAAATGGCGGAGAAACGCGAGGGGAGAAAATGGAAAAATGTGAGGGGAAAATGGTGGGAAATGTGAGGGGAAAAGGAGAAAAGGTGAGGTGAGAAAGAGGGAAAATGTGAGGGGAAAATGTGAGGGGGAAAAGGGAAAAAACGTGAGGGGAAAAAGGGAAAAAACGTGAGGGGAAAAGGCGGCAAATGTGAGGGGACAAAATGGCGGAGCAACATGAGGGGAGAAAATGGCGAAAAAGGTCAGGGGGAAAATGGAAAAAGGTGAGGGGAAAACTGTGGGAAATGTGAGGGGAAAAGGAAGAAATGTGAGGGGGAAATGGGGAAAATGTGAGGGGAAAAAAATGGAGAAATGTGAGGGGAAAATGGGGGAAATTTGAGGGGAAAATGAGAGGGGAAAATGGAGAAACGTGAGGGGAAAAGGGAGGGAAATGTTGAGAGGAAAATTAAGGGAAACACGAGGGGAAAATTCAGGAAATGTGATGTAAAAATCGGAAATGTGAGGGGAAATATGGCGGGGGGGGGGGGTTTGGGGTTCCAGGGTGGTTTTTGGGTGGTTTTTGGGTGTTCTTTGGGGTTCCAGGATGGTTTTGGGTGGTTTTGGGGTGGTTTTGGGTGGTTTTTGGGGTTCCAGGATGTTATGGGGAGTTTTTGGGATGTTTTTGGTGTTCCAGGATGTTTTTAGGTGGTTTTTGGGTGGTTTGTTGGGTGGGTTTTGGGTGGTTTTGGGTGGGTTTTGGGGTTCCGGGATGGTTTTGGGTGGTTTTTGGGTGGTTTTTGGGTGTTTTTTGGGTGTTTTTTGTGTGTTTTTGGTGTTAACACTCACGAATCTCTCCAGCTCCAGCCGGGCCGGGCGCTCGGCGCTGCGCTCCTGACGCTGGACAGGAAAGGGAGAGTGACCCCTGAGTGACCACTGAGTGACCAGTGAGTGACCACTGACCCCTGAGTGACCCCTGAGTGACCCCTGAGTGACCACTGAGTGACCACTGAGTGACCACTGAGTGACCCCTGAGTGACCCCTGAGTGACCCGAGTGACCCTGAGTGACCCCTGAGTGACCACTGACCCCTGAGTGACCCGAGTGACCACTGAGTGACCTGAGTGACCTGAGTGACCACTGAGTGACCACTGACCCGAGTGACCACTGAGTGACCACTGAGTGACCACTGAGTGACCCCTGACCCGAGTGACCCCTGAGTGACCCTGAGTGACCCTGAGTGACCCTGAGTGACCCCTGAGTGACCCTGAGTGACCCTGAGTGACCAATGAGTGACCCCTGAGTGACCCTGAGTGACCACTGAGTGACCACTGAGTCACCATTGAGTGACCACTGAGTGACCACTGAGTGACCCTGAGTGACACTGAGTGACCCTGAGTGACCCTGAGTGACCACTGAGTGACCACTGAGTGACCCTGAGTGACCACTGAGTGACCACTGAGTGACCACTGAGTGACCACTGAGTGACCCTGAGTGACCCTGAGTGACCACTGAGTGACCAGTGAGTGACCTCTGAGTGACCCTGAGTGACCGCTGAGTGACCCCTGAGTGACCCTGAGTGACCGCTGAGTGACCGCTGAGTGACCCCTGAGTGACCCCTGAGTGACCCTGAGTGACCACTGAGTGACCACGGAGTGACAACTGACCCCTGAGTGACCCTGAGTGACCACTGAGTGACCCTGAGTGACCCTGAGTGACCCTGAGTGACCCCTGAGTGACCCCTGACCTGGGTGACCCTGAGTGACCACTGAGTGACCACTGACCCCTGAGTGACCCCGAGTGACCACTGAGTGACCCCTGAGTGACCCTGAGTGACCCCTGAGTGACCCCAAGTGACCCTGAGTGACCCCTGAGTGACCACTGAGTGACCCTGAGTGACCCTGAGTGACCCTGAGTGACCCCAAATGACCTAGAGTGACCCTGAATGACCCCTGTGTCCCCCGGTGACCCCTGACCTGGGTGACCCTGAGTGACCATGGAGTGACCCCCAGTGACCCTGAATGACCCCCAGTGACCCCGAATGACCCCCGGTGACCCCGAATGACCCCCGGTGACCCCCGGTGACTCCTGAGTGACCATTGAGTGACCACTGATTGACCCCAAATGACCCCGAATGACCCCCAAATGACCCCAGTGACCCCAAATGACCCCCAGTGATCCCGCGTGACCCCCGTGACCCCTGAGTGACCGCTGACCTGAGTGACCCTGAGTGACCATGGAGTGACCCCCAGTGACCCCAAATGACCCCCAGTGACCCCAAATGACCCCCAGTGACCCCGAGTGACCCCGAGTGACCCCAAATGACCCCGAAGTGACCCCAAATGACCCCCCGTGACCACTGACCTGAGTGACCCCAAGTGACCCCGAATGACCCCGAGTGACCCCCAGTGACCCCGAATGACCCCGAATGACCCCGGTGACCCCTGACCTGGGTGACCCTCTCCAGCTCCAGCCGGCTCTGGGTCAGCGCCAGCTCCGCCTCCTGCAGCTGCTCCCGAATCCGCTCGTTTTCACCCCAAAGCTCCTGGAACAGCTGGGGGGGGAGGGGCGGGGGGAGGGGTCTGAGCCTGCCCCTCCCCCACCCCCAAATCCCCTCCCCCAGCCCCCAAATCCGCTCGTTTTCACCCCAAAGCTCCTGGAACAGCTGGGGGGGAGGGGCGGGGGGGGAGGGGTCTGAGCCCGCCCCTCCCCCACCCCCCCTGCCCCTCCCCCACCCCCAAATCCGCTCGTTTTCACCCCAAAGCTCCTGGAACAGCTGGGGGGGGAGGGGCGGGGGGGGAGGGGTCTGAGCCCGCCCCTCCCCCACCCCAAATCCCCTCCCCCACCCCCCAAATCCGCTCGTTTTCACCCCAAAGCTCCTGGAACAGCTGGGGGGGGAGGGGCGGGCTCAGACCCCTCCCCCCCGCCCCTCCCCACCCCCACCGCCCCTCCCCCACCCCCCCTGCCCCTCCCCCACCCCCCCTTTACCTGTTGGTAATCGAAGGGCGGGGCCGGGGTGGGGCTGTGGGGGAGGGGAGGGGTCAGGGGGGGCTGAGACCCCCAAAAAACATCACAGAAACCCCAAAAAACCCCAAAAAAATACAGACCCCCAAAATCATCACAGACTCACCCAAAAAACACCAAAATTCAATTCAGATCCACCCAAAAAACCCCAAAAATCATCCCAGACCCACCCAAAAACCACCAAAATTCAATTCAGACCCCAAAATCATCACAGACCCCCCAAAAAAAACCCCCAAAATTCAACCCAGATCCCCCAAAATCCCCTTAAAACACCTCAGACCCTCTAAATTTCTCCAAATTCTCCCCAAATTTCCCCAATTTCCCCCAAATTTCCCCCAAACTTCCCCAAATATCCCCCAAATCCCCCCAAACCCCCGAAATTTCCCCAAATTTCCCCAAATTCCCCCAAATTTCCCCAAATCCCCCCAAATTTCCCCCAAAATTCCCCAAATTCCCCACAAATTTCCCCAAATTTCCCAAAATTCCCCAAATTTCCCCAAATTCCCCCAAATTCCCCCAAATTTCCCAAAATTTCCCCGAATTTCCCCAAATTTCCCCAAAGTCCCCCCAAATTTCCCCAAATTTCCCCAAATTCCCCGAAATTTCCCCCCAAACCCCTGAAATTTCCCCAAATTCCCCCAAATTTCCCCAAATTCCCCCCAAATCCCCCCAAATTTCCCCAAATTTCCCCAAAATCCCCCCAAATTTCCCAAAATTTCCCCAAATTCCCCCAAATTTCCCTAAATTTCCCCAAATCCCCCCAAACCCCGTACCTGGGTGGGGGAGGGGCGTCCTCGGGCCCGTCGCTCTCGGGGCCGCGGGTGGGGGAGGGGAGCCGGGGGGGGTCCTGGGGGGGGGGGAGGGGACGGGGGGGGGTGAGACCCCAAAATCCCCCCCCAGAATTTCCAAATTCGCCAGAGGAACCCAAAAATTCCACCCAAAAAATCCCCAAAATTTCCACCCTAAATCCCCCAAAACCCCAAAAATTCCACCCAAAATCCCCCCAAAAAAACCCCAAATTCCACCCAAAATCCCCCAAAAACCCAAAAATTCCACCCAAAATCCCCCCAAAAAAACCCCAAAAATTCCACCCAAAATCCCCAAAAAATCCCCAAATTCCACCCTAAATCCCCAAAAACCCCAAAAATTCCACCCAAAATCCCCCCAAAAACCCTTAAATTCCTCCAAAATCCCCCCCAGAAACCCAAAATCCCCAAAATTCCCCCAAAATTCCCCAGAATCCCCAAATCCCCCAAAATCCCCCAAATTCTCTGATTTCCCCCAAATTCCCCAAATTCCCCCCAAATCCCCAAAAAATCCCAAAATCTCCCCAATTTCCCCAAAATCCCCCCAAATCGCCCCAAATTCCCTAAATTCCCCCCAAAATCCCCCAAATTCTCCGAATTCCCCCAAAATCCCCCAAAATCCCCATATTCCCCCAAATTCCCCCAAAATCCCCCAAAATCTCCCCAAATTCACCCCAAAATCCACCAAATTCTCTGATTTCCCCCAAATTCCCCAAAATCCCCCCAAATTCCCCAAAATCCCCCAAATTCTCCCAAATTCTCCAATTTCCCCCAAAATCCCCCAAAATCCCCCAATTTTCCCCAAATTTCCCCAAATTCCCCCAAATTCCTCCCAAAAACTCACGGTCGGCTCCCGCCCGCCCTCGTCCCTGATTGGCTGCTGCTGGCCACGCCCCTCGGCGCCTCGGCCAATCCCGTGCTCCGCCGCCCGCAGCTCCGGCAGGGTCACGCCCTGGCCGGGGTCAGAGGTCACACAGGGGTCACACAGGGGTCAGGGGTCACACATGGGTCAGAGGTCACACAGGGGTCACACAGGGGTCAGAGGTCACGATGGGATTTTGGTGGGTTTTTGGGGGGTGTTTTTAGGGCAGTTTTTGGGTGATTTTGGGGCAATTTTGGGGCAGTTTTTGGGTGATTTTTGGACAGTTTTTGAGGTGTTTTTGGGATGATTTTGGGGCAATTTTTGTGGCAATTTTTGGGTGATTTTGGACAGTTTTTGTGGCATTTTCAGGGGTGATTTTTGGACAGTTTTTGAAGGGTTTTTGGGGTGATTTTGTGGCAGTTTTTGGGGGGATTTTGGGGCAGTTTTGGGGCAGTTTCTGGGGTGATTTTGGCTGTTTTTGGGGCAGTTTTTGGCTCTTTTTGGGGCAGTTTTTGGGTGATTTTGCGACAATTTTGGGGCAGTTTTTGGGGTGATTTGTGATGTGTTTGGGGAAGTTTTTTGGGGTGTGTTTGGGGCAATTTTGGGGCAGTTTTTGGGTGATTTTTGGACACTTTTTGAGGTGTGTTTGGGGTGATTTTGTGGCAGTTTTTGAGGTGTTTTTGGGGCAATTTTGGGGCAGTTTTTGTGGCAGTTTCTGGGGTGATTTTGGCTGTTTTTGGGGCAGTTTTTGGCTCTTTTTGGGGCAGTTTTTGGGGTGATTTTGGGGCAGTTTTGGGGGCAATTTTTGGGTAATTTTAGGGCGATTTTTGGGGTGATTTTGGGGCAATTTTTGAGTAATTTTGGGTCAGTTTTTGGGATGATTTTAGGGCAGGTTTTGGGGCAGTTTTGGAGTAATTCTGGGTCAGTTTTTGGGGTGATTTTGGGGCACTTTTTGAGTACTTTTGGGGCAGTTTTTGGGGTGAGTTTGGGGCAATTTTTGAGTAAATTTGGGGCAGTTTTTGGGGTGATTTTGGGGCACTTTTTGAGTAATTTTGGGGCAGTTTTTGGGGTGATTTTGTGGCAGTTTTTGGGGTGATTTGGGGCAGTTTTTGGGGCAGTTTTTGGGGTGATTTTGGGGTGATTTTGGGGCACTTTTTGAGTAATTTTGGGGCAATTTTTGGGGTGATTTTGGGGCAATTTTTGAGTAATTCTGGGGCAGTTTTTGGGGTAATTTTGGGTCAGTTTTTGGGGTGATTTTGGGGGTTTTTGGAGCAGTTTTTGGGGTGAGTTTGGGGCAGGTTTTGGGGCATTTTTTGAGTAATTTTGGGGTGATTTTGGGGGTTTTTGGGCCCACCTGCGTGGCTCTCCGCGCCTGCCGCATCAGGCGGCTCCGGGCTTTGCGCTGCGACTCCGACTCCTCGTCCCGGGCGGGCGGCTGGAACGGCCTGGGGGAAATTCGGGGGAAAAACGAGGATTTTTGGGCAAAAATGGGGATTTTGGGCAGAAAAAGGGGATTTTGGGAAAAACAGGGGATTTTGGGGAGAAAAAGGGGATTTTGGGGGGAAAAATGGGGATTTTGGGGGGGAAAATAGGGATTTTTAGGGGAAAAAATGGGGAATTTCCGGGGAGAAAAGGGGATTTTCGGGGGGAAAAAGGGATTTTTGAAAGAAAAAGGGGATTTTGGAGGGGAAGAAAAGGGGAATTGGGGGAAGGAAAAGGGGATTTTGGGGGAAAATGGGGATTTGGGGGGAAAAAAATGGGATTTTGGGGGGAAAATGGGGATTTTTGGGAGAAAAGGGGATTTTTGGGGGAGAAAAGGGGATTTTGGGGGAGAAAAGGGGAATTTGGGCAGAAAAAGGGGATTTTTGGGGGAAAAATGGGGATTTTGGGAAGGAAAAGGGGATTTTGGGGGAGAAAAGGGGAATTTGGGGGGGAAAATGGGGATTTGGGGGAAAAAGGGGGAATTTGGGGAGAAAAGGGGATTTTGGGGGGAAAAATGGGGATTTTTGGGGGAAAAGGGGATTTTGGGGGGAAAAAGGGGATTTTGGGGAGAAAAACGGGCAATTTGGGGAGGGGGAGGGGCCTGACCTGCGCACCCGCGGCTCGGGGGGGTCCCGGGGGGCTCCGGGCGGGGCGGGGGAGGGGCTGTGGGGGAGGGGTGGCAGCGTCAGCCCCTCCCCCTTTTAAACCCCCTCCATTTAGCCCCTCCCCCTTTTAAAGACCCCACCCCAATTTAAGCCCCTCCCCCTTTAAGCCCCTCCCACAAGACCCCACCCCAATTTAGGCCCCTCCCCCATTTAAGCCCCTCCCACCAAAGACCCCACCCCAATTTAAGCCCCTCCCCCTTTAGCCCCTCCCCTTTAAGCCCCTCCCCCTCACCTGGGGGCCCGCGGGGTGGGGGAGGGGCGTCCTTGGGGGGTCTCCGACACCTGTGGGGGGGAGGGGCCATGAGTGGGCGTGGCCATCAGCCGAGGTGGGCGTGGTTTACCCCAAAAGGGGGCGTGGCCTCACCTGCAGGCGCGGGGAGGAGGCGGAGCGTCGCACGGGGGGCGGGGCCTGGGCGGGGGGCGTGTCCCGGGCGGGGCCTGGCCACGCCCCCAAAGAGCCGGACCTGAGGAGAGCCCCGGGGGGGGGCTGGGGGGGCGGTGGGGGCGGGGCCGGGCCCGGGACACGCCCCTTTTACCCCCCAGGGGGCGGGGCCGGGCCCGGGACACGCCCCTTTTACCCCCCAAGGGGGCGGGGCCAGGCTCAGGCCACGCCCCTTTAACCCGGGGTGGGGGAGGGGCCTTACCGGCTGCGGGGGGGCGGGGCCGCGGGGGGGCGGAGCCTCGGGGGGGTCTGGGGGGGGAGGGGAGGTCAGAGGTCACGACCCCACTCTGCGGACCCCCCCCCCCAAAAAATCCCCCCAAAATTCCGCGAAAATCCCCAAAAAAATCCCCCAAAATTCCCAGAAAATCCCCCCAAAATTCCCCAAAAATCCGTAACAATCCCCAAATCCCCAAAATTCCCCCAAAATCCCCCAAAATTCCCCGAAAATCCGTAACAATCCCAAATCCCCAAAATTCCCCCAAAATCCCCCAAAATTCCCCGAAAATCCGTAACAATCCCCAAATCCCCAAAAATTCCCAAAAAGTCCCCCATAAATTCCCAAAAAATTCCCCAAAATTCCCTGAAAATCCCCCCAAAATTCCCCAAAAATCCCCCAAAATTCCCCGAAAATCCTTAACAATCCCCAAATCCCCAAAAATTCCCACAAAATTCCCCAAAAATTCCCCCAAACTTTCCTGAAAATCCCCAACAATCCCCAAATCCTCAAAATTCCCCGAAAATCCCCCAAAATTCTCTGAAAATCCCCCAAACTTCCCCGAAAATCCCAAAAATCCCCAAATCCCAAAAATTCTCCAAAAATCCCCCAAAATCCCCATTTTCAAACCCGAAAATCCCCCTCCCAAACCCCATTTTTGTCCCAAACTCCCATTTTCTACAAAATCCCCCCTTTTCCCCCAAATCCCATTTTCCCCCCAAAACCCCATTTTCCCCCCCAAAATCCCCATTTCTCCCAAAATCCCCATTTTTCCCCCCAAAATCCCCTTTTTCCCATCAAAATCCCATTTTATCTCCCAGTCCCCATTTTTCCCCAAATCCCCATTTCCCCCCCCCAAATCTCCATTTTTGCCCAAAATCCTGTTTTATCTCCCCAATCCCCATTTTCCCAAAATCCCCATTTTCCCCCAAAATCCCGTTATTCCCCCCAAAACCCATTTTTCCCAAAATCCCCATTTTTCCCCCCCAAATCCCCATTTTCTGCCCCCAAACCCCCATTTTCCCCCCAAATCCCCATTTTTCCCCCCCCAAATCCCCATTTTCTCCCCCCAAAATCCCCATTTTTCCCAAAATCCCGTTTTTTTCCCCCAACCCCATTTTTCCCAAAATCCCCATGTTTACCCTCAAAATCCCGTAATTTTTTCCCAAAAAAATCCAATTTTTCCCCCCAAAATCCCATTTTTTTGCCCCAAAATCCCGGTTTTTCCCCCAAAATCCCCATTTTCCCCCCAAACCCCTTTTTCCCAAAATCCCGTTTTTTTCCCAAAATCCCCATTTTTACCCCTAAAATCCCCGGTTTTTTTTCCCAAAATCCCGTTTTTTCCCCCCAAAACCCCATTTTACCCCCCAAAATCCCCATTTTCCCCCCAAAATCCCCATTTTTCCCAAAATCCCCGTTTTTCCCCCCAAAGCGCTCTCACCCCCCGGGGGGGGCGGCCCCTCCCCCTCACTCTCCCCCCCTCGTCGCTGTCGGGCGCCCCTCCCCCCCCCGGGGGGCGCAGGGGGGGGGGCAGCGGCCCCTCCCCCACCCGGGCCCGGGCCTGGAGCCAGAGGCGCTCCCGGGAGCTGCGGCGGCACACGGAGCTCCTGGGGGAAAAAACGGGGATTTTGGGCAAAAAGGGAAATTCGGGAAAAAAAACGGAGATTTTGGGTGAAAAAACGGGGATTTTGGGCAAAAAAATGGGGATTTTCTGGGTAAAAATGGGGATTTTGGGGGTCCCCAGAGGCGCTCCCGGGAGCTGCGGCGGCACACGGAGCTCCTGGGGAGAAAAAACGCGATTTTGGGCAAAAATCAGATAGAAAAACTTCATTTTGGGGAAAAAATGGGGATTTCGGGAAAAAAAAACGGGGATTTTGGGCAAAAAAAACGGGGATTTTATGGGTAAAAATGGGGAATTTGGGGGTCCCCAGAGGCGCTCCCGGGAGCTGCGGCGGCACACGGAGATCCTGGGGAGAAAAACCCAGATTTTGGGCAAAAAGGGAAATTTGGGGGAAAAACGGGGATTTTGGGAAAAAAAACGGGGATTTTGGGAAAAAAAACGGGGATTTTGGGCAAAAAAACGGGGATTTTATGGGTTAAAATGGGGATTTGGGGCAGAAATGAAGATTTCGGGAGAAAAACCCAGATTTTGGGCAAAAATGGAAATTCGGGGAAAAAAATGGGGGTTTTGGGAGAAAAAACGGGGATTTTGGGAAAAAAAACGGGGATTTTAGGGGTAAAAATGGGGATTTTGGGCAAAAATGAAGATTTGGGGAGAAAAACCACGATTTTGGGCAAAAAGCAGATAGAAAAACTTCATTTTAGGGAAAAAATGGGGATTTCAGGAAAAAAATGGGGATTTTGGGAAAAAAAATCGGGGATTTTGGGGAAAAAAATGGGGATTTTGGGCAAAAATGAAGATTTGGGGAGAAAAAACGCGATTTTGGGCAAAAATGGAAATTTGGGAAAAAAACACGGGGATTTTGGGTGAAAAATGGGGATTTTGGGAAAAAAAATGGGGATTTTATGGGTAAAAATGGGGATTTTGGGAAAAAAAATGGGGATTTTATGGGTAAAAATGGGGATTTGGGGCAAAAATGAAGATTTGGGGGGAAAAACCGCGATTTTGGACAAAAAGCAGATAGTAAAACTTCATTTTGGGGAAAAAACGGGGATTTTGGGAGAAAAACAGGGATTTTGGGAAAAAAAATGGGGATTTTATGGGTAAAAATGGGGATTTTGGGCAAAAACAGAGATTTGGGGAGAAAAACCGCGATTTTGGGCAAAAATGGAAATTTGGGAAAAAAATGGGGATTTTGGGTGAAAAAATGGGGATTTTGGGCAACAAAACGGGGATTTTATGGGTAAAAATGGGGATTTTGGACAAAAAAAGAAGATTTGGGGAGAAAAACCGCCATTTTGGGCAAAAAGCAGATAGAAAAAACGTCATTTTGGGGAAAAATGGGGATTTTGGGAAAAAAAAACGGGGATTTTGGGAGAAAAAATGGGGATTTTAGGGGAAAAAATGGGGATTTTGGGCAAAAACGGAGATTTGGGGGGAAAAACGGCGATTTTGGGCAAAAATGGAAATTCGGGAAAAGAACCTGAGATTTTGGGTGAAAAAATGGGGATTTTGGGAAAAAAAACGGGGATTTTATGGGTAAAAATGGGGATTTTGGGGGTCCCAGAGGCGCTCCCGGGAGCTGCGGCGGCACACGGAGCTCCTGGGGAGAAAAACCCAGATTTTGGGCAAAAATGGAAATTCGGGGAAAAAAACGGGGATTTTGGGAAAAAAAATGGGGATTTTGGGCAAAAAAATGGGGATTTTGGGTGAAAAAATGGGGATTTTATGGGTAAAAATGGGGATTTTGGGGGTCCCCAGAGGCGCTCCCGGGAGCTGCGGCGGCACACGGAGCTCCTGGGGAGAAAAACCCAGATTTTGGGCAAAAAGGGAAATTTGGGAAAAAAAATCTGAGATTTTGGGTGAAAAAATGGGGATTTTGGGCAAAAAAACGGGGATTTTATGGGTAAAAATGGGGATTTTGGGCAAAAATGAAGATTTGGGGAGAAAAACCGTGATTTTAGGCAAAAAGGGAAATTTGGAAAAAACCCTGAGATTTTGGGAAAAAAACCGGGGGTTTTGGGCAAAAAACCGGGGATTTTATGGGTAAAAATGGGGATTTGGGGCAAAAATGGGATTTGGGGGGAAAAACGGGATTTTAGGAAAAAAAACGGGGATTTTAGGAGAAAAAATGGGGATTTTGGCAGTAAAAATGGGGATTTTGGGGAGAAATAATGGGATTTTAGGGAAAAATCAGATTTGGGGGGAAAAACGGGGATTTCGGGAAAAAAAACGGGGATTTGGGGGGTAAAAATGGGGATTTTGGAAAAAAAATGGAAATTTGGGGGCGAAAATGGGGATTTTGGGCAAAAAGCAGGTAGGAAAACCTCATTTTGGGGAAAAAATTGGGATTTCGGGAAAAAGGGGGATTTTGGGGGATCATGGGATGGTTTTTTTGGGGTATTTTTGGGGGGTTTTGGGTTTGTTTTTTGGGGTGGGTTTTTGGGTTTTTGGGGTGATTTTTTTGGTTTTTGGGGTGATTTCTTTGGGTTTTTGGAGTGATTTTTTTCTTTTTGGGTTTTGGGGTGAATTTTTCATTTTTTGGGGTGATTTTTTCATTTCTTTAGTTTTTTGGGGTGATTTCTTTCGGGTTTTTCGAGGTTTTGGGGCGTTTTTTTCATTTTTTGGGGCGATTTTTTGGTTTTTTTTGTTTTTGGGGTGATTTTCCGGGGCCGCGTTTTTGGGGCGATTTCGGGGGTTTCGGGATGATTTTTTCATTTTTTGGGGTGATTTCTCTGGGTTTTTTTTGAGGTTTTGGGGTGATTTTTTTGGTTTTTGGGGCGATATTTTTCATTTTTTGGGGTGATTTTTCGGGTTTTTTCGAGGTTTTGGGGTGATTTTTTCATTTTTTGGGGTGATTTTTTAGGTTTTTGGGGTGATTTCTCTGGGGTTTTTTGAGGTTTTTGGGTGATTTTGGGGTGATTTTTGAGGTTTTTGGGGTGATTTTTCAGGTTTTTCGCGGTTTTGGGGTGATTTTTTGGGGTTTTGGGCTGATTTTCCGGGGCCGCATTTTTGGGGCGCTTTCGGGGGTTTTGGGGTGATTTTTGGGGTTTTGGGCTGATTTTCCGGGGTCGGATTTTTGGGTCGATTTCGGGGGTTTCGGGGTGATTTTTTCATTTTTTGGGGTGATTTCTTTGGGTTTTTTTGAGGTTTTGGGGTGATTTTTTCATTTTTTGGGGTGATTTTTGGGGTTTTTGGGGTGATTTTTTGGGTTTTTTCGAGTCTTTGGGGTGATTTTTGGGTTTTTGGGGCGATATTTCAGGTTTTTTTTCGTTTTTGGGCTGATTTTCCGGGGCCGCGTTTTTGGGGCGATTTCGGGCGTTTCGGGGTCTCACCGTCGGTGCTTGGCGCCCCCGGTGGGGGGAGGGGCTCCCTCGGGGTCCGGCGCCGGGGGTGGGGGAGGGGCCCCCGCGGGGTCCTTCAGGCGGCGGAGCTGGGGGGGGAGGGGCGGTCAGGGGGGGAGGGGCGGTCAGGGGGGGGAGGGGCGGTCAGGGGGGGAGGGGCGGTCAGGGGGGAGGGCGGGGGGGGGAGGGGCGGTCAGGGGGGGAGGGGCGGTCAGGGGGGGGAGGGGCGGTCAGGGGGGGAGGGGCGGTCAGGGGGGGAGGGGCGGTCAGGGGGGGGAGGGGCGGTCAGGGGGGGAGGGGCGGTCAGGGATGGGGGGAGGGGCGGTCAGGGGGGGAGGGGCGGTCAGGGGGGAGGGGCGGTCAGGGGGGGGAGGGGCGGTCGGGGGGAGGGGCGGTCAGGGGGGAGGGGCGGTCAGGGGGGGAGGGGCGGTCAGGGGGGAGGGGTCAGGGGGGCGTTTTGGGGGGAATTTGGGGTGTTTTGGGATTTGGGGCTTCCGGGGAGGTTTTGGGGGGAATTTGGGGTGTTTTGGAACATTTTGGGGTTTCCAGGGGGACTTCGGGGTGATTTTGGAGGGAATTTGGGGGAATTTGGTTGATTTTGGGTGAATTTGGGGTGTTTTGGAACATTTTGGGGTTTCTAAGGGGACTTCGGGGAGATTTTGGGGTGAATTTGGGTAAATTTGGGTGATTTTGGTTTTTTTGGGTGGATTTCGGGGTGATTTTGGGGTGAATTTGGCTGATTTTGGGTGATTGTGGTTTTGGGGTGTTTTTGGGCTGGTTTTGGGCAGCTTTTGGGTGATTTTTGGGCAGTTTTTGGGCTGTTTTGGGCAGTTTTGGGCAGTTTTTGGGCCGTTTTGGGCCGTTTTGGGCTGTTTTGGGTGGTTTTTGGGCAGTTTTTGGGCCGTTTTGGGCCGTTTTGGGCTGTTTCGGGCAGTTTTGGGCCGTTTTTGGCCGTTTCGGGGCTCTCACGTGCAGCTGCCGCCGCTGCAGCTCCTCCAGCAGGGGAAGCGTCTCCTCATCCGCCAGATCACACGGACGCTGCCCCTGGGGACGGGGGACAGCTGGGATTGACCCCAAAACCCCGAAAAACCCCCCAAAAAAACAAAAAAAACCCCCCCAAAACCCCGAAAAACCCAAAACCCCCGAAAAATCCCTGAAAACCCCAAAAAATCCCGAAAAATCCCCGGTAAATAAACCAAAAACCCTCCGAAAACACCCCAAAGAAACCCAAAAACCCTAAAACCCCAAAAAATCCCTGAAAATCCCCTGTAAATAACCCAAAAACCCCCGAAAAAAACCCCAAAAACCCAAAAAAACCCAAAAAAAAACCAAAAACCCTGAAAATCCCTGAAAACCCCTAAAAATCCCTGAAAATCCCCTGTAAATAACCCAAAAATCCCCTGAAAACACCCCAAAAAACCCAAAAATCCCTGAAAATCCCTGAAAACCCCGAAAAATCCCTCAAAATCCCCTGTAAATAACCCAAAAACCCCCCGAAAAAGCCCCAAAAAAACCCCAAAAAACCAAAAAAACAAAAAAATCCCTGAAAAATCCCTGAAAATCCCCTGTAAATAACCCAAAAACCCCAAAAACCCCGAAAAATCCCTGAAAATCCCCTGTAAATAACCCAAAAAAAACCCGAAAATTCCCCAAAAACCCCAAAAACCCGAAAAACCCTGAAAATCCCTGAAAATCCCCTGTCAATAACCCAAAAACACCCCAAAAAACCCCCCAAAACCCCCAAAAACCCTGAAAATCCCCTGTAAATAACACAAAAAAAACCAAAAATGCCCCAAAAACCCCCAAAAACCCCCAAAAAACCCAAAACCCAAACCCCCCCCAAATCCCTGAAAATCCTGAAAAATCCCTGAAAATCCCCTGTAAATAACCCAAAACCCCCGAATATTCCCCAAAAACCGCCCAAAAAACCCCAAAAAACCCTGAAAAATCCCCAAAAATCCCCTGTAAATAACCCAAAAACCCCCCGAAAAACCCCAAAAAACCCCAAAAAAACCCCAAAAAACCCTGAAAAATCCCTGAAAATCCCCTGTAAAATACCCAAAAACCCCCCGAAAACCCCCAAAAACACCCCCAAAACCCCCCACAAACCCCTACAAAACCTCCCAAAACCCCCCAAAATCCCCATAAAATGCCCCAAAATGTCCCAAAATGCCCCAAAATCGCCGGAATTCGCCCCAAATCCCCTCACCACGTTGTTCTGGGGGCTCATGTCGCAGAGGTGCTCGCACAGCAGCCGGCACGCCTCAAAAACCCCAAAAACCCCCCAAAAACCCCCCAAAAACCCCTATAAAATCCCCATAAAATGCCCCAAAATGTCCCAAAATGTCCCAAAATCGCCGGAATTGGCCCCAAATGCCCTCACCACGTTGTTCTGGGGGCTCATGTCGCAGAGGTGCTCGCAGAGGATCCGGCACGCCCCAAAAACCCCTCCCCAAATCCACCAAAACCAGACCCAAAATCCCCATAAAATGCCCCAAAATCCCCATAAAATGGCCCAAAATGTCCCAAAATCGCCGGAATTGGCCCCAAATCCCCTCACCACGTTGTTCTGGGGGCTCATGTCGCAGAGGTGCTCGCAGAGGACCCGGCACGCCCCAAAAACCCCCCAAAAAAAACCCCAAAAACCCATATAAAACCCCCTAAAAACTGCTGAAAATGTCCCAAAATGTCCCAAAATGTCCCAAAATCCCCGGAATTCGCCCCAAATCCCCTCACCACGTTGTTCTGGGGACTCATGTCGCAGAGGTGCTCGCAGAGGATCCGGCACGCCCCAAAAACACCCCGATAAAACCGCTATAAAATCCCAAAAAATCCCAATAAAATGTCCCAAAATCCCCTGAAAATGCCCCAAAATGTCCCAAAATCGCCGGAATTGGCCCCAAAATCCCCTCACCACGTTGTTCTGGGGGCTCATGTCGCAGAGGTGCTCGCACAGGACCCGGCACGCCTCCTCCACGCCCCAGTGCGCCGCCGCGTGCAGCGGGGTCCAGCCGTCCTTGTCCCGCACGTCGGGGTCGTAACCAGCGGCCAGCAGCAGCCTGGGGACCAAAAACACACAAAATTCACCCAAAAAAAACCACAAAAATAACACAAAAATGACACAAAAATTGGGTGGAACCGCACTGGGGGTGGGGGATATTTTGTGGCTATTTTGGGGCTATTTTGGGGCGTTATTTGTGTCTATTTAGGGCTATTTTGGGGCTACTTTAGGGTTATTTTGGGGCTATTTCCGGGATATTTTGGTGATATTTTGTGGCTATTTTGGGGCCGTATCTGTGTCTATTTTGGGGCCTATTTTGTGGCTATTTCAGGGCTATTTCCAGGATATTTTGGTGATATTTTGTGGCTATTTTGGGGCTATTTTGTGTCTATTTTGGGGCCATTTTTGGGGTTACTTTAGGACTATTTTGGGGCTATTTCCAAGATAGTTTGGTGATATTTTGTGGCTATTTTGGGGCTATTTCAGGGCTATTTCCAGGATATTTTGTGTCTGTTTTGGGGCTATTTTGGTAAGTTTTGGGGCCGTTTTTAGGGCTATTTTGGGGATATTTCCAGGATATTTTGAGGCTATTTCGGGGCTATTTGGTTAAGTTTTGGGGGTATTTTTAGGGCTATTTTGGGGCTATTTCCGGGATAATTTGGTGATATTTTGTGGCTATTTTGGGGCTATTTTGTGGCTATTTTGGTGACATTTTGGTGATATTTTGGTGACATTTCGGGGCTATTTTGGGGCCGTTTTGGGTCCGTTTGGGCGCCGCTCCCACCTCATGACCTCGATGTATCCCTTGGCGGCCGCCACGTGCAGCGCGCTGGCGCCGGTGGCCGGGTGGGGACAGTCCCGCAGCTGCCCCGAGTCCAGCCAGAGGCGCGTGTCCCGCAGCATCCGCCGCTCCTCGGCGCGCTTGGCATCGGCCACGGTCACACCTGGCACAGGTGGGCACACCTGAGCACACCTGGGCACAAATTAACCACACCTGGGCACACCTGGGCACACCCTGACCCAGCCAGGGGCGCGTGTCCCGCAGCATCCGCCGCTCCTCGGCGCGCTTGGCATCGGCCACCGTCACACCTGGCACAGGTGGGCACACCTGAGCACACCTGGGCACACCTGGGCACACCCTGAGCACACCTGGGCACACCTGGGCACAAACTAACCACACCTGGGCACACCTGGACACACCCTGACCCAGCCAGAGGCGCGTGTCCCGCAGCATCCGCCGCTCCTCAGCGCGCTTGGCATCGGCCACGGTCACACCTGGCACAGGTGAGCACAGGTGAGCACACCTGGGCACAAACTAACCACACCTGGGCACACCTGGGCACACCCTGACCCAGCCAGGGCCGCGTGTCCCGCAGCATCCGCCGCTCCTCGGCGCGCTTGGCATCGGCCACCGTCACACCTGGCACAGGTAACACACCTGAGCACACCTGGGCACACCTGGGCACACCCTGACCCAGCCAGGGGCGCGTGTCCCGCAGCATCCGCCGCTCCTCGGCGCGCTTGGCATCGGCCACGGTCACACCTGGCACAGGTAACACACCTGAGCACACCTGGGCACACCTGAGCACACCTGGGCACACCTGGGCACACCCTGACTGCACCTGGGCACACCCTGACCCAGCCAGGGGCGCGTGTCCCGCAGCATCCGCCGCTCCTCGGCGCGCTTGGCATCGGCCACGGTCACACCTGGCACAGGTAACACACCTGAGCACACCTGGGCACACCTGGGCACACCTGGGCACAAACTAACCACACCTGGGCACACCTGGGCACACCCTGACCCAGCCAGGGGCGCGTGTCCCGCAGCATCCGCCGCTCCTCGGCGCGCTTGGCATCGGCCACGGTCACACCTGGCACAGGTGGGCACAGGTGAGCACACCTGGGCACACCTGGGCACACCTGGGCACAAACTAACCACACCTGGGCACACCCTGACCCAGCCAGGGCCGCGTGTCCCGCAGCATCCGCCGCTCCTCGGCGCGCTTGGCATCGGCCACGGTCACACCTGGCACAGGTAACACACCTGAGCACACCTGGGCACACCTGGGCACACCTGGGCACACCTGGGCACAAACTGACCACACCTGGACACACTATGGCGGTACCTGGGCACACCTTGACCACACCTGACCACACCTGGGCACACCTGGGCACACCCGGACACACTGTGGCAGTACCTGGGCACACCTGGACACAAACTGACCACACCTGAGCACACCTGGGCACACCTGGGCACACCTGGGCACACCCTGACCATACCTGGATGCACTATGGTGGTACCTGGGCACACCTGGGCACACCCTGACCACATCTGGGCACACCTGGGCACACCTGGGCACACCTGGGCACACCTGGGCACACCATGGTGGTACCTGGGCACACCTGGGACCACCCTGATCACACCTGGGCACAAACTGACGACACCTGGACACACCTTGACCAAACTTGGGCACACCTGGACATGCCATGACCACACCTGGGCACACCTGGATGTGCCCTAACCATACCTGGATGCACTAGGGCTGTACCTGGGCACACCTGGGCACACCTTGACCACACCTGGACGTGCCATGACCACACCTGGGCACACCTGGATGTGCCCTAATCACACCCAGACACACTATGGAGGTACCTGGTCACACCTGGACACACCTTAAGCACACCCTGACCACATCTGGGCACGCCCTGACCATACCTGGGCACACCTGGGCGTGCCCTGACCACACCCAGACACACTATGGAGGCACCTGGGCACACCTGGGCACAAACTGACCACACCTGGACACACTATGGAGGTACCTGGGCACACCTGGGCATGCCATGACCACACCTGGGCACACCTGGGTACACCCTGACCATACCTGGATGCACTAGGGCAGTACCTGGGCACACCTGGGCACACCTTGACCACACCTGGGCACACCTGGACATGCCATGACCACACCTGGGCACACCTGGACACACTGTGGTGGTACCTGGGCACACCTTGACCACACCTGGGCACAAACAGACCATATCTGGACATGCCTTGACCATACCTGGGCACAAACTGACCACACCCGGACACACCATGGCGGTACCTGGGCACACCTGGATGTGTCCTGACCACTCCTGGGTACACCTGGGCACACCTGGGCACAGCCACGCCTTCCTAGGCCACACCCACCACAAACCACACCCCCATCCCCAAAGCCCCGCCCACCCTTAGGCCCCGCCCACCCTTAGGCCCCGCCCGTTTAGGCCCCGCCCACCTCGGCTCTGTAGCTCCGCCCTCAGCACACAAGCCCCGCCCCCCCAAGCCCCGCCCACCTCGGCTGTTCAGCTCCGCCCTCAGCAGCTCCTCCAGCGCCTCGTCCTCGGCCACCTCCAGGGGCAGCTCCAGGTCACAGGTGAGAGCGGTGACATCGGCACCATGGGACAGCAGGTACCTGGGGGGTCACACAGGGGTCACACAGGGGTCACAGGTGAGAGCGGTGACATCGGCCCCGTGGGACAGCAGGTACCTGTGAGAGGGGTCACACAGGGGTCACACAGGGGTCACGGGGTCACACAGGGGTCACACAGGGGTCACAGGGTCACACAGGGGTCACAGGTGAGGGCGGTGACATCGGCCCCGTGGGACAGCAGGTACCTGTGGGGTCACACAGGGGTCACACAGGGGTCACAGGGGTCACACAGGGGTCACACAGGGGTCACAGGGTCACACAGGGGTCACACAGGGGTCACACAGGGGTCACACAGGGGTCACACAGGGGTCACAGGTGAGGGCGGTGACATCCGCCCCGTGGGACAGCAGGTACCTGAGGGGTCACACAGGGGTCACAGGGTCACACAGGGGTCACAGGGTCACACAGGGGTCACACAGGGGTCACACAGGGGTCACACAGGGGTCACAGGTGAGGGCGGTGACATCGGCCCCGTGGGACAGCAGGTACCTGTGAGAGGGGTCACACAGGGGTCACAGGGTCACACAGGGGTCACACAGGGGTCACGGGGTCACACAGGGGTCACACAGGGGTCACAGGTGAGGGCGGTGACATCGGCCCCGTGCAACAGCAGGTACCTGTGGGGTCACACAGGGGTCACGGGGTCACACAGGGGTCACACAGGGGTCACACAGGGGTCACAGGGTCACACAAGGGGTCACACAGGGGTCACACAGGGGTCACACAGGGGTCACAGGGGTCACAGGGTCACACAGGGTCACACAGGGGTATTTTGGGGTATTTTTGGGGATATTTCGGGGCTATTTTTGAGGATATTTTTGGGGTGATTTCAGGGTATTTTGGGGATATTTTAGGGGATATTTTGTAGCTACATTTGGGGATATTTTGGGGATATTTTGGGCATATTTTTGGGGTATTTTTGGGGTGATTTTGGGGATATTTTTGGGGTGATTTCGGGGTATTTTGGGGCTATTTTTAGGGATATTTTGTAGCTATATTTGGGTATATTTTGGGGATATTTTGGGGATATTTTTGGGGCTATTTCAGGGTATTTTGGGAATATTTTGGGGATATTTTTGGGGTGATTTCAGGATATTTTGTGGATATTTTTGGGGTGATTTGGGGGTATTTTGGGGATATTTCAGGGATATTTCAGGAATATTTTGGGGATATTTCAGGCACATTTTGTGGATATTTTTGGGGTGATTTCGGGGTATTTTGAGGATATTTCGGGGATATTTTGGGGATATTTTGTGGATTTTTTTGTGTATATTTTTGGGGTGATTTCGGAGTATTTTGGGGATATTTTTGGGGTGATTTCAGGGTATTTTGTGGATATTTTTGGGGATATTTCGGGGATGTTTTAGGGTATTTTGGGGATATTTTTGGGAATATTTTGTGGATATTTTGGGGATATTTTTGGGGGTATTTTTGGGGTGATTTCAGGGATATTTCAGGGATATTTTTGGGATATTTTTGGGGTGATTTCAGGGTATTTTGTGGATATTTTTGGGGTGATTTGGGGGTATTTTGTGGATATTTTGTGGATATTTTTGGGGTGATTTCAGGGTATTTTGGGGATATTTCGGGGATATTTTGGGGATATTTTGGGGATATTTTGGAGATGTTTTGGGGCTATTTTGTGGATATTTTGTGGATATTTTTGGGGCGATTTGGGCGTATTTTGGGCACGTTTTGGGCACTCACTGGGCGATGTGGTGGCACCCGCAGGCCGCCGCCACGTGCAGGGGGGTCCAGCCCTCGTTGTCCGCCTGGTTAACATCGGCACCGCTCTCCACCAGAAACTGCACCACCTCCATGTTCTCGTCAATGCACGCCTGGGGACATTTGGGGACATCTTGGGGACATCTTGGGGACATTGGGGACACCGTGGGGACACCCCTGGGGACATTGGGGACACCCCTGGGGACATTGGGGACACTCCCAGGGACACCCCAAAACCCCCTCGGGGACGGCACCACCTCCATGTTCTCGTCAATGCACGCCTGGGGACATTGGGGACATCTTGGGGACATCTTGGGGACATCTTGGGGATATCGGGGACACCCCTGGGGACACTGGGGATGGGGTTGGGGACATTGAGGACACCCCTGGGGACATTGGGGACATCTTGGGGACATCGTGGGGACATTGGGGACATCGTGGGGACATTGGGGACACCGTGGGGACACCGTGGGGACATCTTGGGGACACCCCTGGGGACACTGGGGACATCAAAGACACCCCTGGGGACACTGGGGATGGGGTTGGGGACATCGAGGACATCTTGGAGACATCGGGGACAAGGCTGGGGACATTGGGGACACCCCTGGGGACATTGGGGACATTGGGGACATCGTGGGGACATCGGGGACACCGTGGGGACATGCTGGGGACACCATGGGGACACCCCTGGGGACACCGCTGGGGACATTGGGGACATTGGGGACATCTTGGGGACACCGTGGGGACATTGGGGACACCCCTGGGGACATTTGGGATGTTGGGGACACCCCTGGGGACATTGGGGACATCAGGGGACACCCCCAGACCCCACATAGGCCCCCAAAGCTCCGCCCACTCACCCTAAGCCCCTCCCACTCCCCACAGGTCACGCCCACCCGACACCGCGCGCCGCTATTGGCCCCGCCCCTATTCCGCAAACCCCGCCCCTTTCCCCCCAAACCCCGCCCCTTTTCCCCCAGGCCCCGCCCACCTGGTGCAGCGCGCTGATCCCGCCCGCGTTGGCCCCGCCCCTATATCCCCAAACCCCGCCCCCTTCCCCCAAGCCCCGCCCACCTGGTGCAGCGCGCTGATCCCGTCCGCGTTGGCCCCGCCCCTATTCCCCCAAACCCCGCCCCTATCCCCTCAAACCCCGCCCCCTTTCCCCCAAGCCCCGCCCACCTGGTGCAGCGCGCTGATCCCGTCCGCGTTGGCCCCGCCCCATTCCCCCAAACCCCGCCCCTATCCCCTCAAACCCCGCCCCTATTCCCCCAAACCCCGCCCCTATTCCCCCAAACCCCGCCCCTATCCCCTCAAACCCCGCCCCCTTTCCCCTGGCCCCGCCCACCTGGTGCAGCGCGCTGATGCCGTCCGCGTTGGCCCCGCCCCTATTCCCCCAAACCCCGCCCCATTTCCCCCAAACCCCGCCCCTATTTCCCCAAACCCCGCCCCTATTTCCCCAAACCCCGCCCCTATTCCCCAAACCCCGCCCCTATTCCCCAAACCCCGCCCCCTTTCCCCAGGCCCCGCCCACCTGGTGCAGCGCGCTGATGCCGTCCGCGTTGGCCCCGCCCAGCAGCGCGCGCCCCCCGCCCTCGGGCGCCATCACCATGGCGCGCGCCTCGGCCAGCTCTGCGCCTGCGCAGGCGGCGCGGAACTCGGCCTGCCGCTCGAAACGGACCCGCGGCGGCCCCGGCCGAGCCTCCCCCGGGCCCGGCGCCGCCGCCGCCGCCTCCTCCCAGCGCCGCAGCTGCTCCCGCCGCCGCTCCGGGCCGCCGCCGCCGCCGCCGCCGCCGCCGCCGCCGCCATGGCGGGCCCGGGGCCGCCGCCGCAGGGGGGCGGGGCCGGAAGCGCGGGGGCGTGGTCGCCATGGCAACGGCGCGGCGGCCGCGGGGCACGACGGGAAGGGCGGTGCGGGGTGACGTCATGGATAGTGACGTAATCGCGTTTTTTTTGATGATGTAACGGGTTTTTTATTGACGTAACGGGTTTAAAGGGTGACGTAAAGGGGGTTCCCGCGCCGTGACGTCAGAGGGGGCGGGGTCACTTCCAGCGCCCGCCCACGCGGCCCTTGGCCACCTTCTTGCTGTGGGGGAGGGGCGGCCGAAAATGGCCCAAAATGGCCCGAAATGGACCAAAATAACCCCGAAACGCCCAAAAATGCCCCCCAAAAACCCCAAAATGCCGAGAGATGCCCCAAAATAACCCCAAAAGGCCCCAAAATACCCAAAAATATACTGAAATTCCCAAAAATAGCCCCAAAACCCCCCCAAAACGCCCAAAAATGGACCAAAATCCCCAAAAATAGCCCCAAAACGCCCAAAAATGCCCCAAAACTGCCCCAAAATGCCCCAAAATACCCCAAAGACCCAAATATGGCCCAAAAATCCCCCAAACACCCCGGAGTACCCCAAAAATGTCCCAAAACCACCCAAAATATCATGAAAATGACCCAAAATACCACAAAACACCCCAGAACGACCCAAAACCGCCCCAAAATACCCCAAAAAATGCCCCAAAAATACTCCCAAAACCCCCCAAAATGAGCCCCCGAAAAACCCAAAAAAAAACCCCAAAAATCCCCAAATTTCCCCCAAATAACCCCAAAAACCCTCAGGGTCCCCCCAAAGTCCCCAAATCCCCCAAAATCCCCCAAAAACACCCCAAAATCTCCCAAAATGCCGAATTTACAATTTCTGGGCGTGGCTGATGCGGTTGTACAGGACGTTGATCTGGGGGGAGGGGCGGGGTCAGTTCGGGAACCCCAAAAACCCCAAAAATTACCCCAAAAATTACCCCAAAATGGGACACCAAAAACCCCAAAAATAACCCCAAAATGGGACCCCAAAAACCCCAAAAATTACCCCAAAATGGGACCCCAAAAACCCCAAAAACCACACCAAAATGGGACCCCAAAAACCCCAAAAATTACCCCAAAATGGGACCCCAAAAACCCCAAAAATTACCCCAAAATGGGACCCCAAAAACTCCAAAAATTACCCCAAAAATAACCCCAAACTGGGAATGGGAACCCCAAACTGGGAACCCCAAAAACCCCAAAAATTACCCGAAAAGGGAACCCAAAAACCCCAAAAATTACCCCAAAATGGGAACCCAAACTGGGAATGGGAACCCCAAACTGGGAGCCCCAAAAACCCCAAAAATTACCCCAAAAGGGACCCCAAAATGGGAATGGGAACCCCAAACTGGGAACCCCAAAAATACCAAAAATTACCCCAAAATGGGACCCCAAAAACCCCAAAAATTACCCCAAAATGGGAACCCCAAACTGGGAATGGGAACCCCAAACTGGGAACCCCAAAAACCACAAAAATTACCCCAAAATGGGACCCCAAAAACCCCCAAAACCACCCCAAAATGGGAACCCAAACTGGGAACCCCAAAAACCCCAAAAATTACCCCAAAATGGGACCCCAAAAACCCCAAAAATTACCCCAAAATGGGACCCCAAAAACTCCAAAAATTACCCCAAAATGGGACCCCAAACTGGGAATGGGAACCCCAAACTGGGAACCCCAAAAACCCCAAAAATTACCCCAAAATGGGACCCCAAAAACCCCAAAAATTACCCCAAAATGGGAACCCCAAAAACCCCAAAAATTACCCCAAAATGGGACCCCAAAAACCCCAAAAATTACCCCAAAATGGGACCCCAAACTGGGAATGGGAACCCCAAACTGGGAACCCCAAAAACCCCAAAAATTACCCAAAAAAGGGACCCCAAAAATGGGAATGGGAACCCCAAACTGGGACCCCAAACTGGGAACCCCAAAAAACCCAAAAATTACCCCAAAATGGGAACCCCAAACTGGGAATGGGAACCCCAAACTGGGAACCCCAAAACCCCAAAAATTACCCCAAAATGGGACCCCAAAAACCCCAAAAATTACCCCAAAAAGGGACCCCAAAATGGGAATGGGAACCCCAAAGTGGAAACCCCAAAAACCCCAAAAATAACCCCAAAATGGGACCCTAAACTGGGAATGGGAACCCCAAACTGGGAACCCCAAAAACCCCAAAAATTACCCCAAACTGGGAACCCCAAACTGGGAACCCCAAAAACCCCAAAAATTACCCCAAAAATTACCACAAAATGGGAATGGGAACCCCAAACTGGGAACCCAAAAACCCCAAAAACAACCCCAAAATGGAACCCCAAAAACC